GCAGTAAACACTGTCTTCTCAGAGAAAAGGCAGTGTTTACATTATAGCCTAGCGATAACTCCACTATCCGCTCCTCAGATGGTTGCTAGAAGTGCTTCCTGGGGCAGTGCTGCACAGTGTGACTGACATTCAGTGTCCCCACCCTCTGCATGGAGACACTGAACATTCCTCATAGAGATGCTGATTGGCCAGGGCGGTTTTTGGCTTGTACGGTCTCTGCCCCTGATCTGCCTCCTTGACAGCCTCAGCCAATCCTATGGGGAAGTAGATGCAAACCAAATGGAGGATACAGCTGTAGCTCTACAACATAAAGATCAAATTATAGTGTAACACTGTATACAAAATTGTTATTTTCATCCATCCCGAGTCCAGTTCCACCATCATTGCAGAAAGAGGAGTGGATTTGGCCACCCATTTAGATCGGGGGAGGCACCCTTGAGCGAGTTATTTTCATCCATCCTGTGAGTTTTACGCATTACAGCACACTTACATATTTGTATACAGTGTTACACTATTATTTGTTCTTGATGTTGTAGATCTATAGCTGCATCCTCCATGTTGTTTGCATCTAATTGGTATTTAAAGGGATAATTGCTGGGATACCCCTGGAGGAAGCTGTTACCAATATCTACTGAGATAAGTGTTTGTTTTCACCACCCTTTTATTTTGTCTGGTGTGAGCTATTATATTTGTTTTCCTTTGTATAAAACCTATGGGGAAGAATTGTGATTGGCTCAGACCACCACTTCTGATGATATCAGCCAAGCAGGCAGATCAAGGGCAGAGGCAGCAGCTGCAGTCTTAAACAACATTAAGATGTTACTAGATTTATGGGGGAAATGGAGGAGCAGGGGGGATAGATAGTGGTTTTAACACTATATGGTCAGGAATACATTTGTGTTCCTGACCCTATAGTGTTATATTAATGTAATTGTGGCTGTCCCTTAGATATTTAAAGGAGCACTATAATACTATAGTATAGGAGTGAATCTGAGTGATTCTGAGCTCCAAGGTTAGTAATCAAGGAATTTCTTTGCAATTCTCTTCTTTGTAAATGTTACCCAACAGTGTTCCCTTAGCTATGTAGGGGTTCATCCCACCCTTGCAGGGGTTAAAAGGTATATTTTACTTGCCTTACATCCTATGGTGTGCAGTTCTATACACTGGCGCTCATCAGTCTAGATCTGTGGTTTCCAAAATGTTTTCACTTGTGTACGCCTTGGCAGTCAATTTCCATAAATTGTAGCTCTAATATTAGCAAAATGTTTGTAATTAATGTAGTTAGTGTTATTTAAAAAGTATACTTTTTTTTTTCTCTGCCCTATTTCCCATTTTTTCCACCTCAGGCTCTCCCTGCACTTCCACTCCTCTGTCCTAGGCATATTAGTATATACAGTGCAGACACACTGGCACACATGCAGATATAACAATACACAAATTCAGGTACACAGATACAAACAGTGCCACACATGCAAACAGATATACAGATACACTGACACACATGCAGATACATACAGATACAAACACAGACACACCAAACACTGCCACATATCTAGCTACACAGAAGCAAACACTGCCACATATCTAGCTACACAGAAGCAAACACTGCCACAAATGCAGATAAACAGACACACGTCTAACTTCACAGATAAACATATGCAGATGGGAATTGGGGCTTGCACTGCTGCTCTGCCCATCACATCCTCCTCTCATTCACATGCGACATGAACTCTGTTAGCTTGGAGAAAGACAGGCTCTCACTTCCTCCCACTGATGGGTTTTTACAGGGGTCTGGTCATGCTGTTAAACCACGGCAGAGCACAATTGGACCCCTGATGACAATGTCCATCGTGTGGCCCTAAGTGCATGATCCACCCTATGGGACCCCTTCACCGGCAGTAGTTCTGCCATAATGGATTTTTTTTGCAAGCATACCACTTGGGAAACTGATCTGTATCCCCGGGTGGTATGCGTACGACAGGATGGAATCCACTTATCTAGATGATCTCAGCCAATTCAATGCTTCCCCAAGGAAATGTCATAGTCAAAATACCACGCTAAGCCAAATGCTCTCAAGGAGAGTCATGTGAGCTATACGTGAGTTTAACTCTGTAATAACTGTGCAAGTGCCTATAGAGGCAGTCTTCCTGAGAGCCATGAGAGGCATGGTAACCGTGCAATGAAATAAGTCCGTTCCTGCAAGACTGCAATGTTATGGCACCCAGACCACCTGACTAGGATGGTGCTTATGGAGGCCAGTTAAATATTTTATTGTGTTCTGTATTTCCTGTACTGTATGACAGTTCTATCCCCAAAAATGTCTGTATTAAAATTGGAAAACAAATCTAACATTTTACAAAATGACCTAACATTTTATTGGCATGTGTATTCCTGTCTTTGGTGTGTGTCTGCTTTGCAATCTATAATAAACTCTGATGAAAATCCCAATATGTTTACGGAGCTCACGGTTTTCAATTAAAGTATTAAGTGGTGTCACAATAAGCACACCTTTCTCTGGAAGGCTTCAGAGTGTGTTATAGATGGTATCTAAACAAACCGTATCGTGACCTAGAAAAACCAGGCTGGGATAATGTTCTGGAAAAGCTGTTATGCAGAAAAAAAAAAAGTCCCAAATTATAGTCCAACTATAGAACACCATTAACCAATTAAAGAAATAATAAATATTAAAAGAAATAGACTTTATAGAAGGGCAACAAGAATACATTCATTACTGAAAAAGTAACTGCGTAGCAATAGCAAAACTCTATGAAAAATGCTCTGCAGTGTGAATTGGACAGCACAATGTGTTGGGGCAGAGCTAAATTTTCTCATCACTTCGAGAACATCAGACCCATGGTGAAGCTCCGTGGCTGCAGTATAATCTAGGCCAGGGATAGGCAACCTTCGGCACTCCAGATGTTGTGGACTACATTACTCATAATGCTCTTATACCCATAATGCTGGCAAAGCATCATGGGAGGTGTAGTCCAAAACATCTGGAGTGCCAAAGGTTGCCTATGCCTGATCTAGGCGATGTTTTTAACGGGCAGTGACTATCTGGTTTGAAGTAGGACCTATTTCAGGCAGGAAAGGGACTGAAAGAAAGCACACCCAACCGCAGTACGATGACCCCAAACAGAGGGGTTTATTTTGGCTAGGCATAGAATAGCAGGTTTTAGGCGAAAGTGGATTTTGCCATAATGCTTTGTCAATTATATTATCACTAAAGGTTTCAATAAAAATGAATGCCTCCTTGTGGTTGAGTGGTAGTGGATGACCCTTCCCGGTGTCCTTGGCTTCCAGAAATCTATTAGGCAAATGTGAGCCACAAATACCAAATCCTAAACATGCTCCAGTCTAAACATACAGCCAAAATTACATAAATATCACCCAGACATATTATAGACACATCTTTTTCCTTGTTTTTCCTTTCTAAGCTTTACATTAAATTTGTCTCTTTTTTTGTTGCCACCTTCCTACCGTCTCTCTGTATATAAAAGAAAAGAATATGCAACGTTCCATACTGATCTAACTGGCTTCCATTTGTGGTCCCTTTTATTTGTTAATTAAATAACCACAAATCCCAAATGTAGTGATGTCATCCACATGTGCACGGTTCAGGAAAGCATCTGGAAAACCAGGATTGGCTGGGATGCAGCCACTTCCTATGCATAGTAAGACATTCTATTATAAGATATAAAAGTAATTATGTATTATACATCATATTTCAATAATCATCATTAGAAGAAATTCTACTGTCTTTGTTTTGTGTGCACTAGATTAATGGTTCTTAGGTTTATTTAAATAAAAGAGACCTAAATGTACATGGTGTTCGCTTAATGACCAATTCTTCAATTGCAAAATCAATGCATTCTTCAAATGTAAATGTACTAAAAAATAATAATTCGGGGGGCGGAGCCTGACCTCTGAGCCGACTAGAAGTGGAAAACCTGAGCTCCTGAAACAGCCTGATTTTGGGGTATTTTGCCAGATTATGAGGTTTCCACGTAGAACATCCAACATAATGATGGTCAGGGGACCCCGGGCTAACTACATTCTGACTAAAGCCAGCACTCAAGCACCCGAAAAGCCCGGGAGCTCTGCTGCGGCTTACCTAGAACAAAGCTGTGGGGGAAGCGGCCGATTCACCCGCGCTGCGACGCGGGACCTGACTCCGCAGCGCTCCTATCCGCCTGCCCCCCGCCCCCCCCCCCGGACTGGTGGGGGTCATCCTGGTCCACTTAAAGCTGACCAGAACAACAGACCTCGCATCAACCACTCAGACAAGATCGCTGAGCAAGAACCTAGCCGTGGCAAGATGGCAGATGCAGTTCCCTCACAGGCAACCGCGGGGAGTCCAAAGCAGGCGACAACCCGCAACCACATGGCAGATTCCCTGAGGAGGCTGGACGCCATATTTCAATGGTTCTGGCTCATATTACAGCACCGCGTCAAAGCCACTGAGGCATGCCTTCTTATAATGTCTCCTATATGCTTTTATAAGGTCTCCAATATGCTTCTTATCATGTCTCCAATATGTTCTCCCCTGCTTATATAGTTTATTGCTTATAGTTTATTACTAACTTCTTTGTTTCTCTATCACTCGACACTAACCAATCACCCAGGGCAACGAGAACACGCAAAATACCCTGCTCACTTGTCTGATGCTATTAATCTGCTACTAATCTGTCATTAACATGTTGAATGCAACTATATAAAACAAAAAATGTGCTGATTTTCTGAATGCTCCAATTGTTAAGCTTGAAAATGAGCTCAAGGACTGCTATTGGGGCTCCCTGAGCATGTTTGTCATTATCATTACGCCCAAATAAAATATTAAATAAAAAAAAAAATAATAATTCTGTAAAAAACATCTTCATTATAATATAACATGTCTGTTCCAATCAATGGAGATCCACGTCAATGTCAAGTGAAGGTCCACTACAGAATACCCCTTTAACACAATACAGAATCATTATATTTAATATCTTACACAAGACTTGGTATATAAATAGGTTTTTTATTTTTTTTATTTTTATTTTTTTACAAAAAAAGAAGAAATAAAATCTGCTTACTTGCAATGCTTAACAACAGGTTTGATTGTATACACATAAGGTTAGATACTTACATTAAAGTATTTATTGGTGATGTAAACATACAGAAGCATTTTCAGTAACAAACACCTAGTATTCATTAATAAATTAGTCTACTTAAAGGCAAAATCTTTTTTGTCAGATGTTGTGTTTTTTTTTTTTGGAGCATGTAATAAAGCACCAAAATAATGTACAAATAAAAAAAATCTAGTTAGCGTGCCATTTTTCGTAACGTCATAAAGAACACCTGGGCTTAACTGTCATTCTTAATTTTTCAACGTTGACCTGTAGTTTGTAGAATATGCAAATGACATTGACACATTTGGGTTGGTATATATTTAATCTATACATTGTGCTGGTAAAATAAGTAGCAAATGTATAGAATAATAATAATAAATAAAAAAAATAAAAAAAAAATATATATACCTTATTGCCTCCTCCTTTTGGCCACCAGAGGTGGGGAAGAACGAGTGTGTGATTGCTCAGAATATTGAGATGCTGGGTAGGCTGTGGATCCAGCTCCCCTTGGGTGTCCTTTTTGTAGTCATAATTACAATGCCAATGCATTTTGATGACATCTAAACTATACATTGATTAGCAATTTAGCACAATGTATAGGTGTGATGTCAATGTGTATGCAGATAGGTCAAGTCAGCCTTCCATGACAGCTGGCCCCCTAATAATGCAATACTTACAACCCACAAAACAAATCGTGGCATGACATCAACGTGGCATGACATTAAAGTGGCCATACACACTCACAGACTATATTGGATATTATTAGAAATTGAGTTGCCATTTTTGAACATGGCAAAGTGCACAATCTTAATACAATAGATGTGTAATAAAGATGCAATATACAACATAGATCTCAAATAGGCTTTTATCGAATAGTATTTAAATCCAAACATTCAAGGTGCATCTCCTTTCTACAGCTATGTCATTAGTAAATGAATGCAGAGGTTGTGTATGAGCTGTGATTTACTTGTTCCTGATTGGCTCTTGGCTTATTAGGCCCATTTCTTAATATTTAAGTGCAAGGAATGGCTAGTGCTGTTATGGAACAAACAGCAAACCGTGTTACAGTTTCAACAAATACGTTGCTACAGTATTCAAAAAAAACAAAAAACACAAAAGTTAATATTAAGACGCGGTAATGGAACCTAAGAAAAACTGAAAAACACAAAATAAAAGAGCAGGTATTGCCAATCCTGAGAAACAAACCGTATCAATGCTAAATTCACCAATGTGGAATCAGAAATTTAAAAAATACAAAGAAAATAATGTATAAACTACATTACGGCATTAACCAGCCATAGCAAATGAAACATTGTGAATCAGAATTAAAACACATTGCTCGTCTCTAAAACAGCAAAAATATAAATCAATGTCCAGCCTTAGCAACCCCGATGAGGCTATCCATCACAGTTTTTACCCCCTTCTCACTTATTACTGGCATTTATGTAGCGCCAACCTATTCTGTAGTGCTTTACAATAGTATACCGGGTTTTAACAACAAGGGAGACAAACTATTACAGATTTTGATAGGAACAATACGTTGATGAGGACCCTGCTCCCATGAGCTTACAATCTAGAGTAAGTGAGGTGTCATAACACAATAGGAAGGGCAGCGTGTGGGTTGACAGGACCCATGGGACAGTAGCAAAATTGGAAGATGAGAGAGAAGTGGAGAATGGACCCACTAAAAGTTGAAAGAGTAAGATACAGGTTTGGGAAGTGACAGGAATTCAACCTTTTTAAGATATTAAGGAAAAAAAAGGCAGAAGTTTAATAGTAATTACAGCATTTATCCCCAAGACTCAATTGTCTTTATTTATTAACACCATTGAGGATTTCAGAGAACGGACAGAGTTGCAAAAACAGAAAAGAAGAAAAAAGGAAAAAGGTAGAATTCGTCCATCTGTACCGCCTGATGCACCCCCCCCCCCACCCCCACCCCTCTGGCGTTACCATCTTCAATTTTCAAAGGCGGTGGTGCCCGGATATTTCACTCATTGCCCATAGCTGGACATGCAGAAAAAAACGCTTTGCGCATGTTGAATGCAGGATACCACACTAACACTGGCATCATATTGACCCTCGCAACATTGAGGAGCAGTGATGTGCCACAACCGGACGTGACGCAGCGTTGGAGGGAGGCGAATATTTGACTAAATGTCTGCCCATTGTCAAACTGCTAGTTCTACATAAACTATGTATATCTTTGAATAGAAGCATTTTCATTCATTAATGTTTTTTTAAGGGGCAAACTAAGGGGAAAAAAATACAAAATAAAAACAAAAGACACATCCACTTTAATATTTGATTTGCTGCCATCAGCTCAGCTTGTCATTCTTTGTGAATCAACTTGGACAAAGCATACTACAGACATACTGGGGAATAACTATTTCATCAATTACGAGGAGGGCAATTCTGATGTCAGCCGTCTGTCCTGTAAAGTATCCAGAATCTATGAACTTACCTGTAAATCTTTAGGATCTGTCTATGAAGCTACATGCATAGCAGCTAATACTGGGCATCCCTGATCAGTGGTGGCGATATAATGCCCTGCCCATTCACAGCTCAGCTTTTCTGCAATAGGTACTCTACCCACCTAAGTACTGCCCCTTTCATTCCTTTAGCCCCGGTCGATGCTAATCTGTCCCATGTAAATAGGAAGGGAAGGACATAAGGTCAGGCTGCACTCAAACAGAACACCTAACACGAGGGTGTCCATCCAAGGATCTCCAGATGTTAAAGGAACTGTAATCCAGAATGCTGAGGAACAAAATAAGAAATAAAATAGACTATGAAATGTTTTTCTCAGCCGGGCCTGTCTATGAAAGCTCCCTAATCCTGTAATTTAAAGAGCTATCATAAAAAGTTAACTTTTGACATGTTGACGCACATATTTGCTACTTCGCAAAGTTGCAGCTGCTATAGCCACATGCTCTAAGATATTATGGTTTTATTTCTTCTTGTGGCATGGCTTAATAACGTCACTCTCAATGAACACTGTCAGCGTACTCTGCATATCAGATTGCTGTCAGTGTTTCATACGCTTAGACAAACCGACTGCGGGCTGCAGCTCCCACTGGAGGGAACGCCGCAGCAGCAGCTCCCACTGGAGGGAACGCCGCAGCAGCAGCTCCCACTGGAGGGAACGCCGCAGCAGCAGCTCCCACTGGAGGGAACGCAGCAGCAGCAGCTCCCACTGGAGAGAACGCAGCAACAGCAGCTCCCACTGGAGGGAACGCAGCAGCAGCAGCTCCCACTGTAGGGAACGTAGCAGCAGCTCTGACTACAAGGAACACTGCCGCCCCCACTGGAAGGGTGGCAATTAAATATATTATGGTTAATGTTTTTGGTTAAGACTTTTTCTCCAGCGCCGGGCGGGGAGGTCTCCTCCTCCTCTCTGGCTGAATGCGCATGCGCGGCAGGAGCTGCGCGCGTATCCAGCCACTCTCATAGGAAAGCATTCATAATGTTTTCCTATGGACGCTTGCGTCTTCTTACTGATTTTCACAGTGAGAAACATGCAAACGCCTTTAGCGGCTGTCAATGAGACCGCCACTAGAGGCTTTAGAGGCTGGATTAACCTATTTATAAACATAGCAGTTTCAGGGTTAACCCCAGCTGGACCAGGCACCCAGACCACTTCATTAAGCTGAAGTGGTCTGGGTGCCTATAGTGGTCCTTTAATGGATACAGCTATCACAACACTGCAAAGTAGCATATGCTAACATATACCACAATATATCAAAAGTTGATTGCTCACGACAGATGCCAGTTAAACCAAGCCTGAAAAATAAAAAGCTAATATTCTCTTAGAATGCTGTAACAAATAATCACTATCGATCCATAACTGCAAAGATGAATTCCCTGCTTGCAATAAGTAAGAACATGTAACACATCAAGCATCCTGACCAAGGTTTCCATTTAAAAATGGACAAAATAGGTTAAAAGGATAATCAGCACAGCATGGTTTCTCCTCCTGCAACAACATTGACTGGCCTGAAGCGGTAGTGAACCCGCTTGCCCTACCATTGACAGGCAAGCAAGAAGTGCTGTATGTGTATTCCAGTATTTAATTACTTTGTTAATGCTACAGCAGATCAGGGAGATGGCTGTAGACAGAATCGAGGAGTTTTTGGCTGGCCTCCTGGCTCTTTACTCCAGCAATCTCAAAAAGACGGTCAAGCTTGTCTTCTGCCTGTGGGATTTTGTCAATGACATGAAGTTCTTCAGGGCTCAGGATAGGAAGCATGTCATCGAAAATAGGCTGAAGGTCACAGGGGTCCAAACGAACTTGACGCAAAACTGTGTCCTTTTTTTCTGCGTGATAAAAAAGAAACACATTACAAGTCTTCTTCTCCGTAACTGCAATCTTAGTTGGGTGTTATACATATTCCTGGCACTTCTAGTATCTCTTTAATGTAGTATATGTCTGTGTTTGTGTCTGTATGTATAGTGTGTTTAAAATATATATATATATATATACACACACACACACACACACACACACACACACTACATTAAAGAGATACGATAAGTGCCAGGAATACAAAGCTGTATTCCTGGCACAATAGTTCACTCTGCAACACCCCTCCCCATTTCTCTGGAACTGCCATGTTTAACATTGCAGCACTTTGTGAAATTGGGACAGTGCACCCAGACCCCTTCAATGAGCTGAAGTGGTCTGGGTGCATATAGTGTCCCTTTAAGGCAGTATTGAAAATAAAAATCTTTCCTAACACATAAAGTCTGTTAACCACTTACGGACTGAGCCAAATGTACACGTTTTGTTCAAAATTAAACGTAAACAAAACTTGGAATTTGACTATATGTCTGTTCAACCGTAATTCACCTCTTTCATATTAAGTGCACCTACACTTATTATATATCATTTTATTCAGGAGAAATAGGGCTTTCATATAACATAAAATATTTAGCTATTTAACATAATTTAACATGAATAAAATACGAAAAAAATGTGTGAAAATAGGAAATTTTGTTATTTTTAAATTCTGCATGAAATTTTAACTGTGAATATCATAATACTGTTTGCTTTTACTGCAATAAAATACATCTATTGTCTCACATGTAAAAAACAGTACCCCCTTTGTACATGTTTTATGGTGTTTTGGGAAGTTACAGGGTCAAATATAGCATGTTACATTTTTCAGTTTTTTCACATTGAAATTCGCCAGATTGGTTACGTTGCCTTTGAGACCATATGGTAGCTCAGGAATGAGAAACACCCCCATGATGTGGCATACCATTTGCAATAGTAGACAACCCAAGGTATTGCAAATGGGGTATGCCCATTCTTTTTAAGTAGTCAGTCATAATTGAGTCCTAACCTCAACATCTGAGGAAAGGGATTTAGGGGCGATTATTTCTGATGACTTAAAGGTAGGCAGACAATGTAATAGAGCAGCAGGAAATGCTAGCAAAATGCTTGGTTGTATAGGGAGAGGAATTAGCAGTAGAAAGAGGGAAGTGCTCATTCCATTGTACAGAACACTGGTGAGACCTCACTTGGAGTATTGTACACAGTACTGGAGACCGTATCTCCAGAAGGATATTGATACTTTAGAGAGAGTTCAAAGAAGGGCTACTAAACTGGTTCATGGATTGCAGGATAAAACTTACCAGGAAAGGTTAAAGGATATTAACATGTATAGCTTGGAGGAAAGACGAGACAGGGGGGATATGATAGAAACATTTAAATATATAAAGGGAATCAACACAGTAAAGGAGGAGACTATATTTAAAAGAAGAAAAACTACCACAACAAGAGGACATAGTCTTAAATTAGAGGGACAAAGGTTTAAAAATAATATCAGGAAGTATTACTTTACTGAGAGGGTAGTGGATGCATGGAATAGCCTTCCAGCTGAAGTGGTAGAGGTTAACACAGTAAAGGAGTTTAAGCATGCGTGGGATAGGCATAAAGCTATCCTAACTATAAGATAAGGCCAGGGACTAATAAAAGTATTTAGAAAATTGGGCAGACTAGATGGGCCGAATGGTTCTTATCTGCCGTCACATTCTATGTTTCTTACCTTTGGTTATGAATGAACCAGTCCTGCTGAGTGCAGAAGACCCACTTGACGTAGAATCACAACGGAGAAGGGGCTCAGACTCGTCAGCAAAGAACCCTTTGGTTTTGTCTAGGGGAGACGGCTCCACGGTGAGGACAGTGGTGTCAGGAGATTTAATTCCAATCTCCTGAATTGGCACCTGCTGGTTAACATTCACAGGAAGGGTAAGCTTGTTATTTTCAATCTGAAAAGAGAGGATAAAAAAAAAAAAAAACAGTGAATTAAATAAACAAAAGCCGTATCAAGGAAATCGTAGAAGTATGAACTAAAATATTAAGCACTGTTAATGGTGATGAAAGGGACAACCCGGGCTGGAAGTTGCCTGCATTTTAAATGCATTATATTGATAAGGCATATAAAAAAACATTCAAATACACAGATCTGAATTTAATTTACATGACAAGCAGCAGCAGGAAATACATTTTTTTTTTTTTTTTTTTTAAAAGGTTATGGTGTTTAGAATGACTCTTTGATTAAGCACTGTAAATTCTAAATATTTCATAAAACAAATTTTTTTGAAATTCAATACTTTGTCTTCTAAGCAAAGTCAAGGTTGAGAAAACTTGCTAAAAAGGCATTTCCACCATAGTGTTTTGTCAATTCCTACATCTGTTGCTAGTGATGGTTGCAAGATAGAGGCAACTTCTCAGGCATCTCAATCAGATTTATGGAGGATTCTGTGATCTTGCACAATCCTTAAAGGGACACTATAGTCACCCAGACCACTTCAGCTCAATGAAGTGATCCGAGTCCAATGTCCCTCAGGTTTTAACCCTTCAGATGTAAACATAGCAGTTTCAGAGAAACTGCAATTTTTACATTTGCGGTTAAAGGGACTCTCCAGTGCACTGCAGGTCCCCTCTCCCTCCCACCACCTTCAGGCCACTTACATGAGACCCCACCGATGTCCCTCGGCGGTGGTTTCTGCCGCTACTTCCCGGTGATTACGTCAGCCACCAGACTGACCCCGTCCGCCGGCTGAGGAAACCTAATGCGAACGCGCATTAGAGCTCACCATAGGAAAGAATTGAAAATGCTTTTCAATGCTTTCATATGGGGAATTGAGCGACGCTGGAGGTCCTCACACAGCGTGAGGATGTCCAGCGACGCTCTAGCACAGGTTTCCTGTGCTATGGACACGGAAATGCCCTCTAGTGGCTGTCTGTCACATCCACCCCACAGAGCGTCCATAGGAAAGCATTGAGAAATGCTTTCCTATGGACACTATGAATGCGTGCGCAGCACATGCGCATTCGGCTCCACTGACGTCGGAGAGGTCACCAGCGCCGAGAGAACCCGGCGCTGGAATAAGGTAAGTAACTGAAGGGGTTTTAACCCCTTCAGCACCAGGGGAGGGGGACCCTGAGGGTGGGGGCACCCTCATGGCACTAGAGTGTCTGGAAAACCGCATTGTTTTCCTGACACTATAGTGATCCTTTAATAAGCCTCGGTGATGTACTCTCACACTTGCACAAGAGTATGACATGGACGCAGCTCCTAGCAGATGAAGCACCAGGAGCTGAAGATAGAAGCACTGAAGAATGAAGTTGGCGCACGTGAGGGATAGCGTCCAGTGATTAATTCTTCCTTCAGCTTAATATCAGCTGCGGCACACCAAGCAGGCATGACACCGGGAGTCTTTTTACATATGCAAAGACCGCCATAAACGCAAACGCCGCTTTAACAGTCTCCGTTCTTAATCCCGACAGATCTTTCATTAGCACAGAAACATTGATTTTGATAGACGATAAAGACCATTTGGCACAGGCTTTATTCAAGTTTTTGAACAGAACACCATTTGTCATTCCAAAGCCGCCTTAAAATGTCCCTTTCCATTAGTCTCTAGTACCATTGCTTGAAAGCTATTCCACACATCTAAATCTCTTTCTGTAAAAAAATAGGCACTGGATTTATCCTTAAAGGCACATGCTAAGTAACTTAAGTACTGTAAATAAGTAATGTAGAGGTTCTAGTGTCTATAGTCTGTCCCTGCAGACTTATCAATGCAAACACTGCCCTTTCAATGAAAATGACATGTTTACATTACTGCCTAGTAACACCTCTAGTGAGCATTACTCAGACATCCACTAGAGATACTTCATGGGTCAGTACTATTAGCGTCTCCTCGCTGCACATGGAGGTGCTGAACATTCACCATAGAGATGCGTTGGCTCAATGCATTTCTATGTGGAGATGCTTATTGGCGCACCGTTGCGTTTTGCTGCACATGCACAATAGCCTTCCAATGCTTTCCTATGGGAAAGCATTCGTTTGGCTGAGATCATCAAATTGATGATTTCAGCCAAGGATGCGGAGAGGGGGTAGGGCCAGCTTCGAGGAGACCAACACAGCGCTTAGGGAAAAAAATTAAAAAATAAAATAAAAATAGATGAGTAAATCACATTTTTTTTTTTAAAACTAGGGTAAGGGGGGGTCAGAGAGCTAAACTGCACATTTAGACCTATATAGTGTCAGGAATACATGTTTGTATTCCTGACACTAAAGTATTAATCTAACCACCACAGCATGGTGTAGGGATAATGATGACTAGAGTGTCCAGGTGCCCTCCAGTTGTGGTGTGTCAACCCATCTCCTACTCAGCCTCACTGACAATGCAAATGTAACATTTCCACATTAACAGTCAATTTCATCCAACTGGGATAGCATTGGTCAACTGTAAATGATAGGGGTTTGGTTTAAATCTCACATCCTCCAACTTAAAGGGACCAAAACAACATTAATGTAATGAAGCAATTTTGAGGTGTAGATAATGCCCCTGTAGTCTCACTGCTCAATTCTCTGCCATTTAGGAGTTAACTTTATTTAATTACGGAGAGAGCAGAGACGAGGTTTCTAACTACCATGGCCAAAGACTTCCAGCTCGATAGCCAGTGTAACAGTGAAAACATGGACTGCACAGGCTCTGGGTACAGTGTATCTTGGCCACATTACGTGCTCCATCTAAGTTTACTCGTATGCCAAGAGCCAGCTCAGGCAATGATATAAAAGGACCATCTGTTTAGGTTAACGATAAAACCCAACACCAACCCAATACTGTAATGGTTTTAGTAAATATACTGAGAGGGCCTCTTGGGAATTCTGTCTATTCTGCCCAGGACTCAACGCTTTCTCAATATCCTGAGATGGGAAAGCACATTGCTAAGGATGGAATAATCTGGTTAATGTCCGTCTCTGAGACCATTTACCTGCAACACCCAGGACACCCAATTTATTTGTGCATTTCTGCATGCTGCATTGTTAGATTTTCTGAACCCCCCTACAGCACAGGATGCCATGTGACTACACTGCAGTCACCGCACCTCGAGCAAAGCTCGCAGAATATACAATAAATAAAATTTCTCAGGGGAGGTTCTGCAACTGGATAAACTCTATCTGCCTTCGGTCTCCCTAGGTAGCCATTTTAATATAATGATAAAAAAAGGAAGTGAGAGAAAATGGGCTGAGATAAGGCGCAGGGCTGGTAAACAAGTAAAAAGGTTGCAGGAAAAAAATCTAGAGCGAGCAGATATCTTGTCCTCATAATCCCCCTGTGCAGACACCTGTCACAATTTGCTGCATGAATGGAGAAGGCATTGCAGCAAGAGCGACTGGCTCACGTGTGCTGGCAATGCAGAGCTTTGAGTTCTCTGTCTGAATACTAATACAGCACGCGGGGGGGTATCTGTGCAGCATTGCATGGCCTCTATAAATGTACATCAAGGGATTCACTAAACAGAGATTGCACTGAAACAGGCAAAGCAACAGCATATACTGCAACATTATTGTTAAATTATAAAAATTGCTGAATTGAAGATTTATTTATTTTTTTGCAATTCACTTTTTCATTCCCCGTAATTACCGGTTTAGAGATTTAACTCCCGAAAGCCGTGAACTTGGCTAAACTGAAAACTAAACGGCAAAATCTATTCCAATAAAGGCAAGCTAGAAGAATTCTCTAATGTGTCTATTTCCAGACGTATACAGTTATTTTAGCCTTGTTTTTTTTTGCGAATTTCGTTTTTTATTCACGATGCACTGTTTAGTGGATAAACCCCAATGAGTTCCACACAAGCATGCAGGATTGGAAAGCGTTAAACATTAATGAAGCCAGTTCTCTGCTTATTAAACCCCACGGAGGTGAAAACCCTACAGTTATCAATGTAGCTACTTACTAAGAGATATTCGGCGGCTGCTACTAGAAGCCTTGGTAGCCGAAATATATCAGAGTGCCGTGTCAAGGTTAATGAGGATCGCTCTGCTGTTAACGTGAACTCCATTAGATCTTCCTGCCAGAGTGCTACAAATACAGCATAAATCATCACAAACTGGGTTATTTACTAAGGGGAGAATTCAACGTGATTTTACATTTAGAGCCAGATTAGCCAAACTGAAAGCACAGCGGGTTTAGAGAAGGTTTCCAGTTCGGCCATGTTAATGTTAAATATAAAATTCACTTTGAATTCTCACTTTGATGAATTTTAAAAGGATATTATTCTGGTAAATAATGTTTTCAACTCTGCTCAGCAAATAGCCCCAAGCTGCATCTGTGCCCACATCATCTTTGGGACATACTATTTATAAAATAAGACAACTTGGGCTGTTTAATATAGGACACTATCTCTTACATTTCCATGAAATTTATTTTTTTGCAATACATATACTGCAGTTTAATAGTGAATGTCATGCGGCCCTTGAAAGATTTTAAAAAGATTTAACCCAATTGTTTTTTTTTTTTTAACTTAACATGTTACAGAATAGGGATAGCATCATCTACAAAACATGTGGATGACCAGGTCTGCTTTGTCTGAGCATGGAGCTTACATCTAGATTTGTGACAACGGCATGTATGAGGAAATTAATAGATTAAAAATGTGCTTGGCTAAAGTCCCATTCTGTTTCTCCACGATGGGTAAATGTACATGCATCAGTCTGCTTTCAAATAAGTTCAGTACTTGGTACCAAAAACCAGAAGTGAGAAGAAAAATGTAATGACAATTGTATATAACGGTCTCAACATTTGCTGGAATGGTACAGAGGTTGCTGTACTTTTTAAAGAATCCTTCTGCAGAATTTTAGTTCCACTGTATCTTAGCAATATTAATCCTTTAATGAATATTTACATATTGCGTGAATGACAACTGAAATGAAATGTTTGGGGTTATCATCATCAGTCCCTTCATGGCTTTAACACGTGAATTAATGGAAGATTAAGACTTTTAATTAAAATGTTAGAAAGACATGTAAGAGCAGAACATGTAATTACATCAGTCATTTAAAAGACCAGATTAAAAAACAAATCTTCCATGTGACCGGACGAGTCACTTCATTTTCAGTCATGGATCACTTATAAAATTACAGATTGTTTGGTAAAAACATATTAAATAAATATAAGCCGTCATGTATATAATAACGCACATTAGCACACACAAGGTTTACGTTGTAATTAAGTTTAACTTCAGAACATTAAAAGGAACACGCCAAGCATCAGAACCACAACATCTTATTAAAGTAGTTATGGTACAAGGAAGCTACGCGTGAAGTCCCTCTGTGCAATCACAGGCTGTGAGAACGGGGCACAGCAAGATTTGTTCTTGCTACCTTGTAGCCGGCCTTTTCAATTAATAACATTTAGAATAAGTCAATGGGGGAAGATTTGGAAATTTTTCGTGGAAAAATGATTTGGGAACTCACTCACATTACTGCAATCTGCCATCTTTCAGCTGCTATATTTGCGCAACTTCTAACAATTTCCAATGGCTGGCTGGTAGTGATAAGAATGATGGTCAGACCATAATTAACAGGCTTCAGGTTTACCCCATTACTGGTTTCAAGCCCATCAGCAGCAATGAGTATTTTGCGATACATGCAACAGCACCTGGCTGAGGGTTAAGGGAGTTGCAGTCTATGAGAATGGAAGTCGGTCTATTAAAGGACCACTATAGTGCCAGGAAAACATACTCTGGCTGGATGGCGAGGAAAGGGGTTAAACTTCCCTTTTTTCCAGCGCCAGGCAGGGAGCTCTCCTCCTCTTCGGCTGAATACGCATGCGCAGCAGGAGCTGCGCACGCATTCAGCCTGTTTCATAGGAAAGCCTTAGATTTTCACAGTGAGAAGCACGCAAACGCCTCTAGCGGCTGTCAATGAGAGGCTTTAGAGGCTGGATTAACCCATTTATAAACATAGCAGATTCTCTAAAACTGCTATGTTTATATAAAAAAGGGTTAACCCTAGCTGGACCTGGCACTCAGACCACTTCATTAAGCTGAAGTGGTCTGGGTGCCTAGAGTGGTCCTTTAATCGTTCCAACTAGATGCAAGCTCTCTGTCTGCAGATCCATCAGAATGCAGAATGTTTTTGTTTGTGTAGTCTGAAATTCCAGCAGCCGATCACCCCACTCTTAATATAACCTGCCGGCTGTTTGCAGATGGTTCATGGTAACTCTAGTGCTTTAATATATTAGTCACTGTTGCTAGACAGACAGGGGAAATTATTTCAATGGAGCTGTGGGAGCAGTTCATACTGTGCTGTAATGCAATCAGAACTGTATTAACTCAATGCTCGTACTCTGAATTTACTCTATCTTATGTACTGTAGTATGAGCGAGCGGTGAGTCTCCTCCACGTGCCGTGAGTGAGAGTACAGCGCCAGTAACGCAGTGAGTGTAGTCCACGTGCTGGGAGTGTGAGTACAGCGCCAGTAACGCAGTGAGTATACTCCACGTGCTGTGAGTGAGAGTACAGCGCCAGTAACGCAGTGAGTGTACTCACTGAGCCATGAGAATACAGGGTGCTGCAGTGCAGTAAGTGCAGTAAGTGCATTGCAGTCCAAATTTGGATGGATTTGTACTGCACGTTGCAGTTATGATCCTTGAGGGCAGTCCCTTCATAACAGACCTTCCCAAGCACTCTAAGCTTAGCCCATTTGTTTGGAAGTTTCACCTATGCGATATCAGTACAAATCATCCAAATGTTGACAGGCTGTGAGTGCTGGGGGCATTTTCTGTAGGGCTTTACTGTAATACAATGGGGTTATTTAAAAGAAAATGCAAAGCACCATAACCACTACTACCAACACTGGAGAGCCAGAGGTACTGAAGCAGGAACGTCCTTTAGCTCTCCTGACACCGATGCTCTCAACCAATAATTATGAATAATTGACAGACAAAACTGTTGACTGACACAAGAGGTGAAGAGACTGCTCAAATGCACTTACAATCTAGGAGGGATGGGCAAAGGAACATAAAGGAAAAAACAACATGCCAGAGAGACATGCTTGGTAGGCATGAAGCAGGTGACTAGTGAAGCTCGTAAAAGTGGTTTGTGGAGGAACGGTAGAGTGGAAGGATGCATTATGGGAAGAAGGCCGTTCAGAGGCAGTGTTATGCTGTGAAAACTTGGGCCTGACACTCATGTGGATGTTACTTTGAAACGTACAACCTACCTAGAAATTGTTGCAGATTGCGTACACCCCTTAATGGCAATAGTGTTCCCTGAGGGCTGTGGCCTCTTTCAGCAGGATAATGAACCCTGCCACACTGCAAAAAATGTTTGAGGAACATACTTCAAATAATTCAAGTTGATCTCTTGGCTTCCAAATTCCCCAGATCTCAATCTTAATTGAGCATCTGCGGGATGTACTGGAACAACAAATCAGATCTATGGAGGCCCCACGTCGCAACTTGCAGGACTTAAAGTATCTGCTGGTAAGGTCATGGTGCCAGGTACTACAGGACACGTTCAGACATCTTGTATAGTCCAATTTTAGGCAGGAGATTGTAAGGTTGTGGCTGATAACCCAGGACATACTTGAAAACAAGAGAAATCACAATGTATTCTTCCTGGTAAAATAGTTTATAAATAAATAATAAGTTTATATTTCCCAAATGATGGAGACCTGGTAATAAATTCCTGCACAGAATAACATATACTGTAAAACCAACTCCTAACAGGATGTGCTTCATTAAATGGAGGGGTGCCATACTAAAAGTTCCCTGTAAAACGTTTTTAATTCAATGTGCATATCTAACTTGAATTAATGCTAAAACTTTCCATGCCCTGAAACTGCCAGAGGAAATGTAATTATTGACTCAATTATACACTGACTCACAGAATACCTGATTTAATACAGAGGTCTTTGTGCAGAAAGCAGTCTATGTGCCAAGCAAACAATACAAAATGCAACCCATACAGCACTCACATCCATAGATCTGGAAGGGAACCATAACTGCAATGAGCTTACAGGAACACTTTATTACAATACAAAGCTATATTCCCAACACTAGCCTCCCTCTGTCTGAAACTGCAGTGTCAAGCTCTGGGTGCCTATAGTGTCCCTTTAAGTGGTTATAGAATGTTTCTTTCAAGCAATATCCCCATAACTACTACAGCTTAAAAGGAGACAAGGAACCTAAATTAGAACCTGTTCCCAGATATAAATCTACGATGTTTTTATCCAAATTTAATGGTTATGGGGACATTCCACAATTGACATAATAACCTACCCTATCTGGTTAGGTTATGGTAGCTTGTCCATGCATGGGACTTAATACAGCAGCAATGCTACTCCCCGCTATCACCATACAAGCAATCGTCCGATATATAGTCATTACTATCTTGTATGGGCTCTCTCATAGATTTCATAATCGTCACAATGAAGAAATTCTATTATGAATTTAGGTTAAAGAGCAGGTATTGTTATGCAGGGTCCTGGTCCAAAGGTGTGTTTTTACTAAACACAGGAATATTCCACAAACATATCAGGTGGAGCGGTGGGTTAGCTCACTAATGCCACGAGGACATTATTAATATTTTATGGTTGATTCATTCCTTAATAATTTACCTCTTTTAATTTCCTGTTGATTATTAGCTTTTGATGTGCTAACATGACGTGACATTGGCTTAAAGCAGGTATAAATGCCAAATAAATTAGGATGTCCTTATTCAATATGACTTGAGCACTCTATGCTTTAAAGAAGAACTGCATACCTCCCAACGTTTGAAATGGACAAGGAGGGACACTTCATTTTTAGCGCGTCAATGGGAGTGTGGACACAGATGGGGCCGTTTTGAGAAATTTTTGAGTGCCTTACTAATAATTTATGAAACTAAAATATAATTTACAACAAGAACAATGTATCTTATTCACAGACTGATTTCTAACCACATTCACTGTAGTTTATATACACATTACTGCAGGGCTCTACAAATCCCAGGCGCCAGATCGCAATGGCGACTAAGAATTTTGCCCTGGCATCTGGGATTGGTCATCCCTTGCCCTCCTCCTCCTGTCCTGCAACGCCGTGCAAGCTCTCTGTCCGCCCGTGCGCAAGTGAAGGGAATTGTACATACTTCCTTCCGGCGCTGTGGCCGCGCAAGGGAACCACAAGCTGGCATGACACCAGGTAAAATCTGCTCCGCTTGCTACTCGTCCCTATTCCACTGAGCCTACCCCCATACCACAGAGCATGCCCCCAGGCTCGCCCCTCTACTGTAGATCATGCCTCCAGCCCGCTCCCATTCTGCACAGCCGGCTGCCCACTCCTTCCCCTGCGCGGCCTCAGAGCAAGGAGAAAGTAAAGTTTACTTCCTCCCGGCGAACAGCGATGGAGGGGGAGGGGGGCGGGGGAGTCTGAACAGAGCAGCAGCCCACTCCTATCAGCCACAGCTAGCCAGCCCTATTGCAACCACCTGCTGCCTAGTCCTATTAGACGCCAGGGAAGCCACTCTCCTGAGTGTGTGTCTATGTGTGTGTGCCTGTGTCTGTCAGTGAGTGTGGGTCTGTGTCGGTCTGTCAGTGAGTGTGGGTCTGTGTCGGTCTGTCAGTGAGTGTGGGTCTGTGTCGGTTTGTCAGTGAGTGAGTGGGTCTGTGTCAGTCTGTCAGTGAGTGGGTCTGTGTCGGTCTGTCAGTGAGTGGGTCTGTGTCGGTCTGTCAGTGAGTGGGTCTGTGTCGGTCTGTCAGTGAGTGGGTCTGTGTCGGTCTGTCAGTGAGTGTGGGTCTGTGTCGGTCTGTCAGTGAGTGTGGGTCTGTGTCGGTCTGTCAGTCTGTCAGTGAGTGTGTGTGGGTCTGTCAGTGAGTGTGTGTGTGTGTGTGTGTTGGTCTGTCAGTGAGTGTGTGTGTATCAGTCCAGGTGTCTGTTAGTGAGTGTGCGTGTTTAGGTCACCAGCCCCCCTTCAATCAATTGGGAATGGTGTTTTTACTTACCTTTTTTCCCCCAACGCTGTGCCAGTCTCCATAGCTGAGATTATCAATCTTGATGATCTCAGCCAATCCAATGCTTTTCTGTAGCATTGGGAGCTTTTGAGCATGTGCAGTAAAATGTTGCACCAATCAGCATCTCCTGATAGAGTTAATTAAAGCTAGTGACTGCCACTAGATGTTACTAGGCAGCAATGTAAACACTGCCTGTTTTTTTCTGGAAAGGCAGTGTTTACGTGGAAAAGCCTGCAGGGACAGGCTATAGACACCAGAGCCACTACATTAGCCTGTAGTGGTTCTAGTGACTATAGTGTTCTTTTAATAATTGTATTTTCGTTGTTGGAAAACAAAAAATGGCTCCTAACTTTTTAAGCTGGCTCCTAGATCCAAAGTAAATTTGTCAAGCCCTGCATTACTGGGAGTATTATTGCTGTGGAGCTCTGTTATTCTCTCAGACAAACTAACAACATGGAGCTTCTGCAAAAGAGGGGCATTAGGATCAGAGGGATTTGGGATCAATATAGGGACTGTCCTTCCAAATTAGGAACACTTGGGAGGTATGGAACTGTGACCATTCCAGTTATTGGAGAGAGATGTGGAATAAGTTGTAGAACGCTTTCATTACGTACTGAGTGGTGTCAACATACAAGATATAACTGTCCCTGGGCCATTCTACATACACAGTTAAACAATAAGCCAGTCACCTTGTACCCAGAGAGAGATGTAACCACTTGCACAATAAGACTACCAACCTGTTCTATGTGAAATGTTTGCATATAAAGTTCCTGTATGTACCTAAGAATTATTGGATCACAAGTCAGTTAAAAGGAAGAATGACATTGTTTAATGAATGAACAAGGAGCCAGGATAAAGAGCGATAGAATTATTTTCCGATGTTCGGTGAAAAAAAACAAGCCCCTACCCACGTTACAGGATGTCACATGTATAACAATCAGGAAGAATATTTTGTACAATGCATGTCAGACCATTAAGCCAATTCTGCAGTTTGCAACAAACAGTGATTCCAAAGTGTTGCTTGCGTCACATCTACCCAATAGTCTGATTTCTTCACCATGTCCTAAAGGACAGATAAAACCCAACAGATGATGTAAAGCTCATATTTTATGCGGAGTACAGATCAGGCCAGATGACGTACACACAGTAATTAATAAATTCTGGGTGGAATTATTATTAATAGCATTTATGAAGAGTCATCATGTTCCTGAGTGCAAGACGAAGAAGGCCCTGCTGAAAGGAGCTTACAATCTATGAGGATTTGAGGTAGGCGATTATGCATCGTTTGGGGTCTTGCCCAAAGACCCTTTTACTGGTGCGGTGGTTTGACCAGGAATGAAACCTGGGTTCCTCAGTTCTAAAGCAATGACATTACCACTGCTCTGACCAGACATGGAAATCCGGAAAAAGAAGAAGCATCACACCTTAATATCAAAGCTTTTTTTTTTCTGTAGCAATTAATACAACACTGAGGTAGATTTACTAAACCGTGATAAGCACCCACCATAATATCCACTATATTTGTTCTGAGGTCAGATTCTCATTGTAATCACGTCTTCCTCCTATATGGGGATACGTACGTAGAATAACATGTCAGAGAAGATCACATTTGCCATCAATCCCCCCCAAAAATCTGCATCCATCTACAATCTCCAACTAATTGTATGTCTATCTCCTATTTCATGTGTAATTGTAAATACCCTCCAGGAAAATAGGCAAATTAAGCTTCCTTTACTGTAGGCAACAGCTGTCCAACCTTGGCCCTCAGATGTTGTTGGACTGCAAGTCCCAGATATGGCTAGCAGAGAATTCTAAGAAATGATGTTCAGTAACTGCTGATGCAACGAACCTGGATAATTCTTCCTTTAGACCAGGATTAGCCAACTGGCAGTGCTCCAACTAAACTCCTATCAGCCTTTCAAGCATTTTTAGTGCACAGGGCTGAATTGATTGGCTGGGTATACGGCCAATAACAGGGCAGAAGAGGACAAATAGAAGCCTCAGAGGAATATGAAACCGGCAAAATAAATAAGTACGGACACTCCATGTTGGCATAAGACTTGTTAGGGACCAGATTGTGATGATGGCAAAAGATAAGGACTTGATACTTAAAGGGATACTCCCAACCCCAAAGCATTTCAGATTGCGGATGTGCTTTACCTGTGAAGTGTGTCCTTCTCCCCCCTCCCCCTCCCTCAATTTCCTAAAAAGTGCAGATTTCAGTAGAAATTGACACTTTTATTAATATAGTTACTCCCCCTGGTTTTCAAGCAGACAACAGATCCTGTTACTTCCTGGTTTGGTTAGCTCAGTAAAGCTAAACTCAAGAGGCAGCAATTACCCAGAGAACCTGCCTTACAAAGCCTTCTCATTGAGCTGCATTGGGAAGTCTGTGATTAGACAGTCATAGAAAGTCTGGGCAGGGTTAGACAGGGAGGGCTTGCAAAGACTGCAGAGAAGAGAAATACTTCAATGAAAAAATACATAAGTAAATAGATGGAAGTTTCCATTGGGGGTATATCTGCTAAACTTTTTTTGTTTGAGCAGTGGGGCTTCCCTATAAAAGGACAACAGCTTACTGATAAACAAAATTATTGGCATTCAGATGGGAATGGGAATATTCCACAAAAATAAGGTGGAACCATAGGTTAGCTTACTAATGCTATGAGCAGTGCTGGATTTTCATAATTTTTTAATAATTCACTTTCTTTTCATTTCTAGTAGATTATTAGCTCATGAGCTAACATGGCATGACGTTGCCTTAAAGCAGGTAAAAATTTAAAATAGAAAACCAGAAACAAGTTTAAGAACTGCTTTCTCAAAAACACTTGTTCCTGAGAATCTCATGTATTAGATTTAAATGTTCTTACTCATGTAAATGTGCTCACCATGCTTTAAAGGGGAACTGCATACCTCCCAACATTTCAAACTGACAAATTCATAGTAATTTAAAGACACATTACTGGGAGTATTATTTGCCGTGGAGCTCTGTTATACATGGAACGCCTACAAAAGAGGGACATTAGGAACAAAATAAGGACTATCCTGGCAAACCTGGCCACTAACAGAATGTCTTTATATATACCTGACTATTACTACCATTGCTATTTCTATCTGTGAAAAAAACCAACCACTTTTAAAATATCTGTATGTAAAAAATTTCATCTGGTTTATCATCTGCATTCGTGTGCTTACAGCACATGAATGCCGCTAGCGTTCCGTTTCAAGTTTCACCAACAGTGAATTCCAACACTGTTCGTGAAACGAATCAAGGACCGAATGGGAGACCACCCCAGAAGGTCGTGTGCTGCTCATAGTGATGTTGCAACATTGTGTCCAGCCTTTAATGGGCTTTCTGTGTGTGGCCGCCGTTCGTGTACCGACACGTGGCGGTGGCCATCTTTACTTTGTTAGAGTTCAGCGGTGTTTGGTCGTCGAGTGCCTGGAACTGAAATTGGCCATTTGATTTCCAAACACTGCTGGACTTCCATAATGTTCGGGAAAGTCGCTCGTTCGGGGAAATAAAGCAGTTTGTGGGTTTTCTCTTCTAAACCCCAGTTCGTGTAAATGTATATTACGAGCCGCGTTCGGTTATTTCTGCAGGGATCCGAGTGGTACTTCGGTATATTGTACCTGCCGATCCCTGCAATCTGTTGAGAGGTCATTCATACAAATCGGTGGGAAATTGTGAGAATTATAGATTTTAATGTAAAATATTGCATGTTACTGTAACCACTGGTAATCCAATTATCTGTACTTGCTGATGTCATCTTTGTCCCTGTACAGCAGGGGCTTCTGGGAAACAACCCTGCATGGTCAGTTTCCCACACAGTCCACCTGATTAAAACCCCTGCTGTCCCAGTCTGGAAACCCTGTACAGTAAAAACCACATAAAATTGGGGATTTTTCAATAAAGCTCTCAGTTGACCTCCAAGCTATGTGTCGTCTAGTTCTTGGGAGAAAAGGATTGTACCTACGCTACCTGCATTTTACCTACATTTTACCTGCTTCATCCTGTGTACCAGCGGAGATACCGTGGATAATACTACTATTCCGCTACAATCGGTGGCAAGCGACGGGATTTAAAGCACACAGCAAAGCAGCGTTCGGCAGGGATTGATGCGAACAGAGGAAAAGAAACAGCAATTCGTGAAACAACCATTCGGATGAAACCGGAGTTCGGGAATAAGTGGAATCACACGAACAGCCGGTGAATGGAAACGAATTTTGCACTTTTGAAACTGAGTACACGGAAGGAGACAGAGCAGCGGATGCTGCAGCACCTCCAATGGAGGAAGAACAAACTGAAGTTCAAAAAGGGTTCAGGAGCAGGTTGGCACTGTACCCAACCACACCACCCCCAGTGACGGTCGACAGGATCATGGCAGCAATCCAGAGGGGGGTCACCGGCTCCACCCAGCATTATACAGGGAAAACCAAAAATGCCCTACCAAGCCTTTAAAAATTTCACGGACACAGAGGGCGATGGATATTGATGGATATTTGCAGGACTTTGAAAGACTGTGCCAGCTGCATGATATTGGGCCCCAAGACCAGGTACCACTGCTGGCCGGGAAATTATCTGGCCGTGCAGCAGAAGCCTACCGGGCAGAACGGAGAAGACGTGTGTGGCTGATGCAGTCATGTAGACGCTGCATGTAGCTATCCACCCGTATCGGCAAACAAGCCAGGAAAGCTACGAGATGCCCGGTATTTTTCCAAGCCTTACAAGCTAGCAGCAGCCAGTCGGAGCTATCTGAGATGTTCAGTGTAACGGAGTCTTACAAACTGCCTGAACTTCTGCTCGAGCTCATGCCACAGCCCGACAGCCTGACAGCTCACAGCCACAGCCTGACTACTCAAGGTAAAGGAGTAGACATAGAGCTATCCCAGAATCACCTTGAGGAGTGTAATGGAGAGGGAAGCAGGAGCAGGAGTCTGTCATATAGCAGTGCTTCATTTAAGGCAAAGTTAAGGCTCCTAAAGCACCTAAAGTAAGGCAATCAAAGCAAGCAGTAACATTGTATTTTTCTGTCTTTAATGGGATACCAAATGATCTAAAGTGGCCCAAAGGTGAAATAAGTGATTCAGAGTGAAACAAAGTATATTAAGTGAACTAAAGCGGCACAGAGTGAAAATAAACGATACAACGTTATACAGAGTGATACAAAGCAAAGCAATGAGACCAGAGCAATACAAGTGATACAAATTGATCTAAAGAGATACAAAGTATTTCAAATGGCCTCTAAGCAAACGCAGAGAGTTTTAAAGTGACAGGAAGGATAGGAGCTCTAAAGTGTTATATATTAGGCTGCAAGTGCTTTAAATGGTTAATAAGAGCTTCTGAACGCTGCAAGGCATTGCAAAGTATTGTAAATTGCTTCAAATGGTTTTAAGCCTTTTGGAAAGATCTAAAGTAAATAAATAAGGGATTTAAAAGGTGATCAAAATTGTAGCTGAAGCAATGATAAAGTGATATAAAGGAGACAGAGCAACATAAAATAATTTTAAAAAAACCAAAGCGCTCCGAAGTGTTGTGAAGAGATTGAGGAGAGGAAAGGAGTGAACAGTGAATTAAACTTACTAGATTAAAACTACATATTATATTGAAGCAGTACAAGACATCAAGGAATTAAAAAAAGGGAAAGAGTGAAAAAAAGGAAAGAAAAAAAGGGAAAAAAAGAAGAAAGGAAAAGAACAAGAAGAAAAAGAGAAGAAAGAGGAAAAAGAAAGAAGGGAAAGAAAGAGAAAAGAAAGGCAAATGCATTTCCCCCCCTTTATTAGCACCTCAACACTGTATCAACTCATAACATTTTATATAGTTTTTCAGCACTACCTACACGGCCACCAGATGGCGCTGCTGAAGGCACAGAGACAACATGAGTTCTTTAAAACAAATAAGAAAGACAGAGGAAGAACAGAGCGGGTGCTGGAGGCAGTGCGAGATCTCCCTCATATCACTCTAAAGCAGGCTCTGATACGGATTCTACACAAATCTTAGGAGAAAATGCAGAAGATCTCTCCCTGTCAGAAAAAAGATTGGCAGACACGCTCTCCACCCTGAGAACATCATTACAGCTAGATTTTAGAAAAATATCGGAAGAAATACGCAAGGAAGTCCATGAGCTGGGTACAAGGACATCTGCCCTGGAAGAAAAAAAATGGATGAGATCTGCGAGAACAACAACAAAATGAGGGGAAAAAACTTAAAATGGAAGAAGACTATATAAAACTCCAGGGAAAATTGGCGGATATAGAGGATAGGTCTAGACGCAATAATATCCGTGGTAGGGGTGTACCCGAAACAGTTCAGGGGCAGATATATCACCTTACTTAGTCGAGTTGTTCAAGGCAATAGCTCCCACTCTCACTACAGAAGAGTTGCGGTTTGATAGATCACATAGGGTGCCAAAACAAAGGGAGTGAGTACGCGGTTTCATACAGACTGGCCATTTAAATGAGACAGAGAATATAAAGATAAGGAAGGCAGATTACTTATTTTGGTGGGTTCCTTAGGTGAGGAAAAAGTAACAATAGCAAACATATATACACCAAATAGTAATCAAATAAGCTTTTTACAGAAAGCGATAAAACGCGTTGAGAAATATAAACAAGGCAAATTATATATGTGCGGTGACTATAACTGCATGTTGGATCCAGAGTTTGATGTTTCAGGAGATGAGACCCCAACCACGAGAAAGGCTGCTTTAAGTGCCAGATTAGCAAAATTAATGATAACTCACAGTCTATAGGATACTTGGAGGGCTAAATACCCTCAATTTAGAGATTATACTTTTTATTCAGCGGTACATTTAAATTACTCAAGGATAGATATGTGTTTGACAGATGCATCTACACTCCAGTCTCTAGTAAAGGTAAATATAGATCCAATAACAGTCACATAGACCATGGCCCAGTATGTTTCATATTTGACACTTCATATCAGACAAGAGGCAAGGGTTCATGGCGTTTGAACGAAGCATTATTAGATAATAAAACGGGAGAAAGAGAGATTAGGAATACAATTAATCAGTTTTTCAAAGAAAACACTAATCAGGATACATCTATAGCAGTTACATGGTTAGCTCATAAGGCCACAGTGAGGGGAATACTTATAAAACAAGGCACAAGGGCAAAATGAACATTTGGAGAGGAAAAGAAAAAACTCCTCAAATCTATAGGAGAAATAGAGAAACAATATAAACAAACTCAATAATGGTCTACAAAATAAACTTTTTAAACTTAAAAAAAACAACTCGAAAATTTAGAATTGAAGGTAACGGAACGTAATTTGACAAAAAATAAAATTTAAATATTATACACAGGGTAATAAAGCGGGCAAATTATTGGCGTCTCATATTAAACAGAAGTCAACACAATCAAAAATTTCATACTTGGTAAAACCAAAAGATGCAAAATTGATAGATCCAAATCACATTGTTAATGAGTTAGCATTATATTATGAATATTTATATAATTTAAGGGAGGATTCAAATACAACCCAACCCACATTAAATAAGATTTCCACTTACCTAAGAGATGTTGAACTACCCTGCGTGACTCGGGAAGAGGCGGAGATCTTGAACAAACCTTTTACAGAGGAGGTGGTCTGGGAAGCTATAAAAACAACTTCAAAGCATAAAGCACCAGGCCCAGAAGGGTTTTATAATTATTATTTTAAATTTGCAAAGGAATTGATCCCAAATCTAACAATACTTTTTAACAGCATTTTAGATTCAGATGAGGTACACCCGAAAATGCTGGAAGCTATTATAATAACACTACCAAAACCAGGAAAGCCACCGACTAGCTGCGTCAATCTAAGACCTATCTCTCTGCTTAATGTAGACATAAAATTGTTTGCAAAAGTAATGGCACTAAGACTGAAACCACTACTGCCCAAATTGATAGGGGCAGAACAAGCAGGCTTTGTGCCAGGTAGACAGGTGGGGGATAATACCCATAGATTTATAGATATACTGGAAATAATGAAAAGACAGAAAACTGAGGGATTATTGTTGGCACTTGACGCGGAAAAGGCATTTGATCGCCTACATTGGCAATACATGGAGAAGGTGCTATATAAATTTCAACTCCCAAACAAATTTAAACAAGGTATGCTTTCATTATATACAAACCCAATGGCTAGTTATCAATTCAGGTTTTGTGTCTCGTAAATTGCGCCTCTCTAATGGAACAAGACAGGGCTGTCCCCTATCTCCATTGATTTTTATTATGACCCTTGAACCCCTAGTATATAAGATAAATAAACAAGTTCAAATAACGGGGCTAAATACTCACATAGGACCTTAAAAAGTGGCCTTATTTGCGGACAATGTCCTGATAATACTAACAAATCCAGACAAAACAATAATGCCGCTAATGGATTTATTGAAGGAATATGGCACAGTGTCGTATTATAAAAATAATATTATTAAAACCCAAGCCTTACCTATTAATATGCAATTGCCAACTATTCGAAAGCTGAAAGATGAATACCCATTCGAACGGAGAAATAAATCTATAAAATATCTTGGTATTCATCTTTCAGTTTCGAAACAGGAAATGATAAAAAAAAATAACAATAGCAAATTACTAAGAGAAGTACAAGATACACTAAAACACTGGGACAAGAGCACCAGATCATGGGTGGGACGGATCAATTCTGTTAAAATGTGCATTGTACCACAGATTTTATTTCTTTTTAGATCCATACAATAATGATCCCTAAATCAATTATAACAAATTTTCAGAAAACAATAAATGCTCATATTTGGAAACGCAAACCCCCAAGAATATCACTGAATACAATGAGCTGCAAAATGACAGAGGGTGGAATGGGAGTACCGCATATTCAAAAATATTATATAGCTTCCATACCGGCACAAACAGCAGCACTAATAGATACATCTAGTATACCCCTATGGCATATAGAACAACAATCCATTGTCCCACAATATGAGATATTGGATCTCATTTGGATAACACATCGTGCTCATCTTAGAAACTATAATTTCCTATCCACAACACAAATATATCTGAGGTTGTGGACTTACTGGGGCCCTAAACTTCTGGGGAAAGGCAATTATTTTTACTATGGAACTCTGAAAAGTTTAACTTATTATACAAAAGATTTAAACATAACATGGAAAAAGAAAGGATTAACAAAAACCCGAAATCTAATAGCAGGCTCAGCTATACATCAATTCCCAGATATACAATTTAAATACGATCTTCATAACAGGGAACCCTACTCATATCTCAGAGTGAAACATATTTTAATGAAACTTCAAGTGAAGGAGGTGGAAAAATCTAGGGTGAATGATTTTGGGAGGCTATGTTTGGAGAGATGACCCCAAGATAAGCCTCTATCAATAAGCTACAGAGGAATATTAAATCTAGCAAAACCAGAGAAAGTGCCTTTTATGTTAAATTGGGAGAAGGAGCTAAACAACGAGTGGGAACCGTTTCAATGGTATAGGGCTATGAGATCAACTAAGGCTGCCACACATAATATACAACATATCGAAGCAACATACAAAATGTGGCTACGGTGGTACATGACACCACAAAAATTGATGCAAATATATCCAGAGAACGTGGGGACATGCTGGAGATGTGGGGAAATGGAAGGATCGATGACCCATATATTTTGGCAGTGTAAAAGAATTATTGATGTATGGAAACACATTCAGCAATTAATTCTTAAAGTTACAAACACATTGATGCCCCTGTAACCAGAAATATTCCTACTACACATTATGACAGAGAGAATATTGCTAGAAGAAAAAGTGCTAATTATACATATTTTGATGGCTACAAAAAATGCTATAGCCAATTTATGGAAAACAAAACAGGTGCCATCATTAAGTATAATAAGGGAAAAGATCTCTACTACCAAAATCTACGAGGAGATGGCATATAGGCTAAAAGGCAAACAAGATATTTATGATAAAATTTGGGTGAGGTTGAAATTAAGAGACAATAAGGGGAAAGAAATAAGCAAAATAGCTTCATTAATACAGATGGCTAATAAAATTTAGGTGGTACAAAACAAACGAAGGAAGAGGGAAGGGAAGAGAGACGAGGGAAAGAACGAGAAGAGAAAAAACAGTTCTACCGGAGACTATCTATTGATATGCAGAACTGGGTAAGAGACCGTAAACCACGCACCTTACAAGACGCGGCTAAATTAGCGGACGAACATCAAGACACCAGACGAGAGCAGCACCCACCACCCAGGGTATTCCCCCAGTCGACAAACCACAGGCCTGCCTTGGCCGAACCAGCTCACCCACGATCTGGGGGAGCTAACAACCAATACTAACCTAGGTACCCCACCCGGACACATATCAGATGCCACACCTGCAACCAATTGGGGCATGTACAAAAAGAAAACAGGGCACCACCATTATGGCCCAACCAAGGCCAACCTCCTGGCACTCGAGCTGCGGTACACTGCTATCAGATTGAATCATTTATCCAGCCCTCCACAGTCACCCAGGTGGAGGAACCTCTAGGCACTCTCCACGAAATTAACCCCGTCTAAGCGGCGTCCTATAACCGCCAAAGCCACCGACAAGTCGTCCACGTAGAAGGGAAACGTATGGAGGGACTGAGAGATTCCAGGGCCACCATCACCTTGGTCCCAAACCACCTTGTCCCAAAGGACCAGCTTACGGGGGATTGTGTAGCAGTACGGGTGGCAGGGGGAGCAATCTACAAGGTTCCCAGTGCCAAGATACATTTGAATTGGGAGCAGGGTCAGGGAACGTGGAGGTGGGGATGATGCAAGACTTGCCAGCAGATGTAATTTTGGGAAATGACTTGGGGGAGCTCACCTCCGCTTTTGTTCCTCGAACCACCGTATAGGAGGCCTACCCAGTCATCACTAGGCCCGCACCACGGCCCCATCCAGTGACTGAGGCTCAGGTAAGCAAGGAACCCCATAACCACACTGCCCTTCCCTGGGATGCCCCTCTAAAATTTGGTAGTGAGGTCGCTCTAGATCCTTCCCTGCAGGTTTACAAAGACCAAATAGACAAGAACCAGGCAGGCTTTGAAGGAGAGAGATATGCTTGGGATAAAGGGTTATTATACCGGTATGCAGAGAAGGTAGTAGCCGGGTCTATTCCCATACCCATAAAGCAGTTTATTGTGCCTTGAAAGTATAGACAGGAGTTACTGCGCATTGCGCACAACATACCCTTATCTGGTCATTTAGGGATCAGCTGAACTAAACATCGGCTGACACAGAACTTGTTTTGCCCAGATATCTCCAAGGATATTAGGCAATACTGATACACCCGCGATACCTGCCAGAGGGTAGGGAAGAGGGGAGACCACTATAAAGCCAAACTCCATTCCCTACCCATAATAGAAGAGCCTTTTAGTAGAGTAGCGGTAGACATAATCGGACCCCTGAAAAAGCCCAGTCCCTCCGGCAAGAAGTACATCTTGACCGTAGTGGACTACGCCACCAGATACCCCGAGGCGGTGGCTCTAACGAATGTGCATGCAGAGACCGTGGCGGATGCCCTTATGCAAATTTTCTCCCGCATGGGATTTCCACGGGAGATTATTTCAGATAGGGGTACCCAATTCACAGCAGAGGTCACCCACCAGCTTTGGAAGATATGTGGGATAAAATCTATCCTTAACTCACCCTACCACCCTCAGTCCAACGGAACACTTAAGCAGTTGATCCGGACGTTCACAGACACGCAGAAGGACTGGGAGAGGTTTGCTGTTCGCCTATAGGGAAGTCCCCGAAGAATCCACTGGGTTCTCTCCCTTTGAATTATTGTTCGGAAGGAGGGTGAGGGGCCCCCTAGATTTAATCAGAGAGCACTGGGAGGGGGGAGTTACCACTAATGGTACCCCTATTGTACCATATGTGCTGGAGTTCCGGGAACGCTTGGAGGCTTTGACTCAGATCATACGTGCCAACCCCAAGCAGCCCATCAACTACAGCGCAGATTGTATGATAGGGGGGCCAGGGCCCGCAGCTTTCAGGTCAGGCAGAAGGTGCTAATCCTACGATCCGTCCCTAGGGACAAGCTGCAGGCCTCCTGGCAGGGCCCATTCAAGGTGGTAGAGCAAATCTGTGATACCACCTGTGGCAGATCTAGCCACTTATAGATCCAAACTGCATCTTTAAAACTGAATTTGTATATGGTTTCTGTTATTCCCTATATCTTGTAATGTACGCGGCATTCGTGTGTTACAGCACACGAATACCGCTAATGTTAAGCATTAGCCAACCACTTTTAAAATATCTGTATGTAAAAGATTTCAGCACACGAATGCCGCTAGCATTCCGTTTCAAGTTTCACGAACAGTGAATTCCAACACTGTTTGTGAAACGAACCAAGGACCGAATGGGAGACCACCCCAGAAGGTCGCGTGCCGCTCATTAGTGATGTTGCAACAATGTGTCCAGCCGTTGATGGGCTGTGTGTGGTCGCCGTTTGTGTACCGAACACGTGGCGGTGGCCATCTTTGCTTTGTTAGAGTTCAGCGGTGTTTGGTCGTCGAGTGCCTGGAACCGAAATCGGCCACTTGATTTCCAAACACCGCTGGACTTTCAACGTTCGGGAAACAAAGCTGTTCGTGGGTTTTCTCTTCTAAACCCCAGTTTGTGTAAACGTATATTACGAGCGGCGTTCAGTTATTTCTGCAGGGATCCGAGAGGTACTTCGGTATATTGTACCTGCCGATCCCTGCAATCTGTTGAGAGGTCATTCATACAAATCGGTGGGAAATTGTGAGAATTATAGATTTTAATGTAAAATATTGCATGTTACTGTAACCACTGGTAATCCAATTATCTATACTTGCTGATGTCATCTTTGTCCCTGTACAGCAGGGGCTGCTGGGAAACGACCCTGCATGGTCAGTTTCCCCACACAGTCCACTTGATTAAAACCCCTACTGTCCCAGTCTGGAAACCCTGTACAGTAAAAACCACATAAATTGGGGATTTTTCAATAAGGCTCTCAGTTGACCTCCAAGCTATAGGTCGTCTAGTTCTTGGGAGAAAAAGGATTGTAACTACGCTACCTGTATTTTACCTACATTTTACCTGCTTCATCCTGTCTACCAGCGGAGATACCGTGGATAATACTACTACTCCGCTACATAGGGAAATTTGGGAGGTGTGATCCTGTCACTACTCCAGTTACTGGGGAGAGAAATGCAATATGTTTTAGCCTGCTTTAATTGCCTACTAGGTGGAATATATTAGAAATAACTGTTCATCCTTAAAAAAAAAAAAAAAAAAAAAAACACCGTGAAACAATGATACAGTGACCTTGGACACAGAGAGTGATCTTACCACTTGCACAATACGGATACCAACCTGTTCTACGGGAAATGTTTGCATATAAAGTTCCTGTATGTACCTAAGAATTATTGGATCACAAGTCAGTTCAAGGAAGAATGACATATTGTTTAATGAATGAACAACGAGCCAGGATAAAGAGCGATAGAATTCTATTCCAATGTTATATAAAAACAAACAAACCCCTACCCACGTTACAGGATGTCACATGTATAACAATCAGGAAGAATATTTAGTACAATGCATGTCAGACCATTTAGCCAATTCCGCAGTTTGGAATTAACAGGGATTCCAATGTGTGGCTTGCGTCACACACAAATATATGAAACATGGAAATCATGGTTGTGAACTTGTTATATCCCCCTAGATGTCATACCGGTTACTTACTGGTTTGGTTAGCTAAGTGGAGCTGAAGTGAAAAGACATCAAATGCCCAGAGCACTTGCCTTGCAAAGACGTCTCATTGAGCTGCATATGGAAGTCTGTGATTGGACAGCCTCAGAAATTCTGGGCGGGGTTAGAAAGGGAGGGCTTACAGCTTTAGTCAACAGATCTGCAACTTTTGCAAGCTGGTTTTAGAAATCGTTAATAAAAAATGCATAGTAAATGTGTGCAAGTTTTCATTGGGTGTTTGTCAGGTAAACGTTGTTTGGGCAGTAGAGTTTCCCTTTAAAAGGAAAACACCCTACCGGCAATGCCTATTGGCATTCACTAAACAGTCTCTATGGCCCCAAGAGTGAGAATTAATTCCAGGGCCTCACATCAGGAAATCCTGGACAACCCTGATGCAAACAAACATTCTCAGCACACAGTGCACCTTAATCAGTCTATTCAGGATCCGCATCTCCAGCAAAGTCGCAAGGTGTTAAACACGCCAAGGTGGGGCACAAATCACATATGCCAACTTGCTGCTTTCAGGAGAAATTACGTTATTAATTAAAAAAAACAAGCACCATGTTGACACATCAGTTTGCCATTTTAAACACACATTAACGGGTGTTTAACGATTTAAGCACCAGTGGAATGAGAAATGTTCTGATATCATTGTGTGTCAATTCGTTATTTATATTTCTGAGAAGTGCATTGTGACTAGTGATGTCGCGAACAGTTCGTGAACTTCCCTCGAACGGCTCGCCGCGGTTCGCCATGAACCGTTCGCGGCGAGCTCCGGTCAGCTGACACATCCCGGCAGCTTCAACATGGATTCTGTCCAGGAGGTGGGAGGGTCTGGGAGGGAGGGTCTGCTGGAGATTGCCCGGGATGTGTCAGCTGACCGGAGCTCGCCGCAACTGCAGCGAGCCGTTCGCGGGAAGATCGCGAACAGTTCGCGACATCACTAATTGTGACTAAGTGTGCTTCCTAGACCAAGCTAACCCATTTATAGGGGCAGCTAGATAATAAATAACTCCAGGAGATTAAAAAGCCACAATATATTATTAGGCATGCACCGAAATGAAAATTCTGGGCCGAAACCGAACCTGAAAATTCAGGGTGCCCTTGTCCCATAGTGTTCTTCGCCCCCCTCCTGCACCCCATCCCAAGTGCAGTATTCTTGACCTTTCGTGTTATCATTACTATCTTTCATTGTGATATATAATCATCTGAATTGTTAATGCAAGCATGTCTGTTAAACTATGCACTACAAAAAAAAAAATATTTTAAAAGAAATTAAAATGATTATTTTTTTTAAAAATTTCGGCAAATTTGACCTGTTTTCGGACAAAATGGTGCATCCCTAATATTAATTAATTATTTAGATCATGAATGTCAAACTCGCGCCCCCCAGGCCGCATGCGGCCCACAATGAATATCTTTGCGGTCCATCAAAGAAATGTATTGCTAAGGGGACCTGGAAGAGCAAGGAGAAGGTGCATGGAAGTGGGCGGAGGCGGGCAGAAGTGCATGGATGCAGTCAGAAGGCATATGGAGGTGGGCAGAAACGCATGGAGGCGGGCGGCATCATGTCCTGATGTGACGTCTACATGCTCTGCCTTAGATGGGTTTCAGATCTGGTACAGGGTGTGGACAGCGCCATTAACTTTTTTGTTTGTTTTTTGAGGTGGGGGATGAGATTTTGTAGAGGGGGGCTGGAGTTTAGTAGAAAACATACATACCACATGTTACTGGGAGTTGTATTGATACAAGCACTTTCTAAGCTCCAAAAAGAGAAATAAATCAATCAGTTTCCTTGTAAAACAGGAACGCTTGAGATATACCCAAGATTGGTGCTGCACGCAGCAATCACCTTTCATTGAAGAGATAAGAGGAGATGTATAGACGCTCATTTCTGCTTACAGCCAGGAGGTGTAATGCGCAGCTCAAGGATTCACAATTTGCTATTCAAATAAACAAGTTTGTAAAACAAAAAGGTTACAGGAACAAGGTTCTAGGCACGATAACCACTTTAAAAAGCTGTAATAGTAATGCTTTCCATGTGTTTACCGTTAAGATGAATGGAGAGCACATCTCAAACACATAGCAAATGTGTACCATGAAAGATTCGGTATGTCTTGTATGAAGTGACCTCAACCTGTGGGCACATACCATAAATTACTTAAATGTAAACAATTTGTAAATCACAAACAAAATGGCTAAACCTGTGTAAACCCTTATTGGCATTCCATCCATTAATCAGTTAGTTTTGTTGAATGGCGATTTAAACATTTTGGCTAATATTGCCAAACGGACTATAGAAAAGTTTGAAAATTCTTTCCTATTGCTTATTTTGGACAAAATCTTCTAAATTTGGCTTTCAAATTACCGTTTAGTTAATAAGAACCCTTCTATTTTTATCACTGTTAAAACTATCCACTTTTTCTGTTTCAGTAAATAGCAGGACTAAGACAGACATCAGACCTTTCGTTCTGCCACTGCAGATAGACGGCAAATCCGTCGGCTCAAACTGGTTTTACACACAAAACATTTCTCACTGCACATTTTTATCAAGCATAATATTTATTACTAAAAACTCCCAAGACCGCCCATGCCTCAGGATCTCACAGAATAATATAAATAAGGGAGGCATCGTTTTAGAGGGCTCAGCCAAAGTATAATCAGCATTGCTTGTCAAATGCAGTACACATACTCATAGTGTACACTTCATGTGTTTGTGCCCCATGATCCGGGAAATGAAGGAAAAAAACTGCCTGATTACAATGCAGTTCAATCAATCACATACTTACTGGCACACAGCCGCTCGGTAGACAATTTCAGATTGTGCATATACAAAGCTGTACAGACTCGTCTGTACAACGGTCAGGGTCACAGGACCACTTGTCTTGTTATTGTGTTATAATTAGGCAAAATAAGGTGGGTTAGGGTTTTAGGATTATCCAATATGAGGTTTTTACCGAAAAATAAAACTGAAAAAAGTAAAAAAAAATTGTTGGTACATAGAATGCACTTACTATTTATAACAGTGTATGATGCAGCCCTAAAAACGTTAAAAAAAAATAAAAAAAAAAAAAAACCTCAACAACAATTCAAGCCTCAAGGTCCCATTTATCCAACATGAGGTGTGTTTGCAATAATATTATTCCGAAGACTTTATGTTTATATTGCTGAATTCATTGGGCTATTGCAAACCCAAAACACTCACGCCTCGTCCGCTTTCTAAAGGTAAACAGTCATGAAAAGACCAGAAAAATAAAAAAAATATATTGCTCTGTGATTCAGAACGCCTCCTCCACGTGCACGTAAATGTGTCGAAAACTTGTTATTCAACACTTAATACATTTATAACAATATAGTTAGGATTTTCTTTTACAAAAATAATACGTTTTTGATAACAAAGAATAAACAGACATGTTATGTGCACATGATAGTTTACATAAGCTCGTTTTGAGCAGGGCCCTCAACAGCCTGTGTTCCTGTACGTCCAACTTGTCTTGTTGCTAACACTTGTCGGTTAGTCCACCAATTGTACAGCGCTATGGAATTTGTTGGCGCTTTATACTTAACTATAATATCTTCTGTTCCAGAAGATGCAAATATGGTAGTCCATCTAACAAATCATTAGAATGCACCAACCATAGCCAACATAACATGGCAAATGTACATGTGATAAATTATTCAGCCATCTGCGCTGTCACCAGCAGAACAGTAAAGACTATAAAATAGGATGTCCACCTCCAAGAGACATGGTACATTACAATAACTTTTTATGCAAGCTAGGATTTGTGGGAAGCCTTTTGTATTATTTGAAAACTGACTGAATACATTGCTCAATGCAAAGCACCAAGGTATAGCCAAGTGGAAAAAAATACCAGGGGCTTCAGCCATGGGTACATTTTATTGCCCCTCCCGCTTACATTGAACTCCAGCCTATACTACGATCTATTACCAACCATAAACACGAACATGTTGAATGAATTGCATTATGACACTAAACCTTTGTGAATAAAGTTAGTGTATTATATAAACTCGCTGCAGACCTCCTAATAGTCTCACTTTTGGTGGGACAGTACCGATTTCAGGGTCATGTTTTGCTCTGGTTCCTCGGTGTCTTGCATCTGAAGAGACCAGGAACTGTCCTGGGCAGCACAATGCAAGCGTATCATTAAATGCGCTAATGATGTGCGGCAGGCTCTTCAACCATGCAAGGAGGACTGTGCATGGATTGACGGCTAGGGGCAAGCCAGGCAGCTTGTCAGTCTGACAGATCTGGTAATCATGGGTATTGCCAATAACGCTCGACACGTCAAGGCCCCGCACACCCCATCCCCATTACATACCATGTTGGGAGGTATACTGCTGCATTAACCCTGCATCTGATGTATAAACCCCAAACCTGCGGCACTAAACCTGCACCCACAGCAATACCACCTACACTGTGCTGTATCATCAACATGGAAACCATCTAAAACACCCATAGGCATCCGCTACAGAGCACAATAGGAGGCAAGTGCCCAGTACCCCTTTGAATTTGTCTTTAATTTAAATGGGGCCTAAGAAGCATATTAGAGCTTACCCCCATATCGAATCTAAGGGCACATGTGTTTTTTTTGTGTGTTTTTTTAACATGGCAATAAGGAACGTTTTTTAAATGTTCCTTTTCTTTCCAGCTTCTGATGCACAGGTATCTCTCGCTCTGGTTTCCATGGATACAAGAGAGCTGCTTTGTTATTTGATGGTCTAGTTTAGATATTTATTATGTGACTAAATGAGGAAAAACAGAACTAAAATAAATAAATGACAGATAGCATGTAGATAATGTCAGTGGATGCCCTAATTAGATAGCGATAAACGAGGAGCGGAAGTCACTGATGCCGTATTTCTAGGAATCGGGAATTAATAACCAATACAGACTTTCCATCCAAGCCTTTAACAATAATACAACAAAAAATAACAATTGGAAACGAGATATCAAATGACTCCTCGTCACAACATCATCACATCTCAAGGAACTAGAAATGCCATTCCAGCCAAGCGTCTTAGCCACCCCTGACATCTGGTGAAAAATATGGGGAAAATGGGAGGGGGGCGGGGGAGCTGTATATTTACCACGAAAAACTGGACATTGAAAAAAATAAAAAAATAAAAATTTTACAGAATATTTCAGAATTAAGAATAGAAACCACAGATAAATTATGAGGATACAAAGCACTGCACTGCATGTGTTTGATGGTATTTTTTTTGTATGTTAATTATCAGAACGCCACAGAAACCTGGAATGCGAAGCCTGGAATGGCCCATCTAATCTACCCATTACATAATCTCTGATTGATACCGTTTATTTGTCCTTCAGGATAGTCTCATGCCAAACACAAAGTCTTCCATTCATTTACTACTTCTACTGCGTGGCTACTAAAAGTAACGACTACAGTTTCTGTAAAACAGTACACTCACACCCTCGGTAAAGCACTATCAAAGCACGTAGGCACTCTGATCACAATTGAAAACGAACGTCATTCTTTTCTGTAAAAGCTTAAATGTACCGTGAGTTTGAGTTCACGATTTGTTAGAAAATAATTCCGTTAGTAATAGATCACATCCGTCCGCTTGGTCCCAGCAAAGTTGTATTCACCATTTATCAAGCGTCATGTAGAATAGAGGGATGCAGTCTGAGACTTAACAACTTGAAAAGATGGCAGGACAGTGGTATCCCACATTGATATGTACTGCAGGAGTTATTTACTAAATTTGGAAATGACAAAACTATTGCAAAGTAGCGGAGGAGTTTAAATGCTCTGCGATGGACCGAAAACTTGTAATTAACTAGTTTAATCTTCACACTGCCCGGTTTACAGAATCACGTCACACCTTACCACCAGTAAATCACACTTTTAATGCTTCCGGGAAATGTCCAGTCTTGAATGAGTAACTGTGCCTTGGTGATTCATTTTTTTAACTTTACAAGACAGGTCTGTAAATACACTAAATGCACAAGATGAAAAGACTAAATTATTTTAGGACTCTTTGTACAATAACAGTGTAGCTGGGAGTGAAGTCTGAAATGCCATTCTCAGTAAACATCCTATCTTGAGGTTATGACTGTCTGTTAAGTTTCCAAGACTGTGGAAAATGCTTATCTTTGGTTTCACAAGGGGGGTTTGGCTCTCGGTAGGAGTAAACAGGTGCTGCCAGGACGGTTCCTTGTAACAAATAGTGCACACATTGTCCTAGACATGTCGGTAACCGTATCAGACTCACAGTTAATATCAGTTTACCAAAATAACATGGTTGCTAATAATGTCCTGCACATAGTAAGTCTTATCCATCTACACGACAAACTGGTAAGCACAATCATAGTTTTTGATAATGGATCACATTTTGTAAAGATAGATAAACAGAGAAAGGCATGGTTGGAGGTGGAGTGCGTGCTTACATTAATAAAACTATACATTGACATCACAATTGCAAAAGGCACAGAGAGGGCATTTCATGCAAATTAACTTACAATTACCACACTTCCTTAATCAATTCAAAAATTATTTCTGCACGAACCGTAATATTTTTCTTATTTCTTTTTAGAACATCACCGTGACATTTGCAACATAGTAACACCGCTGATTGTAAAGAGTGACCCACCATGAGGAATACTCCGAGCACCATAACCACTACAGTCTTATGTAATGGTTATGATGTCAGAAATGTCTTTGCACCATCACAATGTTACTTGTAAAAAGCATGTTTTAGATGATACACACACTTTACTCAAACAACCATTGTAACAAAGTATCCTGAATTTCACCCTTGAAGTAGTGTGTCTATTTGTGCTCCATTAGAATGGCTTGACAACTTACCTGAATGTGTCCAGGTGCTATATACATTTTCCCCCTGCAGGAGAAGCCAAATGGCCCTATTAAGCTAAGCGAAGCCGATACAGTGTACGCTCAGCTGACGCTCTCTCCCAATGAGTGCTGCCCTGCTAAGTTCAGTATAGCCAACCTTCCAAAGACTGGAAGCAAGGTATGTAGCCAAGGGCACCTGGTGGGACTCAGGCCATTTAAAAAAATTTTTTTACAAAGCTGGTGGAAGATCTTAAGAACCATAACACAAGTCTATTGAACAAAAACAAGAAGATATATCATGCAATACTGTAATGGCGTGTACCATTGTACTCCCACACTGTTACATCGTGAATGCAGTTATTAATGCACATGTTATTGTCGAGTGTAAACTATCTGCCCGTCCAAAAATAAATAAAAAATAAATAAATAAATAAAAAAACCACATTTGTAAGAAGGTTCTAAAAACCGTTCTAAACAGAGACATTCCTGGCACCATAAGCAGTACAGCGGTTATGGTTCTTGGAGTAATCCTTTGTTAGGAATACAAACATGTAACATGTATCTCTGTTCTTACGCTGAATATGGAAACCAGGAAGCCCCGCTAGAGGCAGTCACACAGACATGGTGCATTAGGCAGAATTGTAAACACCGACTTTTCTCAGCAAGGGCAGTGCCAACAATGCCCAAAACCACTATATTATGCTGCAGGTGTTATGGTGCTTAGAGTTTCCTTTTAAGGCGAATTCAATATTTTTATTTTTTTTTAAACAAAAAACACAAGCAACTAAAACCATCCATAATTGAATGCAACAAAAGCATGGAAAACAAACAACAAAGCTAAACAGACAACTTAACAAAACACGTATGAGAGAAAAGAATGCAGAGCTCTGGTAATGATTAACCCGATTTGTGCCGGTCTGGTTAGAGATTGTGGGACATAGCAGAAGCAGCGTGGGCTCTATCCTAGTAATATGTATCCAGAGGTTTGATTACAGTGTACCAGAAGACACACACACATTCATTATTCAGAGGACTGAGCACATTCTGCAAGACGGAGAGGTAAACAATATCAGAATAGGACACCTTAGAGAACAGACAGTATTGTTTCACTGAAGCAATGATGAAATGTCCGTTACAGATGGTTCTATGAATTAAAATGGCACATTATTGAGAAAGAATGTACTCTATACATGGTGCTAGGCAGGGGATATGTTATCGGTATGTTACATGTGACATACATGTATGTATGCAAAAGCAGGAAATACAGAGCTCTGCATTTGGTACCTTCAAAAGACAAACGTAGAAATCGTGTGACAATCGGCCTTTTGTTGTACAGGTAGTATTTGTACTGTACTTACACTGCATTTTAGGAAACTCAGTTCAGTTTCATTTACACGTAGATCTCCAACATATTCCACAGTGCAGTACAAAAGGTGGGGTGGGAATTAGTGGCAGGGTTTTCTAATTACTCACTGCTAAATAGGCAGGGCAACTCCTTAAAACAGGTCAGCACGAACTTATGGTCACGGTGTACAGCAAGCATAGGCACTCCAGATGTTGTGGACTACATCGTCCATTTAACTGTTACAGCCATAATGTTGGCTAAGCATCAGAGGAAGTGTAGGCAACAACATTTGGAGTAGAGGATTATCCAATAGTAAGTGCTATACTCCTTGTCTTCATTTACAGTTGCACGGGAATGAAAACCCATCAATCAAATCAAATTTTACCATCAATCGAATTTTAACTTTCCAGAACAGATGGTGTTAGCCTTGGACCCCAGATTCTGGCAAAGTACCATGGGAATTGTCCCTCAGAAACATCTGGAGTGCTAAAGTTAGCTTATTATTGTTCGAGAAGGATACAGATCGAATGTTGACTTTGTGCAATGGGCCTCTTTCTGACATTAACTTTCACTTCTGAAGAGAAGCCAGCATTACATAACAAAAGATAAATACAATCCTGATATTTCCTGCTTCCATGTAGGTGGACAGCCAGATTTGGGTTAGAAAAGTTAACGTCTCATAGTGACCTGCCAAACCTCTCTTCTAGAGCAGAGCTATGCCGAGCTGGCAGGCGCGTCTGTGTACAGTGTCCCAGTGCGTAGAAGCATGGCATAGCCTGAATGTGCCGGAGACTGACCAGATACCAATGCCCCTTCTTGGGTTAATCCATCGCTTATAAATCTTTGTTATTCTTTTTTTAAATAATTTGTTTTGCTCCATAACTCAAGCGTTCTATCTCTGCCTCTTGTGTAGATGATGTTCTAATGACATGGGTTGCCGGATGCTGTAGTTCAGCTGTTCTACAATCAAAAGTTGAAAACTGAACTACAACTCCCACAAACTCAGCTGTACACTGTAGGCACCCAGTCAACTCCATGTCAATTAAATGGACTGGATGCAGTGTCCCTGTCCTTTTAACCCTGCAATGCAAAACATTGAGTTTTTTTTGTGTTTGTTTGTTTTTTAAAATTGCAAAGTTTACATTGTAGGTTTAAGTCCACTTCTAGTGATTGTCGGTATGACAGCCGCTGGAGACGCTTCCGCGGCACTGAACAAGTAAAACGCGGTCACGTGATGCAGAATCCTGTATAGGAGTACATTGATTTAATACTTTCCTGTGGAGAAGTTTGTATACCCACAGTATTACCGCACATGCACATTAGGTCCTCACTGCTCCTCCATAGCCAGTAATGTCGTGGGAGGTGGAGAGGTAAGTAGCAGTGAGGGTGCCTCGGTACTAGACAAAGGTAACAGCGACAGGAACACTATAGCCTTGGGACTACAGATTTTATTTTTTATTTTACTCAAATGAGCTTCTTTATGGATATCACCATTACTCATTCATACCAGATCTATAAACCATTTTCCTTTGTCTGTTCTTGTTTTGTACTGCTGAGGATAATAAGTGGGTACTGAGCACAGATGGCAGCTAAAAGCAGCACTTTTCATGCACCGACAACACCACCAAGAAGAGATAAGTGTTCAGGAAACCAGGGACACATAACCGTGAAGTCTTATCTTATATTGCCTGGTATGACCCAAAGCTCGCAGAACTTTAAACAAACCCAAGGTCAAGTGTGAAATGTCATGCAAAACCAGATTCAATCCAGTACAACTTGCTCCACTGCCCAGATTTAATACTGCAGTGTGGTAAGAGTCAAATGGAATAAAGGTGTCTCATATCGGACGCTCCAGTATATTACAGTATTTTTTACAGACACACTGTTAGATGCCAGCTATCAAAATTAAAATCAGAAAAGTAGGTAAAGGGTTTTGTCTCTAAAACAGACAGGATGCAGCTTCACCAACACCCACGGGTCACATTTTAACACTAAAGGTATTCCTCTCACATACTACTTTAAGACCATTTCTAGTTTATATATTGAACTATAAAATGTGCATTAATTTTATACAGCTCTTCATAATGATATGAATTATGGTTATGTAAATCTGTTTACTGTTGTATTTTTTTCTTTTACTTTTGTATCTTTTATACCCAGCAAATAGCAATAAAACGGTTATGCTCTTATCTTCCTTTTTGGGTACAAAGGATTGTTTTCTGATAGAGGTGCCGTATTAAATTGTCCAGGCAGTGTGGGTGCTAACCTACTCTAACTAACTATAACCGCTTTCTGCATCAGAAATTCAACAAGCGAACCACAACACCCAGAAACCCTTGTTCTGCAGATGTTAACAGGTACACTTATCACTGCCAGGGCAAAAAAAGAGAAACAAGGCTGGCTGAGAAATCCCCATAGCTGGTAGACCTCACTGCAGAAGCTGAAAATGTGCAGCAAATGTGAGTATCCATTTTAGTTTTTGTTGTTTTTGCATCACCTACAGAATCCATAAAACCAAACACAAAAATGGGTAGAATCCAGCCTTGAGTGTCCCTTTAAGTTATGGTTATTGGTTTTAAAGGCTAAATATCCTAAATCTACTTCCACAGTTCTAATTATCAGTATGAAAGATGCAAGCATCAAGTGCATCAACAAAATACACAGACAATTACTTTTGGAGCCAATGAAGCTAAAAGCTACGTATATCCACGTGCCTGGCGTGTTTTCTACAGACATCACTACTCTATGGATCACTGAGTTCTGATTTTAAGAGAACTCCATGTATCTGTGCAAGAAGTCTCAGTGTTCCGGGGCAGTTTAGACAGACTCACTCATGCCTACAGAGCACGGAGCTCTGGTGTCTCTGCAGTCTAGTTAGTCAATTGGTAAACCAAGTCACGATCTCATCTGAAGCAGGTCAAACCAGGTCATTGATCGAATGTATAAAAAACACACAGTATGCTCAGCAGATGAGTCACTGATGTTTTAAAATGAATAAGACAGCTAGCCTGCATTATAACTGCTGACAGGGCTGTCTTCGTGTAACCACTGGCAGTATCACGAACAACTGTACCTGGTCCAGCAGGCTTCTGATAACCAGCACTCAAATGACAGGCTGGAATCTCAGAGAGGGGCCTCCTAAATATCTCACCCCCAACCCCTCCAGATAGCCATGTGGATGTGACATCTCTCCCATACCCCATCTGCAACTCAAAATAAATAAATATGTCTTTCCTTCCCTCCTCCATTACCTCGAATAACTGTACTAAGGGGGAGCTCTGCCTCTGTGTTGCTCAAATCAGCACAGACTTCGTTGCAATGGTCAATAAATATTCAGAGGGTTTTAAAGAACCTTTTATTTACACCGGACTAGACCTTACCATACTGAATTGCTTTTTAGGTTTCTGAAACTTAGGTTTCAATGGATTAAATATATAGTGGGCATTATAATCAGAAAAAATGCATTTTACAGGCCATTTTAAATTACAAAGCTCATAATGTATTATTTATCGGTATTTTATTCTTCATATGTTCATTGTTGTTTTTGTGAGCACTTTATGAATATGAAAAGCTGAGTTTAAACAATGAGGTCCAACTAAAATAGCAGGAGTTAAGCATCGTTAACTGCAAAACGAGAACACACGCATGGAAAGTGATGACCTACCTGTACCGTATCCTCCATTAGGCCTCTGATCTTCTCCACAACATCATTGCGTCTGTGTTGGCGTAAAGCGCTTATGAGTTTTGCAAGAGTGGCTTCCGGCCCTCGGATAGTCCAGTGCTGTAAGGCTGCGTAGGCTCGCTCGTGGTCTGCCGTGTAACCGTTGGAGAACGCCGCCACCTCCTGCTCATTTGCATTGCAAAGAAACTGGTAAATATCTTGCCATTGGCTCCCGACCTGAGCTGCCACAAGCTTCAATATGTCAATACCTGAAAGGAGAAACAAAGGAAAGGATTGAGAAACATTGTATCATTTCATTCTGCAGCCACAGGCTTTATATTATCACTCCTCTGGAGTTTACACCATTGAATAGGACTTTGTAAAATCACCTCTAACTAGTGTTCACCTTTTTCATAGACGTTCAATTTTATTTAAATATATTTTATTTAGCAAATTACATCATAATGCAGGGCAACCAGTGCATTGAAGGGCAAATGAAGAGGAGAAATAGGACCAAGTAAAGGAGCACTACAGGGTCAGGAACACAAACATCTATTCCTGACCCTATAAAGATAAAACCACCATCTAGCCCCCCTGGTCCCCTTTGCCTCCCTAAATATAGTAAAATCGTATTTGTATTCATGGCTGCAGCTGCTGGCTCTGCCCATGTCTGCCCCTATCTGCTGACATCAGAAGTGGTGGTCTGAGCTTTCACATAGGATTGGCCGAGACTGTCAAGGAAGCAGATCAGGGGCAGAGCCAACCACCGCCCTGGCCAATCAGCATCTCCTCATAGAGATGAATTTAATCAATGATTCTCTGAGGAAAGTTCAGTGTCTGCATGCAGAGGGAGGAGACACTGAATGGCAGTGCTGCTTACTCTGCAGCACTGCCCAAGGAAGCAGCTTTAGCAGCCATCTGAGGAGTGGCCAGTGGAGTTATCACTAGGCTGTAATGTAAACACTGCATTTTCTCTGAGAAGACACTGTTTACAGCAAAAAGCCTCAAGGGAATGATTCTACTCACCAGAACAAATACAATAAGCTGTAGTTCTGGTAACTATAGAGTCCCTTTAAATTTTCACTGCAAGCCTAGAGTATCCATGGCACACTCTCCAGAAGCAAATTTCTACTCGCCAATGTCTACAGTGCAATTGGAAATTGAGCTTTTTCCTCAGCATTAGGTTTAATTTAAAGCGGCACTGTCAAAAATGGGTGTTTCATGAAGATCAATAATTATGAAATATTCATTTTGACGGTGTTGAAATTTCACTGAAATTGCAACCCACTCAAGATATATACTGAGACAAATCATGCCATTTATAGACACTGGACAAGGCTGTTGCTGTCTAGAAGTGTCAATACCTACAGCCGTCACCAGTGATGGCTGCAGGGAATTGGCTCTATCAAGGAAGGATCCCATGGTGACAAGATCTTCCATATACCTCAATTCTGTACTGTTGCACATGCTTGTCAGAAAATGACCTCAAGAGTTCCATCTGCCCAAAGGGCAGTGAACAGCAGGAGTGGAGGTGCTATTCAGAAGAAGCTTGCAGAGGATCGAGAAGTGTTCTCCTGTCTGGCACAACTTGAAGCCTGTAAGTTTCCGGTGTAGGTTGAGTGTCGGGAGCAACTGAAGGTATCGGATGCGTTCTAGCGTGGTGGGTGTTCTCCCATCTAATAGGGATTCTATCAGTTTTAGGCCACCTAAATATCTCTCAAGTATGGTTTACCTCCCTCGTCTCTAGTTAACAACCCTGGGGCTTGTCCTTCTGGAGACCTCTTTGTTGTGAGATGCATTTCAAAGCAGGGAGTACTCCATACTCGACGTGTGGCTCCAATTGTGGGATGTCCAGTATTTCCTACAAGACCAACACTGGTAGAGAGTACCTAGATTTCACATGATCTAGCGATAACCACTTCGAGTACTCACTTTTGTGGTGCCAATCTACTTCTCACAAAAGGTTTATACATGGCAAATCTGTCCTGCCCCTAGCCTTAGGGAAACACAGTATTCTGTCTTAAGTCTGAAATGTCCCCCGTTCCATACATAACCCAGGAACAACGTTCTTTGTGTTGCAAAAAAGGCCCGGGGACCATGATGGGATTATATTGGAGTAGGTAAAGTATCCTGGGTAGGACATTCATTGTGAGAACAAGACTTAATCATCTAGACTTGTGAGAGTAAAACTTAATGATCGAGCTTTAAAAACAATCTGACCATACAACTAGAATCTTTGCCTGGATGACCGGATTTGTTTTTCAGAGAAAGAAATCAAATATAACTGCAACAAAACGTTCTGTGACATGCTATCAAAATTTCAAAATATATCTTGAGCCTTGCTTGTTCTCTTGAATAACAGATCTTTCCAAGAAGGTCAAGAAATGTCCGTACATAATTATCTTGTCTTGTGGTGTACTTAGAGGCTATTCCCCCTGCTATCTTTTTACGGGTTTCTCTAGAAACGTGTAGTCTTTCTGAGCCAAGAGCCAGGTTTTTGGACAGAACAAACAGATGCAATACGGTAAGGATAGGCAAACATCGGACACTCCAGATACTGGCAAAGAATCAGTGAAGATGTATTCCACAGCATACACCGCAACAGAGTATCTATCAGTATCACTGAACATGCAGCATTTTACAACCATTAACACATCTCATCATTGCTGTAGTTCATTGTGTTTAAAGAGATTTACAAAACTCGTGGAATATTATTCCCTGCATAGTTACATTTCAATAGTTAGCACAAAACAACTATGTATGCAGTCCATTCTTGATCTAAAGCACAACTATCACATTCTGTAATAGTGCCAGTTCTGGACTCCCAGTTCTGGACCAGTGAATGTTATTGAATTGCTCACTGGGGTACAGTAGGGATATATAGAACACACATTTACGGCATTGGGGTCCAGGCCAATACCATCGCCTCCTATTGTACATCAGAGAAATGCTTTATAAGCACATGCAAGCCTGGATATCTCTTCCATAGAGCCAAACCGGAGCATTTCCCTGTACAAATGACACCTGTGACAGTAGACGTTAAACAACCAACCATTTTAGATAGATTCCACAAAACATTCAAGAGGTGAAAATATAATGTACTCACTGATATTTATTTAAAATGAAAAAAAAAAATAAAAAAAAAAACACAGACACAATGGAGGGAGGACAGGAAAAAAAATACACACATAAATGTTCAATCCTAAACTTTGTCTAATCCGTTTCTATTAACAACCTGTGTCTGAAACGCATTTTTTTTCACCCTGAGCAAGAAATGGAGGGACTGCGTTTTCTAATGTACAGTAGTCAATTTGAGAAAACTTCAAAATTGGAAGTGCTTAAAAACAAGATTTGGTTTGAGATTTGAATCAAATTTACCCACAATCTATCAGTTCCGCAGAAGAACACACAGCAGACAACGTGGGAAGAGGATAACAAAATCACTGCACACAAACACTGACATGCAGCATAAACAAGCAATGATCATAGATCTAAAAAAAAGGCAAGTGGCAAGGATGGGAATGTAATTATTTAGATACAGGGGACATTAAGAAAGGAGAACTAAAAAAAATAAACAAACACGTGACAGGGCAGCTTTAAATGCATCTCTTCTTTATATGAGGTGTTGCTGCGGATAGCCTCCTATATGTATTAAAAATAAAAATGAAAGACTGGATGTTAAGAGATTATTATAGAGCGTACAGCAATGCGGGGACACGTATAAATTTCTTATGTTTGAAATCTTCAATAAAAATTGAAACATGAAAAAAAAAAAAAAAAAAAGTTATTGAATAATGATCTGCTACCATCCCGCCTTTGCTCCATATATCACAAGAGGCAAACGTCTTGTTATTTTTATCTGTATCTGTGCAATTCAGGGATCTGAACAGGCCATGCTGTGAGTAGAACAAAGTGTCCACCCAGATCTAGTCCTTGCTGCATAGAAGCAGATACACTGGGACCTTTCTGTAGAGGGCACCACCTGATGAGAAGGCTAGCATCTTGATGTTGGCCAAAGTTTATGAGCCTGACATTTAATGGCCCCGCAACAGAAAGGTAAGTGTCCACGGGGGTAACAATGTAACATTTTATAGATGTATATTAATTTTTTTTCAAGAAAATATATGTAACAAATTATGGACTGATACATAGCGAATACTCAGTCATTATATTAATACAAATTTATAGTGCGCAAATATTTCACGAGTTCTGAACACGCACTTCAGATACAGTATTGAGAACCTCTTTGGAAGATGTTTCTGGAATAGTTTAAATGAGACTTAAGGAGAAAAGAGAACAGGTGTTTGGGACAGAAAAACAAACAGTTATGTAGATTTTAACCAGTACGTTCCTCAATTCCACTGAGAAAGTCATTGTATTTGTGGGACGTTCTGTTCTAATAATCCCAGTAAATGATCCACTAACACTTCAGTGAGGCGTGCACCACCAGCTTTCCACAAGCAGCAGGCATTATTATCCCAAGATTCCTTGCGCACACACGTAAGACCAAGTCAACTGTAGAGAACCATGGAAAATTTTACATTTCCATGGAATCCCAAGCTCTGCCTTGCATCGGATTCAAATTAGAACAAACAAAAAGGCATGGTGAATTTTAAAAACGAACATCTAATGCTGAAAGTCACGAGGAGTCCGGTTTAATATATCCAAACTAGAAACAGTTCATACTGTCAGATCCAGAGATTTATTGCACAATGCCAGCTCATATTCTCAAAAACCAGATGGATGAAAAGGAAATGGCAAAACAGATTGTTAGAGTACAATATTCAAGCATCTGTTTACAGGCAACCGATAACACCGCTATCTCTGATTCTTTACTTAAAATGTAACTCCAACCATCACGGCCACTTCACTGATTTGAAGTGGTTATGGTGGTAGGAGTATGGAGGTGCAGCATGTCGTCAGTATCACTGTAATCTTAATCATCTCCTTTGCTGGCGCACACATGCAAGGGGAAGCACAATCTCCCCTCCAATCAAGGGTTTATTTTATTTTTTTTCCTTAAACTGAAAATCCCTCCCTTTCCCAGCTCAGAAAACATGCACATGCACTCTGAGCTGGCAAAAAAGCTCCAATCACAATCTTATCTAGGAGATGTCATTGACTGGACCACACAAGGTCTTTTATGACATCAGATGAAGGAGGAAGATCGGCACCTGAAGCTTCCCCTGGTGCTAGATTACAGGTAAATTTTAAGTCATTTTTTAGGTTTTACATGGGACGGGAGGACGACTAGTTAGCAAGCACTGAAAGACAAAAAAAAACCAAACGGTCAAAAGGGTTGTAGTAATCCTTTAATAGTAAGGTTTACATTGCAGTTTGTGTTTAGGCCAGGTTTTTAATTAATTTATTGGGATTAGGGATGCTGAATTTGCTTGTTTTGAAGTTGTGCCAGAGCATGCCTGGTACAAAAGCCACACATTATGTAACAGGCCACAAATGTAGACACAAACGTATAACTACGTGCAAGGGTGTTTAAAAAAAATGAATTGATGCTTTTTGTAGGAAAGTGGGGAAATAATTATAATCATAGTAAAACCAGGGAAATATGTATCTGAAATATCACTTATATAATCAAATGTCACTTATATAAACAATTAGCAAGCAGTCACAACACTTGTATGGGTGTTTTATACAAGACAACAAATGGTAAACCCACACAACATGTAAGTGGAGCTCTAACAGTCTAAAGGGACATTCCACAGCCCAAATACAAAATAAAAATTTTTTTAAATTGCTGTTTAGCAGATATATTTCCAATGAAAACATACAGGTATTTGATTATATATTTACCATTGGGGTCTATATAAACACAGCTTGTGAAAACTGCAGGTCTCTGGTCTTCAGCCTTTGCAAACCTTCCCCTTCTAACCCAGTCCAGACTTTATGTGGCTGTCCAATCACAGGCTCCCCAATGCAGCTCAATGAGAGAGGTCTTTGCAAGGCGGATGCTCTGGGCAATTGCTGCCTCTTGAGTTTAGGTCCACTGAGCTAAACAACCAGGAAGTAACATTACCTGTTGCCTGCTTGAAAGCCAGGGGAAGTAACCAGGTTGAAGGACCACTATAGTGCCAGGAAAACACTAGTTTTCCTAGCACTTAAAGCGGCACTGTCATGCCGAATGCCGTTTTTTTTTTTTAACCCCCCTCCCGCCTCCACTACATCCAATTGACCCACTAGTCACCCCCAAATGCCCCTAAGCCCCCCAGATTACCTATTTTTTAATCCTTATTTTCTGACCCGATCTTGATTCAGGGCGCCGCCATCTTTGTGTGGGTAGGTGAAGTCCCTCAGGGACACGTCATCAGCCCACACTAGACAGACTGTGAGATTCCCGCACATGCCCAGTGAAACACCTGGACATGCGAACAGGAATTTCATCTATTCACTCATTCATCAGACAGACGAATGAATGAATAGAAAGATCAGCCGAACAAACTAACACAATGTATCAGTGTTAGTTTGTTCGTTCAGTTTATTACAAGGAGGGAGCTACCGGCGTGCAGCTTCCTCCTTGTAATATGTAACTATAGAAGCGGCAGGGAGCAGTGCTCCCCACCACTTCATAAGCCCCCCCCCCCAGTACCCCCTCTCACTCTATGGGGGTCAATATGACCCCCATAATAGCACAAGGGAGATTAAAATCTCCCAAATGCCCCTACTCGCTATACCGCGAGTAGGGGCATGTCTACTAAACAGTGAGCAGCCTATGGCTGCTCACTGTTGAAAAAAAAGACATAAATTACAATAAGGGGGGGCGGACCTATTGTCCTCCCCCCCTCCCCCACCCTGAGCGGCGGGTGGGGGCCATGAAGATAATGAGGGGGGACCTACTGTCCTCCCCCCCGGCCCCCACCCCTGAGCGGTGGGTGGGGGCCCTAATAAAACAATAAGGGGGGGAACCTACTGTCCTCCCCCCCTGGCCCCCACCCCTGCGCGGTGGGTGGGAGCCCCAGTAAAACAATAAGGGGGGGGGACCTACTGTCCTCCCCCCCTGGCCCCCACCCCTGAGCGGTGGGTGGGGGCCCTAAATGAAACACCCCCCCCCAATCAAGGTGACTAGGGGTCCCAAGCCCCTAGTCACCAACCCCCCACCCAAAAAAACCTATCCCCTACCTACCCCCCTCACCCTACAAATAGTGAGGGGGGGAATAAAATAACTAACCTGTAAAAAAAAAAAAAATAAACTTACCATTTGATGTCTTCTTTTTTCTAAAATCTTCTTTCTTCAGCCCCCAAAAAGGCCAAATAAATTATAAAGCCTCGCCCCGCCCTGCAATTAGGCTTAGAACACTCTGATTGGTGGGTTTAAGCCAATCAGAGTGCTCTGAGTCATTTTACACAGCGTGGGAAAGTTATTTTGAATTTTCCCACGCTGTATAAAATGACTCAGAGCACTCTGATTGGTTATCCACCAATCAGTGTTATGAGTCATTTTACACAGCGTGGGGAAATTCTAAAGAACTTTCCCACGCTGTGTAAAATGACACAGAACACTGATTGGGTGGCTTGAAAGCCACCCAATCAGAGTGCTCTGTGTCATTTTACACAGCATGGGAAAGTTCTTTTGAATTTTCCCACGCTGTGTAAAATGACTCAGAGCACTCTGATTGGCTTAAACCCACCAATCCGAGTGTTCCAAGCCTAATTGCAGGGCGGGGCAAGGCTTCATAAGCCTTGACCCGCCCTGCGGAGCTCAGTATGCGGCATGCCCTCGAAAATTGCTCTGACCAGCGGAAATGAAGCACACTTTGCTCCTCCGCTGGTCAGAGCTGGTCAAGCGGAGGAATCCTCCATAAGGCAAAGAGTCCCTTCTTTGTCTTATGATTTTAAAGAAAACTAAAGAAGACAGGAAGAAAAGAATAACAGATCCCGAGAGAGGGGGAGAAGAGGAAGAGATTGAGGAAAGGTAAGTTCGGCATGACAGTGCCGCTTTAAGGGTCTCTATGGGGTGGAATGGGTTAAATCTTACCTTTTCTCCACCGCCGGGCTCCCTCGGCGGTGGGGAATCTCCGCCTCCTTTCCCCGGCATTGGCTGAATGCGCATGCACGGCAAGAGCTTGGCGCGCGCATGCATTCAGCCAGTCTCATAGGAAAGCATTCTCAATGCTTTCCTATGGACGCTAGCGTCTCACTGAAAATCACAGTGAGAAGCGTGGAAGCGCCTCTAGTGGCTGTCAATGAGACAGCCACTAGAGGCTGGATTAACCCATAGGTAAACATAGCAGTTTCTCTGAAACTGCTAGTTTACAGCTGCAGGGTTAACCCTAGATGGACCTGGCACCCAGACCACCTCATTAAGCTGAAGTGGTCTGGGTGCCTATAGTGGTCCTTTAATATTTAAAAAGTATCAATTCCTGTTGGAATTTGCTCCTTTTAGAAAATGAAAAAAAAAAAAGAGGACATACTTTACACATAAAGCTTTTCAGCAAGCTAAAGTGCTTTACAGATATGAAGGGTCTCTTTAAATTTGCACCTGTTTGGCATAGGGTGCACATCTTGAAATATAGCATATAAAAGTAAAAATAAAACAAACAGTATGATACTGTAAAATAAAACCACGGTGTGATGGGAAAACATGTGAGTAAATACACTCACATTTGATGGAGCCGATGGGTGACTGCTTCTAGTCCAGGGGCCCATAAGATTAGAGCCAATCACGCGTAAGCTCCACCAAATGTGTGATTTTATTTTACAGTATTATACAATTTTTTTTAACCTTTTATGTTGTATACATACCAGACGTCAAATAGGGGTGACTCTAAAGTTTAGTGCGGTACTTTCACGTTGTGTGGGTTTATCATCAAAATGTACTTTGTACAATATCAAAAGTGTTTTACCATAAGGGCATGCTGGCAGCCTCTCACTGCTATTCAAGTAGATGTCCTTCCCCAACATAATGGTAATCAGATTTTAGACCTAGAAATTATTAGGCAGAGTCAATCCAGCATGGAATCAAACACTACATATTAATAGGCCATTAGATACTATCAAATATCCAGAGCTTGAGTGCAGTTAAACCAAACAGCTCCAGGCAACCAAAGTTCTTTGCACCACCATTGTTTTTCTTATGATTTACCAGACTGGCAAAGTTTTATTTCGTGGGGGTCCCATCTCTTCCTGTTCTCTCTAGAATTTGGTATATTACACACCGAGGCCCCAAAATATGGCATTATATTTTAGCACTCTGTCTAAAGGATTGAAGCATTATAAAATATATTAGAAGCGATCTGGGCAGTGGGGAGCAGAGATGTTCTTTTATCTGAACTGTGGCAAAAGTAATCTCACCAGTAGTTCTTGGAAGGGCCTACTTGCCAGCCTCTTGCCCCAGGACTATGGCCCATGTATTAGACCTTGGTTCAGGACTGAGGAAAGGCTTTGTTCGTGCCTTTTCCCCCCTCTATGGTTCAGTATATGGGGCTTACCGAAAAGATTAGACTAATGCTGTTCATATACCGAATGAACTGTCGAACGGACTGACCACCCAGAACAGTCGTGTGCTGTTTATTGCCCTTATTGACCTCGCTAACAGCTCTATTCACTCTGGGGACTGCTATATCACTATACTCCCCTGGGATTATAATCACTTGCTCTTTTAAGAGTATATTGCTACACTCTTGGAGGAGAGGTCTACCCACTGGAAGCTGGATTCTGGTCTTGGGTCCAGGGTGGGTGGAGGACAGAGAGACCTCAACCAAGCTGTAACGCTGGAAGTGGGGACTATAGTGCTGATGGAGTCTAGTGGACTGCTTGGAGTACTCTATGAGCACTAGGAGCATCGAATGGTGGAGGCACCCAGTCGGGGTGCCAGGCGATCCATCACATGAACAAAACCACAAGAAACTGGACCCCCACACTCTGAATTGACCCAAACACTATTCACTCTGAAGCTATAACACGAATGGCTGGGTAAGGGCCCTAAAAAACGGGCATCACTCTATGCCATATGCCATAAGAAATACAATTCTACAAACGTCACAGACAGAGGAAATCAACCCAAAAAAGGTGGGTTCATTTCATACCTAGAAAATAGTAATGTTTAATGGGTAGATCATTATTTACTGATTGCCAGTACTTAAATAAATAAAAAAAAACTTTGCCAGTGAATCAGACTTGTATGAGTCTTGCTTGGAGGGTTAAGACAGACTTGGTTTGATTCCAGCAAGCCCTTGAAGCATTTTCTAAGCATACGTCTTATCAGATTATTAGACTGTTCCATTAAACTCACAATTTGACCAAACCATCTGTCTGAATTGTGTCATTTGTGTGTACTCTTTCTTATCCCTTCAAGGACTATCAAAGACATGAGTGTACGGTCCACTCATACCCTCCCTTCCCCTCTTTAACCCTTTAAAGATCTACATTTGTTAAGTCTAGAATACAAGATCAGCTTTGACTTGGGACTGTCTGCGTTTGTAAAAAAAAAAAAAGTAATCAAAATCCTTCAGTGATTGTGTTTTTTTTTTACAATGTGCTAATCATAAAAAATACAAATGTAAACACAAATTATATTTAAAGCGGTTAACATGCCCCAAATCCAGTCCTACTTTGCTTTGATTCAATAATGAGCACAGAAAATGAAATTAAAATATTCTAGTTATGACTACCACTGTCCATACAACATGTTTTGTGACGTAATGACATATGACTTTATTTGCCTGGAGGCAATAAAAAATAAAAAAATTTAAAAAAAAAATTAACATCAATTCTTGCCTTATAGAGACACTCTAGGCTGGAACGGACCGATTTAAAATGTATTGCATTAAATATATATACACTGCATTTACAGTGATACTATAGACATCATACCCAACACAGCAGGCTGAAGTGGTTATGTTGCCAGGAATTTCAATGTGTTCTGTCTGAGTTGTTCTGATTTTTGTTTGTATTGTAAGGAAGAAGAATGTTCTGGACCTATAAAGGTGTGATCTGCCCTACTGAGCATCATAGAGAACCAGTACTAAAATGCTTCACTTACCTGGAATCCAGCACTGTGTGAAGCCCCTGGTGCTGCTTTTCTACGCACACTCCTGACATCACTGAAGTTGCTAGCGGATCACTCATAGAGAGGCCTGTGATTGGACCAATTCTCTGGCTCAGAGCGCATGTATGCGCTCCGGACCAGCTAGTACAGGTTGGGAGGTGTGAGGATGCAGGTACTTGGTAGTGAGGGTTTATTTTAAAAAATAAATAAATATGGAGGAAGGCGAGGGGAGCGCCTACAAGGATGAACTGGAGATTTTCATGAAACAGAGTTCTTGGCTGCCTAAGTAACGTGTGCTGGGGGTGTAACTATTCCACAGCACATATTTAAGAATAGCTCATAATGTGCAGTGTTTCAACCTCAAATATTGCACATACTGACTCTTACCACCATGACCACTTCAGATCACTGAAGTGGTCATAGTAACCCTTTAAATACCACCTTTTCAGAGTAGCCTGTGGCCACCCAGGGTAATTGTCATTCCTCTAACCTTTCTCTTACTCTCTCAACTTAATTAATGGATCCATTTTCCACTTTACTCTCACCTACCAATTCTGCTACTGTTGCCCCAGGTCACCTGGTTGATATCCCACCACGCTGCCCTTCCTGTTATGTTTTTATACACCACTTTCTCTAGATTATAGAATAGACAAAAACTACTGGATGAGCATATTCCAGTGTTTATTTCAAGACAGACTTGAATATCTTTGTAATTAAACACGTTTATTCCAGCAACCATTTATTTTACATATCAATTAAAGGGAAGATGCTATGTGGCAAGATGCAGTAAAATCGGAAAAGGTCGAATGACCTTGGGAGCAGTGCATTAAAACGGGATAAATCTCTGGGGCTCCCAAAAAATATAAATATTTAATTTCAGTGTTCTTATTTTGGTAAAAATAGTCAGCGGTGGCCACTTAGCACAACGTACTGAGCTCTCATTTTGCCAGATATCGCACTTGGCGTGACACACTTAACACAATGACATTACAAAACGAAGCATATACTCCTGGAAACAGAGACTGGCATGATTTACCTACACAAGGTCAGGGTGAAAACAGAGACTTGGCTTGCTAATAAATAGAAAAGAAGATTCCCATCCCCAAGCCCATATTACAGCAGATAGCAAAACGGCCTAATTAGCGATCCGGTTCTCGTCGAGTCTGGACTACATGCATGACTTGAGGCAGGCAAACAATACAATACATGTGATGGTATGCAAGGAACAAAAATCCTTTGATAAACAAGAGCCTCTCTATACCACAAAGATCACTCTAAGCCTCTAAATGATACATACACACACACGTACATATACATACATACATACATACATATACATAAATATAAGCAAATAGGCAACACAAGTTTGTCAATCAAATGTAGCCAGAAAAAAAACCCCCACAAAACAAATGCGTTTAACCATCCAGCTACAAATAGCAACAGAAACGGACAACATAAAAAATGCCCCACTCCCCCATTACCGGTTCCCACCATTGGTAACAAGTCATTCACACCCATAAGGTTAGCGAAAAAGTACGGTTTGATTTTGATTTAAAAAGTGCCTTCACTCAAAAAAAAATAATTAAAATATAATATATATATATATATATATATATATATATATATATATATATATATATATATATATATTTATTATAAGTCCCCCTGCTTTAGCCAGAAATTTAAGCAAGATCTCACAAAATGCTCAAGAGTATGATATTTAGAATAAAACGAGTGTGGGACTACCAACGTGGACGTAATAGAGCTCTCCTCATATAGCTCTTTGTTATTCATAGAAACACAGAGGCCATTACAATGAGCTGTCTGTATGCGGATCTAGAGAGGGTTCCTGCACGTTACTGACTGAAACATGACTTGCTGAGACTCCTGGGAAATGTAGTTTACAACATATTATTATTACTGCATAAAAAAAAAAAGAATGAACCTAAAATCTGAGAATATCCGGCAACCACATAATCTACAAATCCTTATAACCAGCTTCCTGACACTATCGTTCGATTGATCACTATGGACTTGCATTGTGTGACTGATAGACACTGAGCGTACGTACACAGAGACAATAAGATATGAGACATAGGAGAAAAAGAGAGATATATACAGAGACATAGGCTACACACAGAAAGAGACAGACTGCGGTGATGTATACATAAAGACAGCCACAGAGGGTACATGCACAGAAAGAGGGACAGACACAGAGGTAGATACATCGATAGAACTATATGTATATATGGGGATAGAGATAGGCACTGAAGAAGATAAATGGTTAAAGAGAGACACACAAAAAGGTAAAAACACAAAGCAACAAACACGGATGTATAAACACAGATAAAGATGAACACAAATAGGTAAATATGTTTGGAGGCGCTCAAATACAGAGGTAAATAGAGATGCAGAGACCCAGAAAGACAGAAACATAAGTATTTAAGATACACAGACAGACAGACAGAGGTAAATAAACAGAGGGGGAACAATACAGGTAGTAACATGGATAGTGGTATATAGACAGAAGTAGGTTAGATACACAGACACACACACACACTTTGACTGTGGCATATAAACAAAGAGGGACTTGTACAGATACAGAGTTTGTGAGAAGGACAAACACAGGTAAATACACTGAGAAAGAGCCATGAGGCACATTGAAGATGATATGCAAAGTGACATCATTGTGATGTCCTAAGGAAATTATATACATGGACCGTGTGAAGACACAGTGAAAGTGAAGCTGTCAGAAACGTGATACTGATCAGGCTGGCACAGAAGGTGTGGAGGAGGCACTATAACTGGGTTTAGTAGACAGGAATACCTCACAAGATATTCCAGAACTATTACTTAGCCTACACTAGTGTAATAATAATACCGATAATCTGCGTGTGTAGACAGCTGACAACACTGACACAGCTCCCAGTATCTGCAATTTACTGCAGGAAACAAAATAAAGGGTCGATCTATAAATGTAATTTGCACACTCTTTCCCAGGGAGTTTGAGGATTACCGCCTTCAGATTTGCTTTCCACGTCCTCTAAATAGAATTGCGACACCCACATCTAAGGAGCATGCTGTACAGCCGGTTTGAACCTGCCTGATCCAAGCCCTGCGACTACGCTGAAATAACAGTTATAAAACCAAACAAAGGCAGAACAAAGCTCCGTCCTGGGGGGGATCCAGGGCTCATGTGGGTCTCATGATACACTGTAACAAGGAAGTTAGGATTTAGTCTGACGAAGGGTAGACGGAGTTCAGGGTCAAGCTTTCACAGATTCAAATGTTTAATTTGGAGAGAAGGGCAGAACACGTCACATTGTAACAACTTGCTCAGAATCACACACATCGAAGGTTAGATACATACAGCCATACACAGTATAACAATATGGGTTTTAAATAAAGAAATTATGAATTTTGCCGCAGTATTGATCGAAATCATGTTTTCTAATCAATGCTTTTGATATACAATTGAAAACCGCATTTAAAATTAAAAATGTTTTTTTTCTTTTTAATATTGTTTGAATATTTGAAAAAAAAAAAGGACATGCCCCGGCTATATATATAGTCCTATAATCCTCAAACTTATTTTAATTTACACGGAATAAAAAATAAATATATAAAATAGACACAATGCCTGCTCATACTAAGAATCTGGCCAAGTAAGATGGGACAAACTGGGTAATTAAATTTTTGGCCACGACCTGGTTTATAGGGTACTTCTGATTACAGGCTCAGGATAACCGAATTTTGCACTACTGGCGCTGAATGATTTATCATAAAGACAAATAATGTATTTACTGGAAGGTCTATAGACATTATCTACAGACTCTGTGGGTACTGCATTACTGTAACATTCCCCTATAGTCACTCCTTATCCAGCCCACGCTCTGCTTCTATTTGCCGTGCATGGAGACACTTTGACATCAGTCACTCCATTCCTATACTCATCTAGTCAGTGCTAGAAGTCCTGGCCAGGAAGTAACCATAGCAACCACAGCACATGTACTGTGGATTCTATACTGGAGAGCCAGAGAACAATCTAGGTAGGTTCTCCTGTTCTCCCAATCAGTCAATTCTACAGCCCAGAGATCTATGCTGAAGAACAGATTGAAAGGTGGGGACGAACTAACCATTTTAAATAGCTTTTTTCTCCTAATTTTATTAATAAAATATTTTACCAGGAAAGATACATTGAGATTTCTCTTGTTTTCAAGCATGTCCTGGGTCCACAAAAAGTTGCATTGATACAATAAGGAACAATAAAATAAAATACAAAAACAAATATTAATACACAATATATGCAAAATTTACCATAGAACAGGTAGGAAATAACTAATCTATACAGTTAATAGCACAATCTATAGACAAAATGTAACGTAGTACTAAACAAAGATTGTGTGTACCATTACAATTACACTTTATATATACACACACACACATACATACATACACACACACACACACACACACACACACACACACATATATATATACACACACACACTGATTCAAAAGCATTTTCATTTATATAAAAACATGAATGAAGGATATAGTAGCCATTGGCTACTATAAACCAACTTAATCCATGATTTTTCGTGATTGAACCTAAACATGTTTGCTGTAGGGCAACTTTTTCAGTAAATGCAGACTGTTCATGGTTTTCTATGATGAAAGTAACACTGCTGTGGGATAGGCATATAGCTGGAGTAATGACCAACTGCTATTGAAGGAAGAGTGGGACATCGGTGAAAGGAGTAAAGATGGTTGGTATTATGGGGCTTGAAATAATCCCTTAAAACCATTCATAATTCATACTTTAACGCACTTTATTTACCGTATTACAGTACAATTTGCAGGTCTCGGTGAACTCTTCCAGTAAATACTATGATGATTTGGGCATGTATTTGTATAACACTCTTTTGAAATAGCCATTGGAATGTACCAGGGCAATAATTCACACCATCTGTGCCACCTTTATCACTACACTGAGTTGCTCAGATATGTGAATTGTATAAAACACGTTTATTCGTCCTGCAAACCAGGTGGTTTTACATGGTCATAATTATAAAGGCTGAAGAAAAAAAAAAGGACTCAATCCATCAAGTTTGGCCTTTGACACCTCTATCAAAAAGCAATTTCAAACCATTTCCAGTTTTGCTACTAAATGGGAAAGGGGCATCTTGCGTGCTACGATTCATTTGTGTTTTGTATATTTGAATATGGATTTACAATTAAATTTGGATTTCCAGATCAGCATTTTGAACTACTTTATGTGATATTTCCCATTTTACATATCAGCTGTTAATTAGTATCAAATTTTGCATTTTCAATCTCTGACATAGTGGCGTCTTATTCTGGCGCAAGCTGATACAGTTGCCATATTTCAGGTGAAAATCAGCATTGAACCATTTTAATTATATATTTTACAACAGCTGGAAATCTACCTTGTGGTCATCTAATGGCAATATGGGCATCTACGTTATGGTCATCCCTGCTATATATGAGTCAGGACTAACCTAGGCATGTGTTTCACAGAGCAGAGAATCTGTGTACATCAAATCCAGTTATACCACGCCATTATACATCTACTATGATTGGAACCATGTGCTATACCGCTCCAGCATTCTTACATGGACTGGGATATTTCAACCACTCGTACTCGTACAGAGGAAGAGAGAAATTTGAATAGATATTGTGTACAGTCAGCCTGGAGATTGGAATTATAGTTGTCTTACGTCTCCCCCTCTAGAAGGCCAACAGTGACATTGAATAGTCTACAATCTAACAAAGATGATTTAATGGAATGGATTCTGCAAGAACAGCACACTGTCAAGGCATAGAATTCAATACATTCTTTTCATGGGGATAACATTTTATTTCTACCAAGGCAGTCGGTTAGCCTGGGGCCAGTCAGAAATGCAGGCTGTAACAATTAATACACTGGTTGAACATGAAAAATAAAATACATGTTAAAGTATGTCTATACTATATCATCCAGGGTGGAAGGGCTGCGGAGGAGGTGAGTAGGTGAAGAGAGCAGCCATATATGTGCATTGTCCCACCTGCTTGATAAGACTACCCTGCAAGGCAACGTGGTCTGCACTCCCCTAGTGCAGCAAAAAGCACATTTAAAGGAACACGCCAAGCACTGTAGTGGTTATGGTGCTTGTAGTGCCACGACACCTCCCCTCAGTGTAAATAGTCTAACTGTTGGCTAATGACTGGGGACCAGTCACCTCCTTCATTGAGAGTCAGAGGCTCCTGCTAGGAGCTTCCATTAACACTCTTGACGTAAGCACTGCCATACAGGGCCAGCTGATTGGCTGCGAGTGCCAGCTTAGTATAGGGAGCTTCCAGGTCACACGGAGGTTACTGGCATGCAGTGAATCCCAGGTAAGTTGACAGAGTAGCATATGCTTTGACTTGCAATAAGGGAGGGCACTCTTGGCACCAAAGCCACTAAAGCATGCTGTAGTGGTCATGGTACTTGTCCTTTAAAGACAGGTTCAAAACTGTATTACTGACACCATAGCAACCCTCTGCCCCACCCCCGGCGATTTAAAGAAAAACAAAACCACTTTTTTCTTAATTGTTTCCAGCGTCTTCATCTCCAACATAAGCTGATGGGTGGAACCTAATGTGTATAACACACACACACACACACACACACACACTGCACGGTTAAGGCAAGAGGGGCATTGCACCCAGACCCCTGCAATGAGATGAACTGTATTAGAGAATAGCCACTGCATGAAGCGTGATTAGGTGCAATGAGAGGAACCATGCTGTGAACAAAAAAAACCCCGACATTCTCAAAATACAATCTTTACACATTTACATATCAGTTGCAAGTTAAATGTATTTTAAAGTGACTACGTTAACAGAAATAGACGCCTATGTTTATTCTTTTTCATTCTGTTCAGCAGTAACCAACATAAAAGTGCAAATCTGGGGGCTAATCTCCGATTGGCTGCTGCTATCACATGATCTCTGCAGCCCTTTTACTTTTTTTTTTTTTTAAGTAGTTTAAAAACTGTGATGCAATTTCAATATGGCTGCCTCCATGTTGAACCACTGACGGCTCTCTAGTGGTAATTCCGGCTAAATTTGCTGTTGCTTGGCGTGATTCATTTTGCAATAAAGTTTTTAAAGGATATATGTAAAGAAATTTAATGTGACAGCACCACTTTATATTTATGATTAACTAAAGTAAATAATAAAAATTAGCAATTAACACAATTAACAAACTGCAAATAAACCAGATACAGAATTTAAAGTGCTGGCTAACATTTCATAAAAGTTACCATGATGAAGCCATGGAACCCTTAATATAAAACACACATCAATAGTTTCTGCTCACCATGCCCATTGCAGTAGTAGATCCATTTCTCCCGGTTATGAGCCAACGCATTGGACTTTTTAAAACCCGCTTTTTCAACTATGGAACTTGGATCCTGCTTTGGTCCTTTTTTTAAAGTTCGGGAGCTTTTCCGGACACTACACACCACGATGATTACTAGTACAAGAAGCAGGAATAAAACGATCATCCAAGGTAGGTGCTCATTTATGTCAAAACGATTGGAGCTCTGCCGGGGAGGTCCCCTTTTAGTGGTCTTAAATTCAGTGTTCTTCGCACTCTGACCAGCAATCTTCACTATTCCTGGGTGCTGGACCACTTCGGTCAACTGAGGTCGCTTGGTATGGTCGGTCTGTTGGCGTGACGTGTCCCAATTGTCTGTCTTATTCAAGTATTTTGTATTATTCGATTTAGATTCATTGTAAACGTCGGGAGGCTCTGAAACACCAAAAGAAAAGAAAAAAAAAAAAAAAAGGTATTGGTTAAATTTTCATTTTGTATAAAATAAACAATGAAACCTATGATCACGTTAGATTGCTCTCACAACATCATGGAAACGTCTAAGTTCACTCAATGAAGTGGTTTTCTACTTTGAGGTAGCTCTTTTCTAAATTAATTTAAAAAGTGTCTTTTCGTGCGGTTTGTGTTTGCTTTCACATGAGCTTTCAACAAAGCCAGGCCACCCATCATGTAAACAAGACACCTGAAAACGGCAGCTAGAGGTAATGTGAATGAAAAGATTCTTTGTTTTTATTAGAACATTACCATAAATACTGTCCTGGAAAACATTAAACAGCCATTTCTTTGTGTTCACTTACCATTCCGGAACTATGTCTGCATCACCAGGACATTCCACTGCAAGTATTGCATTGCAAAATTTATACTTAAAGTAAAATAAAAAAAAATTAAAAAGTAGATGACGGCAGTGTCTGCTACCCACACTTTGGGATGAGAAGAATTATGAGCCAGTTTATAATACCAGCTTGTTTTAAAGGAATATTCCACTGCAGTGGTTCTGACGAAAGGTGTGGCACCCCTATTGTAAGTATTCAAACCAATTTAGAATGTTTGTGGGGTCTGTCCGCACCTCTCCCTGCTTCCATTACAACTGCCAAAGAACAGGAAGCTCCTGTTTTGTAACTTCCTTTAGCTATCCTGTGCTAAGCACTGCAGGGCTAGCTCATTGGCTGAAAATGCCATGATTAAAACCAGTTATTGCTATGGCTTTTCATATGATCTTGCTTCCATAAGCCAATTTTTAATTTGTATTAATTTGATTACTCCTTCTACCTAACATCTATCACACATTTAGGGTCTTAAAATTCCAAGAGAATTAGAAGTATTAACATTTTTGTGAACTTTGTAACGGGACGTTATGTGAAGTTTCGATGAATGTTAATGGAGTACTGTTGCCGTTTTCAAGTACCATCAAAACGATATGTTGTTTTAAAAACACACATAAATGAGAGGGAAATGAAAAGGTCAATTGACTTGATCTAAGAAGTGTTGACGCACAACTAGATCAGAGAAAATTTAATTGAAATTCAAATGCATTTAAAAAATATAAAAGACAAATTACAGACTGCTCTTATAGGCAATGAAAAAGTTGACAACCTTGGTCATTTCCGAGTAGCTGTCACTAGCAATAGTAGTGGGGAAAGGCATCTACTCTTGCATTGCACTAGAGGTCTATTAAGAATGACAAGAATCCTGGTCTGAATACATAATCTGAAATACAGATAGCGGTGTCTATGAGGTAGAGCTTTGTGTGAGTATAACTCCTATTAGCTTCTCTTCCCAACAGCAAACAATAAAAACAAACAAGCATGTCACAAAGATGACAGTAACACTTTAAATCTATACATCTGCACTCCTTAAAGGTCATCAAAGAGTCCTCTTAACCCCTTAAGGACCAAACTTCTGGAATAAAAGGGAATCTTGACATGTCATGTGTCCTTAAGGGGTTAAACCTATTGTTCCTGGAAGTTCTCTTGTAATTTATAGCTAAATCCCCCCTCTCATAATATTGTAAAGCGCTACGGGATCTGTTGGCGCTATATAAATGGTAATAATAAATGGTAACTAGAAAAGCTACAATTTTACCACATGACAGGAGGCTTCATATTTGCATATCTTTCTTTACTCAAAACTCCAGCAGCATAGTAACATAAACAACCAATCAGAAAAAAGATATAATGCCCATAAAAGGCCCTGTCTATGACATCACTTCCTCTTTCTTTGCTGCTCCAGCCAACATCAGGTCAGAGTATTTTGCCTCTCTGGCAATTGCTTATATACATTGTTTTTTTTTTTTCACATATTTTTGGTTTTGTTTTCACTATATATTTGATTGTATTGTTTCATTTACTGTATTGTTTTAATTTACTGTTTTTTATTTACTTATTTTTCGTGGGTTTATTTTCGGGTCCCCTTATCCCTGTCCCTGCACGGTTTTAGGCCCCCCCCCTATTACTTTCCACGGCCGATACCCGCGAGCACGGCTGTCAGTGCCGCGCGCCGCGGGCCGGTTTCCTGTTTTTCTTCGTGGGGGCCGGTAGGGGGACAGGTGGAGGGGGACTGGGAACAGTGCTGTGTGCGTTTCCCCCCTTTTTTTTTTTTTTTCGTTCCGGCGCCGCGCGGTCGATCGCGGCGCACCTTCACACGCGGGCGGCGGCCATCTTGGATCTCGCGACTTGCGAGATACCGGACGGCCGCCTTCCCCGCTTGCCCGGCGGATCGGTAACTCACCCGACCGCCGGGCTCCACATCTGTATACCCTCCCTAGTGTGTACTAGGGAGGGTATTAGTGTAGCAGGTGATATTTTTGCCCAGTGCCTGCCTGCTGTGCTGCCCATTTACAATATATGAATTAAAAGAGACAAGCACCCCCTTTTTGTTGCCAGCTCAAGACCTCTATGTCTCTATACCCTGCTTAGGGTCATACCAGTTAATATACCCCAATTAGGGTTATACTATATACTGTTATACTCTCCACAAGATCAGAGTTAGGTACAGGGTCATACCATATTACTATATCCTGCACAGGGTCATACTATATTTCTATACCCTACAGGAATCACCCGATCACCGCGCCCTGCATCTGGATTAACCCCTTCAGGGGTCCCCCTCTCTGGGCACATTCATTTATTGATACAATTATTATATTTTATTCTCATGGATATATCTCTCATGGTGCCTTACACTGGATGATTATATGTTGAGCAGGCACACAATCTATGTATTATTGTGAAGCCATACAATATCACAGTCGTTATACAAACATATACTGTGCCTATAACAAGATCAACTATATCACTGTAGCCTACGAAGGGCATATTGTGCTACTGTACCCTACAAAGGGCATATTATATTATATTATTGTACCCTACAGAGGGTCATATTATATTACTGTACCTGACGGTGCAAATTTATGTGGGTGTCCTCTGGGTATTTTTTCATGGCACACCACCTGGGGTGACCCCCCAGATATGCATGCAAGGTCACTGACAGACCATTACCTTTGATGTGGGTGTCCTCTGGGCTACCATGGCACACCACCCGGGGTGAACCCCGATCATATGCACGGAGGCCTACGCCACACTGCCTGTCAGTTTTACATTAAAGCAACAGTACCATGCCGGATGCGTTTTGACGGCAGGATCACTAAGAAAACTGAGTGTATTGCGGTGTACCCTTCACAGGGATACATATATGTATATTTACTGTGCCTAGTGTACATATTAAACGTGGGTGTCCTCTGGGTAATGTTTCATGGCACACCACCTGGGAGGACCCCCAGATATGCATGCAATGCTTGTAAGGTGCCAATAATTATAATATGGGTGTCCTCTGGGTTACCATGGCACACCACATGGGATGAACCCAGCCTAATAGACATGGGTCCTGCGGCTGCAGACCTTATGGAGACAGGCCCCATGCGCCTATATACAAAGCTTGTATAGTTAAAAACCGTGCATACAGCTCTGGCGTACATTTGTGGTGAACCCGGCTAGCCAGACCGACACCACTACCAGTCACCGCCTGCACCACGACTCTCAGTAGCCAGATTAAACTAATAGAGGTGACCCCTCTACACTTGGCACGAGTATTCATACTCTCAGACATACTAAAGCAGGCAATTCAAACCGTTTTACCTGGGTGATCCCCAGTTCTACCAGGAGTCTAACACCCCTATGTGCTGACCCTCACACTATCTCACAACAGGACGGGAACGAGTCATGGTGGACACTCTCAACGTTCCCAAGATTTCTAGGCAACGATACACGCCACAGTAACGGCCTCAGTGGAGAAGGTTCTGTTATGAACTCTACCCCACACCGCTTGATGGAGACCTCAGGCCCACAAGCCTTCAAGTCAAAACGGCAAGGGAAGGGCTCCAGCCCCCATGCCACTAAGGTCAAGGGCAAGACGCCCATCGAACAGACCAAATAGGCGGAGCACCGGGAATCCAAACCCCGTCCGCCACAATCTTCCGACCAAGAAGACTATTACCCACCACGTACTTTGGACATGGTAGATGAGCGACACGAAGACAGCCCACCGTCTGAGGAAATGGAACGGCAAGACCTTCCCCACACTTCCTCGAAGTACGTTAGGGAAACCTTACTCTGGGACGGCGGCTGAGGCAGAGATAACTGTAACGGCACTAAACCAGAGTAGCCGAAGACGGAACGTTCCTGGACGAACACTATTGGCTGCGCAACCCTCGGGGGATGGAAGGATGCGCACGCCTCAAGACCGAGTTACCCCAGGGTACACAACTCAACCCTACCACCTCCAAAGAATGGTCTTAATGCTCGATATGCCTCCTGGGCAACGTAAATGACGCACTATGCGCCGACAGACGCAAATCTGTACTGGGCCGCATCGACAACACACTATTGGACTTAGGAACGACAAGAATTCGGCCCAAAAGCACAAGGCCTACTATTCGACGTAGTGTTCATTGCAGTATTCAAGAAACACGTGAATTTATTCACCACACTAAATTAAACCCAGACCTCGCTAAAACAAGTCTTCCACAACCCTACGGGGAAAGGTGTTTCTGGGAGGACTGGTCGGTAACTGAACCGAGCCACCAGCCGCTTCTGGGCGACAGGTTCCAGATCGTATACACGGTCCTCATATTTCTCCCATCTACTACACAAAGGAACCCATCCGCTTCATCTACTAGTGTGTCAACCTACATAACTAACTGTTTCCAATATTATGACCGGCAACCTGTCTCTGTTTTACAGAATTGAGAGACGACTACCAAAGTCACCTGGGTTCTCCAGACAGTACAAGGCTATGTCATAGAGTTTTATCACAGCCGTGCAGGTCGCCCCTTCACCTCCATTACGCACGCTGGCGGAACAGGAACGCCTCGTGGACAAGAAAATCTGCACCCTCTTCAGGAGGGGCGCAATTCAACATGCACCGGAGGGGAAGGCTTCCCCAGCAAAATTTTTCCTGGTCAAGAAGAAGCCAGGAGACTACATCAATGGAACTCCTACATGGTATACAAATGCTGCAAGATGGAGGAAATTCGTCTTCTACAAGACCTCCTAGGCGATAACGACTGGTTTACACATCTGGACCTCAAGGACGCACGCTTGTCAGTACCCGTTGCCCTGGACTGCCGAAGTTTTCCTCCGATTCCAATGGTGAGGACAAACACGGCAGTTTACGACTCCGTGGTGCTCGCGAACCTACTGTAACCAGTGAGGGCACACATCCGTAAATTTGGGCGTGCGATGCCTTGTATACCTGGAAGACTTGCTGATTCTTTACGAATCCAGGCTACGTTTGCAGACAAATTTTGTCGTTCACTTTCGGGACTCCATGGGTTTTTTGTTGTACACAGACAAAGATCGCTTCTCCATCTGAATCGGGCCAGTTCCTCGGTTTCGACATCGGCTTGGAGAACTACGTTCCGCGTCCGTCTACGGCAAAGAGCGCCTCTATAAGGATAGCTGTCGGATTGTGGGATTCCTCTCCTCCTCTCCTCCTCCATACAAGCGTTATTCCCTGGCCCACTACGACTGATGGTGAGATACGTACGCACCGGTCACTCATACGACCACTGGATCCCACTGTCAGCGGAAGTGAGGATGGAATTTCGATGGTGATTACTTCACATACAAACTTGGATTGGCAAAACGATCTTTGACTCTTCCTTCGGATACGGGGCGATGGATGAACCCCTGCAAATGCGACCCAGCCGTTCTCCACAATAGCAAGGGTGCTTCGATACACACAAACACCCACAAGATATCGCTCCTGCTCATGATACCCCTCGGGCAGGGCCAACCGTGATTTCCCGGATCGCCTGGAGATGTCTCGCGGAGACCCTCTACTACTCCCTACCTTCCCTCTACTTCTGACGGGATCTCGAGGGGAAGCCCACTCCCTTGTCATGGAAGGACAACTGGCACTAGTTGCCTGGACGGCTTCAGGGGCTCCTGGTCAGTTCACGACCTATTGCATCAACTAAGACCTCCTATGGGACTCATAGGCTCCCGGCACCAGGAAAGGCTATATTTCTGCCTGGTCAGCCTGGAGTGATTGGTGTGTGGAAAGGGATTCCGATCCCTTTACCGCACCTGTCCCACTGATCCCTCAACTATCTGTCACACCTGGTCTCGTTGGGTCGGTCATATCGATCCCTCAACGTGATCAGATCCGCCATATCGGCGGCGCACGTTCCGGTACAGAGCAGACCAGTAGGTCAAGATACACTGGTTTGTCGACTACTGCGGGGTGTCGAATTGTCGAGATCCCTGCACCCAAATATTCACGCCTCTGGCAGGTGGATGTGGTGCTGAGATTCCTTAGGGAATGGCCGGACAATCCTTGTTTGTCACTGAAGCAACTTTCAGCCAAACTAGCCCTCTTATTATGCCTCGCCTCATTTAGACGGTGGCGGACGTTAGGGCTTGCGATATGGATGGTTTCTCTCTCACACCAGACGGGGTTACCTTTACCATGTCGAGATGAACTAAGTCTGTTTCGTCTTCAGAGTCATACCCATGCTTTGTGTCAGACGCCTCACTATGCGTGGTCAGAACGCTAATGGGGTACACCAATATCTCTACCCCCTTCGAACTCATTCGACGGATCACCTTCTGACTTCTTACGTGAACCCTCATGGACCGGTGTCTACCGCAACACTGGCCAGATGGGTCCGCTGGTTTTTGTCTTTAGCGTCGAACCTTGTTTCGGAGCCCACTCGGTCAGGGGAGCGGCGGCCTCACAAACCTTTTCGGCCGATGCTTCCCTAGCCGACATTATACGCTGCGCGGACTGAGCGCGAGAGAGTACGTTTAGAACGTTCTATTTTCGGCAAACATCTCATGCTTCCTTCACATTGGTCAATTCAAAGCTTTAAAAATGCAAATATGAAGCCTCCTGTCATGTGGTAAATGTGAGAGATTATATTAGCTTTAGTGTACTAATAATCTTAATTTTAGTAATGACAGGAGGCGAATATTTCCCACCCTATAGAATCCCTCCCATGTTTCTCGTGTTGAACAGAATATGTCCTTTATGTTCAGGAAGGTAAGTACGTATGGTTTGTATGTTTGCTACTTAGACCTGTATCTTGTGGGTCTTGTATTGGCTGAATACTAGACATGAACCTTGCATTATGTTGTGTTTATATATTCTTAAATATCATTGCGTTAGAATAAATATATATTGATATGTTTCACACTCTAATGTTCGTTGGTATATCAGATGCTTAATGCTTATTGTATGCGGACAAGTTATCACGCCAGATACCTTTCACCTTTTTCTTTTTATTGCAGCGTGAACGTCTTCTCATCGAGACAAAGATTCACCTTCCATACCTCTGCATCGTGGAACTAATGGAGTTGGATATTCTAATATGTTGTTGAACTGTTGACGTAATATGATTATGTCTCTTGTTGTTATTTATTGTTTCGCTTCAAAGAAAGAGGAAGTGATGTCATAGACAGGGCTTTTTATGGGCATTATATCTTTTTTCTGATTGGTTGTTTATGTTACTATGCTGCTGGAGTTTTGAGTAAAGAAAGATATGCAAATATTCGCCTCCTGTCATTACTAAAATTAAGATTATTAGTACACTAAAGCTAATATAATCTTCAATTTCTGGGGAAATTGTGTGAAGTGTTCTTGCCTCCACCAGTAGTCTACAACTGGAGTGGGCGGAGTAACTGTTATCATTTATATAGCACATTTAATTGCAACGTTGTTGCACAGTTACATTAAACCATACATTTATAAAAACATTAGCAGGTGTTCAAAAGGCCCGGTCTATGACATCACTTGCTGCTGCAGCCTGACACAGGTCAGAGCATTTTGGCAGTTGCCATCTTCAAACGGTCGTATTTTAAAAACTATAAATCCTACAGCGAAGAGCTTTATATTGTGAGAATCACAAGACCCAGACCTACATTTTGATGCATAGTATGTCTCTGAAGTATTAAAATTGAAGGCACAGTCGCAGTTTAGAAATTGCACTTCAAATTTGAGCTTTGCACAGTGAAGTTTCAATGAATGTCAATGGACGGCGTTAGTTGCAAACAAATGATTATATTGTGAAAACTATCGGGACTATGGCTTAGCCGTTGACATGTTTAGTGGCAGCAGGGATAGCTGAACGTTTTGATATAAGATTTGTGTAGGTGGGCCTGAAAATAAGGGAGTGGTGGCAGTTTAGAAATCATGTCCTGATTTTTCAGCTTTTGCCAGCTCCCACTCTAGCTTTGCCATTCATTCCTATGGGACAAATTTCGCCACAAGAACGACGATATTCCGTGAACCATTCGGCGAAACGTTCCACAAAGTAATAGCAATCCGATCGGGAACAATCTGCACGTTTTGGTAAATTTTTGTCTATGTAGTGTAAAAACTGTGGGAGGAGTTAGGGTGGCAAATTTGGCTATAATAAGAATAAGAATAAGAATAATAATATATATGTGAGATAACAATAAGTGTTCTTGCAAGAACACTTATTATTATTATTATTATTATTATTATTAATAATAATAATAATATATATGTGAGATAACATTAAGTGGTCTTGCTATGCAAGAACACTTAATAATAATATATATGTGAGATAACAATAAGTGGTCTTGCTATGCAAGAACACTTAATAATAATAATAATAATAATAAAAAAGGCCATCACAAGTTCAGCTTCTATTGATATGTTTATTAGAACAGTATAAGATACATCCTAAATCCTAGGCAGTTGGTGGTTCCCATGGACTGGTTTGGCAAACAATGCTTAAAGGGACACAGTAGGCACTGTATCTGCTTCATCTCATTAAACTGGTTATAGTGTCTGGAGTCCCCTGGTACCATCATTTCTTTCAGCATTAAACAGTTTTTAATGTTGTAATGTTTTAATGCTAAACAAGAGTCCACGGCAGTCTATCCCCTCTGTGCTGCTTTGGCTAATAAGGAAGTATTACCCTGAGAGGCAATGGGCAGCTGTGATTGGCTGGCAGTGTCAGCTGACTGCTTTTAACCTGTCAGAGCTCCAACTGACGGTATGACAACAAGGAAGTGTGTAATCTCTGCCTTAGCTACACATACAGAAGGGGCCGGACTGTGGGTGGCCAGGGACTCTTATTTTGTGGCATACTGCCCAAACATGGTGCAAAACTGAATGGAGGGACAGTGCCAGGCCACTCTATGCACTATAACCAATTCAAAGAGACAAAGTGTTTATAGTGACTACAGTGTCCCTTTAAGGCAGCTCTTCCCAAAACAGCTCTCATGCACCTCCAAAAACATGGGATCTACAGACTATTATGTTCCAATAATGAAATGGACTTTTAAAAGGTGGGTGACGTGGCAGTTAGTGAAGATTTGCTCCTCCCTACACCGTGCAGGACAGAATTTTGCTCCTCCCTACACAGTGCAGAGATACCTGTACAATACAGAGAGCTGAGCATAATGCAGAGATACTCATACAATAAAACAAGCTGGGCACAACATAAAGATATCTATAAACTAAAGACTTGAGTACAATACAGAGATAACCATACCACAGACAGAACTGAGAACAAAAATAAAAATAGAGATCTAATACACAGAGCAGGGCACAATAATGAGATACTCTTAACTATCCCACACAGCCTCAGGATCACAGTGATTGATTACACAGACTTGCAATACAGAGATACCCATACAGTACATGTCTCACCATAATCCATCTCTGTCTCTATCTTTCTCGCCTCCCTTGGCTCTCTCTCATCTTCAGTAGTGGTATAATACATTTAGCTTTCTATTAAAAAGGTACACACTGGTCACCATATCAACTTCATATAAATTAAGTTGTTGTGGTGGTGCATCTCCTCCTCTCCCCCCCCCAGCGCCTGATTGACATCATTTCCTGTCTCCCGGTGGCATCAGCGGAGGGAACGGAGGGAGAAGTGCTGGAACAGCACTAAGTCAGTGCTCCCTCGCAGCCCTCCATCCCAACTCACCCACCGATACGAAAGCACAGTAGGCGCCTGCTAAGGCTAAGGGGGACTAAGGCTGCCAAATAGTGCCCCCATAAGGTGCGCCGCCCTAGTGATCCAGTGACCTATGACTGTGTGCCCACAGAGAGGGCTCGGCGTGCCATAGGTTCGCCATCGCTGGCTTAAAGCATTAAATGACCACGCTAAGTTAATCAGTGGCGCCCCTGGGGGACCTGCAGATTTATTAATGCCTTGCCAGCATTATGGCTGTAAGAGCATTGTGGGAGTTGTAGTCCACAACATCTGGAGTGCTAAAGGTTTCCTATCCCTGTACTATTGTATGCAGGCCATGGAGTTAGAAATACTTTATTCTTATTAGTACTGATAGGGTAAAGATTCAAATTGTAGTAAATATTAAGAAATACATTTGCACAGCATCCTCTGGCTGTACTATAGACCTAATGTTATATAACGTAAATCTCAGATTTTTGAACAACCAATCTAAGGATTGATATTTTAAAAAAAAATAATCGTATTGCATCGTATGCCTGGGTAACTAAATAAAATAATAAATTGTGCCAAACAAATTAATTAACGTGTCTCCTCTGCACTTCTCACCTCTGTAAATGCTATAAATCATCCTTAATGGGGTCAGGGAATAGTGAGCTATCACTTTCAGAGACCTGACAGTTCCACTTTAAAATCTCTCTAAATGCTTAAAAATCAAGGCTACGAGAGGATTGCAACCAACGCAGAGTACAAGGAAGGTCGTGTTCTCTAAACATGTTCTGTGGCGCAACCGACCTCGCCACTGGGCATTGGAGAAAACTGATTGCCAGCCTCCTGCCATGTGACTATGGCCCCTGGGATTTATTGCCCTTTAAAGACATTTGGGCTTATTGGATTTTGAAACACTTTCTGGCCCTTTGAATACATGAGAAGGTGTGCCGTTTCCCGTCTATTGTTCTCCAGCAGGGAGTTGTCCCAGGGACACTGCCAGACCAGTTGGAACTTGTTACTATGGTTTAAACCCATGGCGATTTGACTGTTTGTGGTATCTGAGCGCTGTTCGGATACAGTGAGCGCTCAGATCCAAGCTATCTGGGGAAAGATTGAATGTGGGGGTTCTGTTAAGTATAATAGGAATTATGTATTTTTATGTGTTTTTACTGCTGTGAATAGAGCTATTTTCTGTATGCTGGATGTAATTGGCTTACCACACCCAAGCCATGCTTGCAGGCTGTCACAAAGGGATTTCCAACTAACTTTTGACCCACTGGACCAATTTGTATGATTTTGACGTATGTTTGTATTTGGAGTATGCGGATTCTGAAAATGTGAATGTGATGTATACTTTTAGAGTTATGAATATTGTGTAAAACTGTGTTTTCCTGCCTGTGATAATTACATTAGACCATTGTGTTCAGTAATTATATCACAGGCAGAAGGGAGGATTTTGTGTGGGAGTGTCTGAGTGTATTGTACGTATTGATTGGTTGTTCTGCAAAACCCTGTGGGCAGCACTATGTGTGTAAAATGTCCATAAAAGCAGAGTGTTTGATTAAAAGCTTCAGTTCTACTTCACTCTCAATTTGGAGTGCTGTCTCTTATTGGGGGAATCTGCTACAAGGGATTGCTATGCTCTGCATACTCTCTTGCTATATTCACTGCTAAGCTCTTGTAAGAGCTTGTTCCGGTTTTGCTCTCTGGAGGAGCCTACGGTGGTTATGGAGTCTGCTGCAGTGCTTGGAGTCCTCAGGAAGCGCTAAGAGCATCCTTCAACGGAGGTACCCAGTCTGGGTGCCAGGTGATCCGTTACACGTTCTGAAAAAGAACATTATAAAAATGCCGCTCAAGTTATTTGCATCCATTAGGCAGAAAGGTTTATATCTGCTCAATGAGAGCTTGTCCTTGCTTGCTGTGGTCTCGGGGGCTTTTTAGATTGGATAGAATCACTAGGAGACAATATAGAATGAAAGCTTGAATGCCCTCGAACAAAATCTGAATTTGGTTACAAAGACAAATTTCAAATGAACATAATCATTTTTTGGTATCCCAAAAGCAGCCATAAAATTAAACTAATTTATATTGAGATAGATGTCATTTTTCATAAAATTGAAATCTTGATTTCTGTACAAATATCTTGTGTCTACTGTAAAACGTCATACAAAATAAACATTTATAAAATTTATATAAGTAGTACCATTCAAGATGAAAAGTACACTCTTATTGAAGTGGTCTGGCCGTCTGGGTGCAGTGCCCCTGTTCCCTAAACCCTGCAATGTAAAACATTGCAGTTTTAGAGAAACCTACCAGTGGCGATCTGTCAGAGTTTAATTCCACGAAACAATGCTGGATGGCCTGACGCTTTGCAAGAGGATTTCCAGCGTTTTGAAAAACGTCATGGGAAAGCAATGATTTCCTATGGGGAAGGCCTAATGCTTGTGCAACGCTCGTAGTGCATGCACATTAGGTTCCCACCCCCATCATTCCTTTAATATATATTTCCAATATGTTGTGTCAGTTTCGTCCTTCCTGTATGTTATGTTTTAGTATTTAATGGCATACTGCCTTTACAAAGGATATTCCAAGCACCAAAACTAATGCTTAAGGAGCTCAGGAGTTAAATCACTTTTGCTTCTACTTATGCAGCCTAAGCAATACCTCCCCTGGTTGTAACTCACACAGAATATAGGAAAAAAATTGTTCAATTTTCAATCATATCTTGCAGCACATTGTGTTTACTTTAGAAGTTTGTATCTCTGCCTGTATTAACTGAACTCTAATCACACACAGGAGGCTCCTGCAGGCTCTAGCAAGCAATTCACAGAGTTCGAAATATAAATGTTTAAATTAAACACATTGTGCAACATATTTAGTTTGAACATAAGATCTTTCTTTACAGAAAATGCGTAGGAAGACTGTGTAGGTCACATGCGGGGAGGTGTGGCAAGGGCAGCATAAACAAAATGATTCAACTCCTAAGAGGAATAAAATGAAGTTGTTTTGGTTATTATAGTATCCCTTTAATATTTGGATACATTTTCATGAAGACATAGCCCTCTTCATCCTACAGGCACGTACATTGCAGTGTCATGATTTATGCATCAAAACCCTGTCAATAAGCTTAAGTGTTTTTGGTGCTTAGACCAACCTTTTAGTTTTGAGGTCCCCCTAGGTCCCCAATCTCAGTCTCAAGCTATATTAAAAATAAAAACAAAAGATGTTCCACACTATTTTATATACAATAGATAGTAACTGTGGTAACAAGTGTAGGACCAGATACTTGTATACCAGACAGCCAGTGACATTCTGCTGGCCCGATTGCTCGGTTTCTTTTTGATACCAGGTAATTTGTAGAAGTGGTAGACTACAGAACTGTAAGGTATTCAGATATATTGAACCATCGGTTTCTTCTTCGGAAATCTGGATGAGAAATTGCTCTCCTACGCACTCAGTAAGCACTGCCTTTGCTGCTTCCAAATCCTCTCAAATAATTGATCCTAAGAGGTGTCTTGGTTCAAAGCACTGCCTTACGGCACAGCACAAATGAATTTATTGGGTGAAACAGGGTATATCAATGGATTCCAGATGTTTAAGCACACAGAGATATAGGCATTAATGTATATATAGATTTAAGTTTTGGTAATATATTGCTCTTGAGGAGGTCGACACGTCTATCTGACATACATGTAGACTCTCATATGGATTAAACACCATTGTATTTATTTATAAGACCACAGAGTGCATCGAACAGAGACAGATATATATATATATATATAGAGATATATATATATATATATATATATATATATATATATATATATATATATATATATATATATATATATATATATATATATATATATCTATCTATATCTCTCTCTCTCTCTCTCTCTCTATCTTAATTTATTTTTCTGTTGATTTATTCATTTCATATATGTATCTACCCTACGTTTGCCTATATTTCAGGTTTCTGTTATCTTCCTTTGAACTAAAGAACTTCAATGAAGCTCCAATTGAATAAGAAAGAAAAAGATGTAAAAAAATGTAAAAATTAGTCTGTTAAAGGCTCCTACATCTTGATCACATTTAACAGGATACCGTACAGTTACAGCACAACATCGAATGGAAAACACAGCATCAGGGTCAATAATGCTTTAGCATACTCACCATTTTCAGCACGTGTAGAATTTAGATCTGTTGGAGGTGAAGAAGAAAGCGGTCCACAAATATTGTCACGTTTATTCGTACCGGGGCTTAGGACCCCCAGACCAAGTTCTAAGCAGTTTGTGTGCGTCTTGCATTTCATGACGCTAGAAGGCACATCCGAAAAGGTCCTGCCAGAGCATATCTTACACTTGACGTTTTCTGTATCGCTTCCTTTTTTCCTGACACCCCATCCAATTGGGCAAACGGTGTGTGGTGTACAGGTGTCATTGAACAGAAATGCACCTGTTGGACAAGAGCACTCGCGGTCAAACAAGGCAGTACAAGGCATTTTCTCAACCAACGGCTTTTCACAAGGCGGCCTGCAGGCATGGCACCTCTCAACCCCGTTCTCATGTTTTGTGAAGGTGCCATTGGTGCAAGGGCTGCACTCTCTAAGTGTAGACTTTGTACAGTGTCTGGACACATAGGTACCGGCTGGACACTTGTCACATATTAAGCTTGCATTGGATTCGGGGTCGGTGTGGTGGTATTTCCCAGATGGAAGTATTATTGTTGTTTTCTCAGACAGTTGCACCGACTCAGCCTCTACGAAGCCAAGATGGACACTAAGCTGAATGAGCACAAGCTGAAAAAGAATAGGGAATAAAAAAAAAAAAAAAAAAAAAATTTATAAAATTTCTGTCTCGTAATAAAGAAATAGTCAACTTAGGACATGTTATTCAAGTGATCAGTGAGAATTTTAGACTTTAATTATTTCACTTTTTTTCCTCAAACATTATTTAATTTGCTGCCCTCTAGCCAAAATATAGTAACAGGTTAAATATTGAAAAATATATTTGGCTTATTTAACAGATTGCTGTATTTAAGAGTTTTCTAAAAGCCTGTTATTGCATTAACTACCTCGTTAGCTAGTTGATGTAGTTAATTATTAAGACGATTAAGAAGTTTAAGCTTCACCTCCAGGCTCGAGGCATGAAGTTGGTGAATGCTAAAGTTATTCAGTATTTTGTTAACGGCTTGAAGTAATTTGCAATGAATCATATCAATAAAGAAAGCAACGGTGGTATTTACAATACAATGCACGTGGACAGCACACTCAAATGATTCCTTATGGCAGTAATGGTTAACCCAGATGTTACTTAACTACCGTCTTCATCCTTAAAGGCACCAGCTATCTAACTCAGGTGGCTTCTTAAAGATGCCAATAATCCAATAGTCTTGGAGGCAGATGTACTCAAAAGAGGTGAACCAATGACTTGCTACCTTTCCTGAACTTTAGACATTTTTCTAAACTTAAGACATTTTGCAATACACTGTCTTCCCCTGCATGTTGCGGAGAGACTGCATACGACCACATCACAGCGTGTAATACAGCAGCTACTGGAAGGAGCTCAGTAAAAAACAGAAAATGACAAGGGGCTTTACTGCAGACATCACAGAATACATTTAAATAGAGTTGCTTATCCAGGTAACAACATATCACATTTGATAAAGCCATATTCAGCTCCTTTTTTTCCCCACTTTTTGCAGGGATTTTTAAAAATCTGCATTCCCAAAACAGTGCAGATCCCATAAACATTTGAGCTAAATTATCATTTTTACAGGTATGTCAGTTTCACTTTTTCCTCCTTTACAAATTACCCTTAATAAGACCAGGAATACCATAATTTAACCACTAATTATTAATGTTAATAGCTGGAAGAAATGTGTTCAGAGTAGGATTTGACAGGTAAATAAAGTATTTCCTATTTATTAGTAGTTTAAATTTTCTATATTATAACTGGGTCTTGGGCGATTCCTTATGGGTAATTTAACAAAGAAACAACAAGTAAAAATAGTGGCATTTGAGTTTCACAACTAAAATAACTGTTCAGAAAGCAGATAAATTTTAAGAAATTCAGAATAATTGGCCACCATGTTCACCCGACCTTTCAGCTCCTGATTACTACCTGTGGGGATATCTGAAGGAGCGGTTGTACGTGAACAAATTACGCACACCTGGGCAGCTCAAAGAGAATGTCCAGACATAAATTCGAGGCTAGATCCTTAAACATTAACTAATGTTATGAACAATACAACCGAACTATATATCATCTTCTGTACCAAGTCAAAAAAAATCTCCATACATTAAGCATTCATTATATGTAATATCATTGGTTCATCATTAAGAAAAAAAAAAAGTTAGTGGTGTCCTTAAACCCTACTCTGAATTTTTGCTCAACCTGGTCGGGGCCTCGTGGGTCTTTATTTCCGCTATAAGGTTTACAAGTGTCAGCCATTTTGGGTAGTCCAATCTCTGGTCCATAGCTTAGTGCTGCAAGCTTGTTCAGTCCAGTGGTGACCGGGATAACCCCAACTTGTGTACCCGATGCAAATACCAGATGGAGGATCACATGTTTCCTTCACCTAGGGACAAGTGGTAGGCCACACTACACTGCGATCCCTTCAGGCCTCCAAAAGTGTTTAAGCTGCTTCAAGGTTAGTTCCCCTTTCGTCTCAAGAGCGATATTATCTTCGATTTATGTGCTTAGTAGATAAGTGAGGCCTAGGAGCTCACTCAGCCTGCATCTAACTCTCTCTCTGGTCAGGCCCCGCCCACTATACATACCCTATTAAAAATATTTAACTTCTCATAGCTGCAGACATTATTTCTGCAGCAATGCTTAAACATGTAATTGTCTGCCAAGTATGACTTTCCAATCCAATGCTTCTCTACGCCTGCGTCTGGTGTCTGCTTACAGGACATCAGACACAGAGATAATATTGAATATATTTTAGACAGAAGCTCTGTGTGCGTCTGTCTGTATAGCTACTACAGGTGCAGGGATTAGGAAAGTTGTAAATCGTGTTGTTTCTCCAATAAAGCAATGATAGGCCTGGAGGGGCAACTGCTTTGTTCCAAAATCATGTCCTGAAAATGGCTCTGTCACTGCCTGGGGTCTTTTCACACAACACTAACCTCACAACCAGTGGTGGCTGCTCAGCTGGCAGTGCAGTTGCCAAGGGGTACAGGTGAAGGCAGGCGAGTTATACAGTGAAGGGCTAACACTTGCCGCCTAGGAGCTGACCCTGCACTACTTGGATCAGGAGTGCCAAGAGAAGCTCTAATGAAAAGTTTGTCTCTTCTGGGGCTGCACAGAGACGGGGATCAATGCCATTCGAAAACAGATTAACTAATAACATTCGGGGGACCAGGGCAATGTACTGACCATGGCACAGAGTGTTAATTTAGGATTAGTGCTTAGATTGCCCCTTTAAGATGAATCATTAATGTATATTATTTTCCAATTCCTTTCAACATCCATTTGCTATTGGTATAAATGTTGATCCTAATCACAAAACTATTTTTGCAAGTCCTATGTGTCCTTATTGACTGGATCATCACGTGTCACCCTGGGTAGTCACTGGGGATTATTGCAAATGACTAATCAGCTCAGAATTACTACACCGATTACTATTTACACTTTCACTGAAGGAACAAACTAGCCTTGTTATGCAGTCATCTTATGGGAAAGACAAACAGAAACCTTAAATGACGATGGAATTCAAAAACATCTGGGGATCCAAGGCTGCTCATCACTATTCTTGGAAACCGATCATTTTCCACAAATTCTCTTGTTATTTTAAACCTTTACATGCTGTTCCAGGCAGTGTATGGAAGTCTGATTAGACCTTGCAATGCTATGGACACGGCTCATATGCATGTACAGCACTGTTGGTGGGATGCCAGAGACCATGTGCGCGTGTATATCATTTCCCCAGGGCAGTGAAAATCACCCTCAATGCAGAATTGCAGGCAGGTTTTTTATTTTTTTTTAAACTTCCTTCCTTCCGCTGCTTTATACTGCCCAAAAAACAAGGAAACACCAGAGAAGGATAGTTACACTTTAAAGAAATACCTTGTAAAAAAAATAAATAAAAAAAAATTATGAAAATATAATATATATATATATACACACACACACACACACACACACACATTATCTCACAAAAGTGAGTACTGTACACCTCATTTTTATAAATATTTTAATTTTATCGTTTCATGTGACAACACTGAAGAAATTACACTCTGCTACAATGTAATGTAGTAAGTGTACAGCCTGTATAACAGTGTAAAATATTTTCAAAAATGTCAGGGGTGTACTCACTTTTGAGAGAGAATATATTTATATATATATACACACACACATATACATATATATATATATATATATATATATACACATATATACATATATACATATATATATATACACACATATATATACACACACATATACACACACATACATATATACACACACACATATACACACACACACTCAGTATCTTTTCATGTGACAAGTCTGAATAAATGACATGTCAAGTAGTAAGTGTACTCTTCTTATAGCGTGGGCCATCAGTAGAGCAACAATTCTTTTTTTCAGATCCTCAGAGAGTTCTTTGCCATGAGGTGCCATGTTGAACTTCCAGTGACGGGTATGAGAGTGTGAGAGCGATACCACCAAATTTAACACACCTGCTCCCCATTCACACCTGAAACCTTGTAACACTAACGAGTCACATGACACCAGGGAGGGAAAATGGCTAATTGGGCCCAATTTGGACATTTCCCACTTAGGGGTGTACTCACTTTTGTTGCCAACAGTTCAGACATTAATGTGTGGAGTTATTTTGAGAGGACATCAAATTTACACTGTTATACAGACTGTACACTTACTACTTTAATGTACTGACGTATATGACGACTAAATGTACCATATATCCCGGTAGCACGTCGATCAAGTTTATAAGAAAACCCCTCAAAAATTAGAGGTTTAGAATATAGAGTTAGGCCTATATACGCAGGATAAGTCAACTTACAAAATAATGTGCCAACTTCGACTCCTGCATGTACATTAAATTGTAATACAGTAAATAATATTACAGAATTCAATACAAGGAGTCAGTCGGGGGTGCCATGAATTGAGAGGTCAGAGGTTTTGTGTACTGACTGCAAAGCCAGAGCAAGGGGTTAATGTTTGGGTGTGAAGCTGGTTTCAGAATAAAATGAACGATTAATCATTTGGAAAGGTTTAAAATCTATACATTATAAATCACTAACCACTGCATGTTAATGGTTAGACAGTATCTGCTAAGATGTAATAAAACGTTTCCTGTAACGTCGCAGGTTCCGGACAGTTACTTTGAAGAAATTACAGTTACATTGGGAAAAGTACTAATCAGTTTACAGAGAAACTTCTCTCACCCCATCTTTCCCCCAGGGACTGAGTGTAACACCTGCCTGGGTGATCTGATAAAAAAATAAAATAAACATCCGTAATTGGATTTTTTTTTTTTTTTTAGCAAAATCAGTTTACATGACAGCTTTAAACAATTAGTAACACGATTGAGAAAATAACCGGAACTGAAAGCAGACTGTTAAAAGTAATGACACACGTAGAACAAAAATAGAAGAAAGCAAGAGACCTGATACTAACGTAGTCAGCAGAAATCACAAAGATGTGTGCAGTCACAATCCTTGCGGAAAGAAACTACTACAAAGGGGAACCGGGCAGGGCTGTTCCTGTAAGATACTTAAAAGCTGGTAGTGTAATAATAAATAGACCTAGATTACTCAGCGCAGACAACCTCATGGCTGGCTTATCCATATCATGTACAACTACAACTCAGACCACTTTAAGTCAACATACTGAGTGAGGATCAGGGGACGTTGAAGGTCAACAATGTCCAGAGTCTTTTCCTACTAGAATCGGTGGCAAACGTACCCAACGGGCCAAATCATAGGTAGAGCCTCTCATCGCAACTAGTTAGGTTCCCAAGTCACCAATTTAGCTTAGTTGTTTCGCCACTTGGCATAACATAGGTCAGCTAGTATCTTCGTGTAATAGAGTATCTCCCACTAACAAATTTTCTCTTTCAGGTATGGTTATAAACACTGATAACATTTTAAATATTGATTGCGTAATGTAGACACGTGTTAACTTTTTGCCCTCTTTTTACAGGCCTAGGCGAACGTCGATTTCAGAACACCACAACCGACTTGTGCACCACTAACATAACTCGGCTTATTGTCCCTGGCCACAAATGGAGGGTTGGTCCTGTAGTTGTGGGAGGAAATGTTCTGGCCTATAAATACACTGGTTGCCCCTTCTTCTGGGCTGAGACTGTCCGGTTCAGACCAACCACCACTGCATTTATCAAGCCATTTAAATTAGTGGGCCCTCTTTTTACAGGCATACCCGAATGTCGGTTTCGGAACACCATTACCGACTTATGCACCACTAACATAACTCTGCTTCTTGTTCCCTACCACAAATATATCTACCATTAATAAATTATATATATATATATAAAAATAATAATACATTTTTATTTATTTTTTAATTGACAATCTTTATTTAAGAGCGTTACATCAATTTTTCAAAAGAGACGAGAACCAGGTGTTTCACAAATCGAACAGTCAGATCCCATTTGCCAACATGATCAAGCAACTCGGTAACAGATAAATATAAAGTTCCATTAAACAGTAAACACTGCTGTCCTACTAGAATATTTATCTCTTTAGCAATCTGTACAAAAGGTACAAGATCCAAATATAGTGGGGAAAAATTAAAAAAAACCCAAAAACACGTACTACTGTGAGAAACACAATACAAGGTTTTGTAGACCGTCAAACACTGCACCTCAAATAAAGTGTCTGCTTGTATTACTGAAATCAGATTTGTGACAATGACTCCATGCACTGACAACGTCTATTTGCGTTAATGCGACATTGAGCTGAAAATCCAGTAATAAGGCATCTACACGCAGAGTTTAACAGCAGTAATACTACTACTAATAATAAGTAGTAACAGAAATAATAGAATAAAAACAGCCGTGGTAGGTAAGGAGAGGATGTAGAGTTGAGGAGCGATACGAAGATGAAAGTTCCATTGATCCATCTTTGAAATTCTTATGCCACTAAACCAAAAAGTGTGAAGAATTGCCAAGCATAGGCCAAAATAGCCAAATTGCGAAAACCCTCCAGCTCCGCTATTTTGGGCTGACATGTGTCAATTCTCTACCGTTCCGGTTTAGTGAATAAACCTCAATGTATTCTGCAATAAACCTGTCATTCGTTTATAACATATCAAAAAATATTTGGCATTTACTTTATATCCAGTCACCTGGTCTGTCAAGAACTTGGCAACTATACACTATAGTCATTCTTTTATAGCTTAAAACAAGTTCAACGTGCCTATTAGCAAAAAATAGCATAAGGTTACAGAGAACAAACAAACCGCAAAGTACCTAGTACCTTATCCTTGGTGAAGGAGCCTGAGTCAATGGGGGAAAACATTCATGGAAAGAGCAATTATTGCCTACAAGGGTGGAGGAAAAGCAAAACGTATTAGAAGACTAAGGATAATCATTACGGTTAACAGTCTTAAAGAGAAAAAAAAATAAAAATCAAATTACCTTAAATCGGCCCCAGATACATTGAAAACTTCAGATATCACAAAGATAGATGATCTATTCAATATACCCAAGCGGAAGTTCACTAAGGAACTGAATAATGTATTAAGACGTGTTTTTGCTATATTACACGTTTATGCAAACAATCTCTGATTCCAAGTCATTCAAAGTCATTGTCTCCTATATCTACTGCTAAACCATACAATGTCATCATACCCCACCTTCCGCCTGTCGCTGTATTCAGTCTTTCCTGCTTCGTGATACTTTGTCACCATATCTCAGCTCCCCTGCCTAGTATCATGGTGTCCTGTGAAATCAAAGTCCAGCACTGCTTGGTGTTCTAAGTAACTGTATTTCATTATAACTCCATCTATCCTACTTCATGTATCATCACGTCCCCTATATCTCCTGCCTGATCATTCCAAGTCATTTTATTTCCATCTCTCCTGTGATTCTGTGTCAAAGTTGAGACGTAAAAAAAACCCATCTTTCGAAAAACTGCTAATAAAAGTTCTGTTCCGGTGAGAATCCCTAATATGTTATCATAACTATGCCATCAGTAATCACAGTGGCATAAAACAGAGGCTTTGTTAAATAGTATTCCTCGCTTCTTGCAAAACATTTTCCACACACTATTCTTCACTCTTGTTGTTGGCCCATGAGGTATAAAGGGAAACTATAGTGTTAGGAACACAGATTTGTATTCCTAGCACTATAGCTCCGCTGTGCCTCCTCCTCCGCCATCGGACGGCAGACCGAATGCACATGCATGGGCAAGCATTGAAAGTGCCCTCCCCATAGGAAAGCATTGAATCAATGCTCTCTGCTTGGGTTTTCACGGATGCTGGATATCTCCAAAACTGCAGTGTTTCATATTGCAGGACTAAGTGCAACAGGGACATTGCACCCAGACCACTTCAATGAGCTGAAGTAGTCTTGGTGCCTATGGTGTCCCTTTAGATGATGAAATAACTTTGCAGTTAATAAAGGAGAAGTGTGTGCTCTTGTATTTAGCGTATTTCTGTTTATGTTAATGCATGTAACTAGGAAAATATATTTTTCCTGTTTGTGTGGTTATTTACACAATGGCAAAACACTGGATAAAGAAAGGAAATATAACGACAATTGCTCACATGTCATTTTAAAGACAAATTTCAGGATTTTTGAAATAATACGTGAGTGAACATTAGAATCAGTCACAATAAATAGAAATTGCCAGAGATAAATAAATACAGGCCTGGGCACTGGTAACAAGCTGCCATTGTACTATCAGATTGCTACATACAGGTGGCTTTGTGCTATAGAGAATAGGAATTAACTGTTCCTTCCCGTGTAACGGTTTAGATTTCTACATTTTACAAATTGTGATCCAGAATTACAGGGTCTGTTAATATGAAGGTACTGTCCAGGTATGAGGGGAGAAGGATTTTATGATCGTTAGGACTGTACTCATTAATCACTGTAGGCATCCACGGGAAGGATCACAGACACAAATACATATTGTTGCAGTAGCTCACAACAGACTATAAAAAAGGTAAGAAAAAATGAGGGTGTAAAAAAAAAATTAATATGTTATTGCCAATTGTAGTAGGACTCTGCAATAAAATGGCAACATCAATTAAATCTAAATATCGAACTGGAAATCCCCCAAGTTTAAAGTGACCCTATAGTCACCTGAACAACTACAGCTTAAAGGAACACTATAGGGTCAGGAACACAAACATGTATTCCTGACCCTATAGTGTTAAAATCACTATCTAGGTGGCTTGCCCTCCATTATCCCCTTTAGAAGGGGTTAAAACCACCCTTATTTCCAGCGCCAGCCCCACCTGTGATCTGCCTCCTTGGTGACATCATCATAATTTACCATAGGGAAAGCATTGGATTGGCTTAAATAGTCAAGGGAGTGGGATGGGGTGGGGCCAAACACCATTTTGGCCAATCAGAAACTCCTCATAGAGATGTACTGAATAAATGCATCTCTATGAGGAAAATTCAGATTCTCCATGCAGAGCATGAAGACGCTAAATGGCAGTGCTGCCTATTGTGCAGCACTGCCCCATGAAGCAACTCCAGTGGCCATCTGAGGAGTGGCCACAGGAGGTATTCCTAGGGGGCAATATGAACACTGCCTTTTCTCCGAAAAGGCAGTATTTGCATGAAAATGCCTGCAGGTAATGATTATGCTCGCCAGAACAACTACATTAAGCTGTAGTTATTCTGGTGACTATAGTGTCCCTTTACTGTAGTTGTTCTGGTGGCTATAGCCTGTCATTGCAGGCCTTTTAATGTAAACCCTGCATTTTCAGAGAAAAGGCAGTGTCTATATTACTACCTAGTAACACCTCCAGTGACAGACACTCAAACGGCCACTGGAGGTGCTTCCTGGGTCAGTGCTGCAAGGTGTGCTGAACGCTAGAGATACACTGATTCAATACATCTCTGAGGAGATTCTGAAAGACGCAGCACATGCACAGTAGCCTTCCAATGCTAACCAATGGGAAAACATTGGATTGGCTAAGTTCAAATATGATGATCTCAGCCGCAATGACGCAAACTACCTTTTTAAACTGAGGAGATGGGGGCTGAGGACCTAAACTATGCTTTCAAAACAATAGTGTTTATATTCCTGACACTATAGTGTTCCTTTAAATGTAATTGCTGGAATGGTAAAGTCCCAAAAATGTGACATTCCTTGCAAATCAGTCACTAAAAATGCAATCTTGAAAAAGGGTCATGAGCACAGCCTTAATTTGGCCCAGAGAGTTAATCAGAACCCAGCAATGATATAGATTGGTTAATTGTAAAATGCAGTGCAAGTATGCAAACAAAAAATAAACATTACATTTAGCAAACATTTGTGATAAAATAACTGCATTAATGGACTTTATACATGATTTTGACTTTATTGACCACTATTACAGCTACGACACCAGAATTCTAACTTGCAAAACGTGGAGCGTTGAGATCACCAAGCATCCCTTTGTAATATGTGACCTCACACTACCAAGATAAATCCCAGAAACATCCCAAACACCATAAATACTACCGTGTGCTCAGTACGAACCAGAAGATCCTGTTCACAAGACCTGCAGTGCAGACATAACACATACACTGAGAGCGTTGGCTGATGCCTCTTAGCCAATGACCCAGCGCTGCACCACTGGGCATAGAAAACTTCTGTCTCTCGTTGAGATGTAGTGAATGTAGGAGTGGGTGCCCAGCAGACACCAGGCAAGAAGTAAAACCATTACAAGGTAGGGCACTCCCGGCCTTGTGACACTGCAGTGGTTATGGTGCTTGGGAGTGTTCCTTTAAAATCATATGAGGCAATTCATTAAATCAAGTCAACTATTTGTGGTGTTTATTAATTTTTAAACTAGTCCTGTATAGATTTTTTTTTTTTATTCATACTAAATGATTAGGTTAGTATCTGTCCTTCAAAAACCATCATACAGATTTAAGAACTATAACGTCAAGACAACAAACTGTTTGAAAACCGGTTTGTCCTCTGTTATGTGCAAAATGCGAAATAACCCTGGCACTGGAAGAGTTAAGCTAATAACCTAACAGTATAGTATGTGCATAGTAGACAAGGTGGCAGTCACCAAAAAACTTTTTATTTTTTTTAATTATGGCAAAGCCTGTGGACCAGCGATAAGACAGCTCTGTCCTTACACCATAAGGGATCTTAGCCATTATGAAGGGATTTCCAATCTATTGACTGAGTGGTAAGAAGGTTGGAATAGTTTAGCAGAGACAATATATCAGTAAAATATAGTGATTCATCCATCTCCAATAATAGATCAGAAACGCAGGCAGATGGAGAGTCTGAGCGCCAGGATTGGCATCTGGATATTGCGGGCATCTAGAGACCGCTCCAAATTCGTCTCCATCTACGCCTACAATCGCAGCTGCTTAAGTGTTGAAGGAGATGAAGGCTTGCTTTTTAATTTAATATCATAGTCTTGCTACTTTGCAATTACATATAGGATTCATTGATTACGGTTACATTTTCCTGGAAGTTGAGCTAAATCAGAGTACTTTGCTAAACCTGTCATCCTTCAGAATACTGACAGCTACCTTCGGCACATCACGTGTTTCTGACCTGAGAGTCATAGGAATTGGAGTTCAGAAAGACCAGCATTTCAGATATACAGTATTTATTCTATTGCAGTTATAGGATAGGCATTACTCATTCCCCATCCAATCATCTCAGTTAAGGGGTCTGGGTGCACTGGTCCTGCCATTCTAATCCTGCCATGTAAAAGATTATAGTTTTATAGCAACAGCAATGTTTACCCTGAAGAGTAAAACACTACCCTAATAAAAAGGTGATATGACAGCCAGGAGAGGCTCTTCCACTACAATGACTGAATAAAATGTGGCCATGTGATGCGGAGCTCATAGGAAAGCATTGGATGCAATGTGTTCCTTTAAAACGCATTGGATGCTCGTGAAGCACTCGCCGCACATGCGCATCAGGACCATTGCTGGAGGAGGCCATGCCTCCCCAATGATGTCACAGCAGGAGGAGAGTTGAGCAGCGCCATGGGAGTCTCTGGGAAAGAAGGTAAGAAAAACCTTTATTTTCTTAATTTATTGCAAACTGGGGGATTTAACTAGACATAGGGGCACAACAGCTTCAGGTATAGAGATTGGTATTCCTAATGCTATAGTGTTATTTGAATCCATTATGTCTGGAACCGAACATATGTACATGGTATTAGCTTGGCGACCCATACATGGATAGCAAAAGAAACTAAACAACCAATTAATTAATTAATATCTAAATTTATTTTAAAAAAATAAAATATATATATACACACACATATTTATATATATACATACATACATACACATATATATACATATACATATACACACACACACACACACACATATATACATACACATACATTCTGAAAAAGACTTTGATAGTCTGTTGCTCTCCTTCACTTTGGGGATGGCAGTGCCACAACAGTAAAACATTGGGCAATTTAATTTTCAATTCACTACAACACACTGGGCTGGGTCGGTACAACGCACTGGGCAGTAAATTTTGAGAAAAAGCTATAACCCTGTATAGCACTGTACTGTTTAGCTATAACACTGTAAATTCTAGATTTACGATTTAGAAAACAAACCAGCCGATTTTGTTACCGCAAGTAACCCGGAGGCTTATTATACTCAAAGCAACATACAATATCTTGACATCACAGACTACACATGGCTTCACACGATATATTTTTTTAAATCTCTGAATGTTAATACAATATATAGAGATAACAGCTACTTTGTACCACTCAAAACAAACAGTCCTTTAAGTGTGAAATGTGTACAAATGTGGAAAGAGGTATGGAGACAGCCTTCCTGACCCCACCAAGGAGCACAGCTCAGAATAACCAAACACACATCAAGTCATCAAATGCAGTATAGGAATAATGGTTTAATGCATGCTTTACGGCAGGCTTCCCCAAACTCCGGCCCTCCAGATGTTACTGAACTACAACTCCCATGATTCTATGAATGAAATAGATAGGCTAAGAATCATGGGAGTAGTAGTGCAACAACATCTGGAGGGCCGGAGTTTGGGGGAAGCCTGCTTTACGGTGATTATACAGTAGACTTCATGTACTAACCAGCTGCAGATTGTTAGGAACAAATATTCATTTAAGAAAAGGTTGGCTGCACTTTTTTTCCTTTTACAAAAGTATCCTAATAACTGGGAGGCGAGAATTTAATGGTGCGCACACCGTGTTGCTGAGGGACAGTTCTCTGGTGTCCCTAAATGCAGGACTCCAAATAACTAAATTGGGACCGTGGAACAGGACCCAGAAATCAGGACTGTCCCCTCAAAAACAGGACTTTTGGAAGGCCTGCATGAATTCTATTGTACAGAGACTAAAAGGTACCTCCCCCCCTCAACTGGAACATCAAAAGTGATCATGTACGCTCTAATATAACCTGTAACGTGCCAAGTACACCAGTGAGTGCTATATAGATAAATTATACATAAACTATATAGCGACTACAGTTCTCTTCTACTGTAAAATAGTGTGCTGTATAAATGCACAAGGCATTCTTTAAAACATACATTATCAAAAATGACAACAGCTCGCTCACAGATGGTAAACAAAGATAGTTGATGATCGTAGACTAGATTTCTAAATGCGATATGCATTGAGGTTTTAACAGAGATCACAGATAGAGAGACTGAAGTATTGATATGAACAAAGAAGTTATTATCATTAGAAAAAAGTAGCAATAAAAAGCTACCTATCAAAGGATTAATAGAATTTGAATTTGTGACATTCATCCAGATACAATATTCCGACACGGGATGAGTCACTTTCCTCTAACAATAAAATGGTTTATTCAAATGTGTGAATCAATGCAAAGATCAATGACTAGGGACCCATGCTGGCATGTCCACATTTCGCTGTGTCTGAGGTTCTCTCTTTGGTGAGGATGAAGAGATTAGGAATGTGTCTGCATTAGAGACCGTAACACTGTATACAGATTATTTCCAGGAGTAATCAGATTACCACTGAGCTATAGAGAGTGCACACGATTGATCCACTTTGGGATTTCCTTGGCATTTCCAGGGTGGAGACGGGTGGTGGTGTGACAATCCCAGTTAAAATAACTAAGATTTGGTAATGCTGCAACAACCAAAACAAGACATGTCATAGAATCAAGGGATGGTACTATAATCACTGTATTAATTATGGTACTTAGTGCACCTTTTGAAAGATTTTATTACTTTTAGGCTGAAAATGTGTAGAATATGATGGTGTACTCCAAGTGGAATAAAAAAAATATAAAAAAGTAAATAAATAAAAACCCTCAAAATGCTCTTGAAAAGTTCTAAACCAGGACTGCCCAATAGGTAGATCCCAAGATGTTGTACAACTACAACTTCCATGATGCTTTGTCATTGTAAAGGCACTCTAAAGGCATGCAAAGCATCATGGGAGTTGGAGTTCTACCACATTTGGGGATTTACCTATTAGACAGCCCTGTTCTAAACTATGTACCAATAAAAGGCACAAACAAGTGGGAGTCAAGTTCCGAACCTGATGTTTTTCTTATATTCAAATTCTTATTCGTATGCCGCTGAATAATGACTTGATCAAGCAAAACACATTTAAGACTTAAAAATCTCTACTTTCTGTTTATAGCCTTCTGATCATATTTATTTACACATAGGTGAGTCATGACTTGATATTGAATATGGAATATGAGCCCAAAACAATCTAAGGTCGCCCAAAAGAACCAACTGGACAAAGGCAAGTTCACAACAGATGCCAAAAAGTAGATCTCGGCTAAAATAATAACCGCCATAAATTGAAATCTAAAACACAGAGATAAGTAAAAGAACGGGAATAAGGTAGAGAAACATTTGGGTGGAGAGGGTGTGTAGACATCTGTATGGTACAAATCATGATAGGATTCACATAAGCAGGGGACAATGGAACACCAAAGGGCTGGATGTTGTTAAAGTAATTTGATTGTTACTTATTCTTATATAGGAGAAGATTCCTGCTCACATACAATAAGTTAAATTAAAGTTACAGATTGATTACGTGTTCAAGTAGGCTTCCTGAGCAAACACCCTGCGATATACAAAAACCACCCTTCCGGCCACATCCTGCAGCATCAAATCCCCCAACTTCAACGTTAAAACTTGAAGCAAACCCTACATCACTATGCATCTCAGCTTTAACAGCTGGTTTAACATAAAGCAGAAGTGATAGAGAAATATTAGGAGAAATAACAGAGGCCCCTGCTTAGTGACACTGCCTCTCCGTCAAGCAGTGGAGGAGGGGTCCAGCTTGACTTCTTAAAATAGGGGGAGCACCGCATGGTGATCTGCCCATTCATCCAGATAACCTGTGAATCTGCCCCAACTCACCTCCAGAGTCTGAGAACATTTTCCCATTCATCCTGAGAATTTTTCCATTCATTCGTTCTGCGAATTGCCCCATTCGTCCCTAAACTAAATGCAAACTTTGCATAGTGCAATATAGGATTATGGAAATCTGGTTCTTGTAATCCAGCAAGAGAGACCAGTTTGAACACCATCACAATCTACAAATACAGATAAACTGGCTTCTAACTAACCAGTGACTTGTACAGACAGCCATCGAATAGTAAACTTTAGGCAAAAATAGCAAGAAAACCAAAAAAATAAATAAAAACAATACTCATTAAACAGACACCAACGGGAATATTTACCAATCTGTGAATTATTGGGGATTAGGAAAAAAAATAAATAAATATAAAAATAATAAAAATGAGCTGGAATTGTAAGATTTGGAAAATATTTTGCTAATTTAGTTATTCTATCTGTCTGACATTCACAGTTTAGTGAGTAATCCAGTTAGTTTTCAGTAAGCACAGAACTCTAGATTTCAATTCTAAGCAATGCAGAAATGAACATCTCAGGAATGGTTCTCTGACAGGAGATCCTGATATGACCATACAATAAGGATATAGTTAGCAGCACAATGTGACACATACAATATACACACACTGAGTGAAGATTAATACTTTATACATAGCACTAACATTCAACAGTGATACCCCAGCTGTCGGATCTAAAATTGCAAAACCACCATTCTTTTCAGATATATAACATGTTTATGAGCTGTTAGACAGTGAAGGTGCGGAGTAGATTTGTGTTGCATCGGCATATGAATTCTACATACACCAGGGCAGTACTCTTAATGAAGAACTTGTGTTTTTAATCAAAGAAGGATATCCCGGATTACATTTTATGCTGGCTACATCCAAACATCATTGGAAGCCCTAAAAAAAAAAAAAAAAACACGGAAGGAATATCTTCCATTCATATTGACCATGATGCTCGTACAGTACTTGGCCGATTCTTCTACCCGAGATCACCAAATTGGATACTAGTGAGCAACAGCTGTCTATTCCCCAAATACAAATCAGCAAACCAGAAACTGAAGGCCTGGCCAATCAGTATAGATAGCAAATATACAGGGGTCAATGGACATCGCAAAAAGGAAACGTCAGAAAAAATTAACACTAAAAACAATGAATTGCATTTGATCTTCCGGGAGGAATAACTACAAGATATGAAGAGAGATCTCTAATCTAGCCATTGTCCGGGTTATAAATCTCGAACTGACATTGACTGACACAGGGCTGGGTGTTAATCAATGTAATGTATTCTGGGAATGAAGAGGTTAATAATATGGGCTCGTCACACTAGGACAGCAGCATCATGGTAGTTTTCAATATGAATCTCTATACAGCCAGGAATTGAAGGAGGAGAAAGCTGATATTACGAAACAGTGAATTACGTTTCTCCCCGGAGTATTGCAGTAGTTTAATTATTTCTGCGCCCCAGACCCACTGTACAGGAATGTGCACTCACTCTAACAGATGATGTTGACGCCCTGGAGTGCCAGAGGTTAAATTGGTTCAGTGACCAAGAGGTTCTGCAGCAGACACATTTCATGTACAATGTAACCGAGCCACGCTAAACATTGATGTTTCAGCCCTGTGTGCACACTCTGTGTCAGTAATGGTAACAAGGGATCAGGTTAATTTCCATTTACAAAGCCTGAATCACACCCGGCTGATTTGCAAGGTGCAGAGGGTGGGGCTGGGATTAACCATGACTGCAGAATGGAAATCCGGGGATTGGGGATACCACGGGATTAATATTGTAAAATGCTACGGGAATCTGTTGGCGCTATATAAATGGCAATAATAATAATAATAATAATAATAATAATAATAATAATAATAATAGGAGCACATGGCTGCGGTAGATGGAGAGGTGTAAGGGATATGTTATTAGATGGGTAGGAGACAGTATTGGGATATAAAACAGTTATTTCACATTGGGGGCTGGTGGCAATTGTCTAATGGAATGTGTTACATGTACCGATAGCAAATCGTTTTTAGATGGTGGGTAAAGTTACAGACTTTACATAGTGGGGTAAGTTAGGTATTACAAGGGGTAGGTTATTATTATTAGATGCAGGTAGGTTCACCCTCACAGAATAAAAGGTAAGCATCAGGGATGAAGGAATACAATTTAGTTTTCATTTAATTTTTTTAGCATCCCCATCCCACACTACAGCCCCTGTCCTCCCACTACATTAACTACAATGCCTGCTACAGCCCCTGTCCCCTCGCTATAGCCAGTTCACTCCCACTACAGCCCACGTCCCCTCACTACAGTCAATACTCACACTACAACCCCTGTCCTTCCCACTACAACCGCCTGTTGCAGGCCCTGTCCTCCCCACTACATCCACTAAAATCCCCCATCCACTGTACAGCGCCTGTCTCCTGGAAAGGGTACTTGCCACCTGTCAGAAAGGTAAGTTATATGCAGGAAAGAGTGACACTGGATGGAGGAGAAGATGGTAGGTAGTAAACTAAGGGAGTATTCAGTTATACAGACACAGTCAGTATCCAGGTACAGTATGTACTTACAGTCAGTATCCAGGTACTTACAGTCAGTATCCAGGTACAGTATGTACTTACAGTCAGTATCCAGGTACTTACAGTCAGTATCCAGGTACAGTATGTACTTACAGTCAGTATACAGGTACTTACAGTCAGTACAGGTACAGTATGTACTTACAGTCAGTATCCAGGTACTTACAGTCAGTATCCAGGTACAGTATGTACTTACAGTCAGTATCCAGGTACTTACAGTCAGTATCCAGGTACAGTATGTACTTACAGTCAGTATACAGGTACTTACAGTCAGTACACAGGTACAGTATGTACGTACAGTCAGTACACAGGTACAGTATGTATTTACAGTCAGTATCCAGGTACAGTAGATACTTACACTCAGTATACAGGTACTTACAGACAGTACACAGGTACAGTAGGTACTTACAGTTAGGGGTAACTACAGTCTGAACACTGTGTTTTTACAGCCTCTATATGGTGGGTGTTTAGAGTGATTACACAGTGGATATTTACAGTTAGTATCCAGTGGGTAAGTACAGTCCATATACAGTGCGTACTTACAGGCATTACACAGTAGGCATTTACAATCAATATACAGTGGTTGCTTATAGTCAGTATACAGTGAGTACTTACGGTTAGTATCAATGAGTACTTACTACTTACAGTCACTATACAGTAGGTACTTTCAGTTAATATCACTGGATACTTACAGTCACTATACAAAAAGGTAGGTACTTACAGTCAGTATACATTAAGTACACAGTCACTGTAAGTTAGGTACATAAGTTAGGTACTTACAGTCACTATACAGTAGGTAAACAGTCACTATACTGTGGGTACAAAATATAGGTACACAGTCACTAAGAGGTAGGTATTTCCAGTCAGTAAAGGTAGGTACTGCCTGTAGGTACTTACAGCCACTACACAGTAGGCACATAAGGTAGGTACTTACAGTTAGTATGATGAAGGTATTTACAGTCACTATAAGGTAGGTACTTACCATCAGAATACAGGTACAGTAGGTACACACAGTCAGTATATTATAAGCACTTACAGTGAGTACACACAATCACTATAATGTAGGTACTTACCATCAGTACACGGTCAGTACACAGGTACACACAGTAAGTACTTACAGTCAGTACACAGTGAGTATAAGGTAGGTACACGGTAGGTACACACAGTGAGTATAAGGTAGGTACACGGTAGATACTTACAGTGAGTACACAGGCAGCTCCGGCCCCCCGCTCTCCCGCTGCCCCCCTATTCCCCTGCATGGCTCCCGGCTTGGCTCCCGGCTTGGCTCCCGGCATGGCTGCTGGCTGGGATGCGGTGTTAGCTCATAGTCCCGTGTGACGGAGGGCCGGTGTGGGCAGCCCGGCAGGTGGCTGGGGATGGGCTGTCACTGCGGGCCGGCTGCGGGCCATCACTGAGCGCTGTGACCGGCTCGCACTCCGGCTCACAATGAGCCGCACTGACAGCGGGCGGGAGGGGACAGCGCCGGGGCCACGCCCACTGACATCACACTGCCAGACAAAGCCAGGGAGTGAGCGTGCGGCAAGCCACGCCCAGCGCCCATCAATCAGGCTCCTGAGACAGGCCCCGCCCCTTCTCTCTGCTATACCAGCCCCCTGAGACAGGCCCCGCCCCTTCTCTCTGCTGTACCCATTACCCCTCATACTATACCAGCCCCCTGTGCCCATTACCCCCATACTATACCAGCCCCCTGTACCCATTACCCCCATACTATACCAGCCCCCTGTGCCCATTACCCCCATACTATACCAGCCCCCTGTACCCATTACCCCCATACTATACCAGCCCCCTGTGCCCATTACCCCCATCAGGGCCAGATTAAGAACCCAGTGGGCCTGGTGCTGACAATTATGACGGGCCTAATTACAGAATGATATCGACCAAAAACAGTAAAACACTCCCAAGCGTCATGTATCTGATGGAGATGGTGCTGGAGAGCAAGAAAACAGTAGCTATAAGAAAACACATACCCTAGGCTAATCTCTCTCTAATTTATGTTTTCAGCTTTCAAGTAAATCCATAACCCCAAACAGCAACGTCCAATCAAGCAGGAAGTCAATGGGCATGGTAAAAGGGTTTGCCACTGACACAAATCACGTAACCTGCCAAAACGGGCAAACATGCCCAAAAAGAGGACATGTTTGCTCAAAGAATTAGAAGGCCAGCCTGACATGAATGCATGTCAGGCTGCCTGCCAATCATGCAGCTGGCCAACTAAGGGCATACTATGCAGACAGCACCCTGATCTTGGCATAAATGCATCTAATGATGCGCTCACTCAACGCTTTCTAAGGACTGTCCCCTAGCACTCGCTGGTCCACTTGTCTCCTTACCTTCTTACTAGCAGGCAGAAGCTCCTGGTTTATGGTCTGGGACAGAGAAAAGCTGTATGTAGTGAGTGTAGAAGAAAGGGAACATGCCACAGTGTTAGAGAGACCAAAGTCTGCATTACCTTAAAGGATCACTATAGGGTCAGGAACACAAACATGAATTCATGACCCTATAGTATTAACACGACCATCTAGCCCCCCCTGGACCCCTCATGCCTCCATAAATATAGCAAAATCTATATTCAAGCCTGAAGCTGTAACTCTGCATTCTGTTAGACTCATAAAAACAAGCAGTCTGCTGACATCATTAGAAGTGGTGGCCTGATCCAATCACAGTGCTTCCCCATAGGATTGGCTGAGACTGACAAAGAGGCAGATCAGGGTCAGAGCCACTATGATTCAAACACAGCCCTGGCCAATCAGCATCTCCTTATATAGATGAATTTCATTAATGAATCTCTATGAGGAAAGTTCAGTGTCTGCAAAGGGGAGGAGAACCTGAATGTCTGGATGCATTTTAGGCAGCCATGACCCAGGAAGGATCTCTAACAGTCATCTAAGGAGTGGCCAGTGAAGTTATCACTAGGATGTAATGTAAAGACTGCATTTTCTCTGAAAACACAGTGTTTACAGCAAAAAGCCTGACGGTAATGATTCTACTCACCAGAACAAATTCAATAAGCTGTAGTTGTTCTGGTGACTACAGTGTCCCTTTAACTATATTCATTGTCAGCCAGTCCACACAAGTTTTGTTCCCATACATCCCACTTAAGTTTCCATACTTAAGTAAGAGTATGTGAAAAGTAGTTAGAGTTGCTACCTTTCTTGGAAAAACATACCGGCCTTACTAATTTGCATAATTAAATATGTATGGGTGACATCACATGATGTAAATCACAAGGAGTGACATAAGAGAAAATGCTGTAAAATCACCCAAAAACTACTTAGTTTGATTCTGCTGTATAGATGGATTCCTCCCAGTGCCCCCATGTCTCCCAGTGCCCTCATGACTCAGTGCACCCATGTGTCGATTAATCCAGGTCTCAGTGTTCCTATGTATCAGTGTCTCAGTGACCCATGTCTCCCAGTGTCCCCTAGTGTGGGGTCCCCATGTCACTAGGACTCTAGGAAGACAGGGAGACCTGGGGACATGGGGAGACCTAGGGACACGGAGACACCAGTGACACTGGGAGACTAGGGGACTCTGGCTGGGACACATGGGGGCAATGGGAAAATAGGGGACACTTGAAGACATGGGGATACAGACACTAGAGACACTGGCTGGAGGACATGGGGACATTGAGACATGGGGCACTGGGTGACATGGGGACACAGAAACACCAGGGTCACAGACACTAGGGACACTAGCTTGGAGACATGGGGACATTGTGACACTTGAGGCAATAAGAGACATGGAGGCACTAGAAGACATGGGGACAGTGAGACACTGGCAGACTGGGGTCACTGGGAGACTAGGGGGCACTGAGACACCAGGGACAATGGCTGGGAGACATGGGGACACTGTGTCCCCATGTGTCTGTGTCATAGTATCTCCCAATGTCCCATAGTGTTTCAGTGTCTGCCATAATGTCTCCCAGTGCCCCTTAGTGTCCCAGTGTCTGCCATAATGTCTCCCAGTGTCCCTTAGTGTCTCAGTGTCTGCCATAATGTCTCCCAGTGTCCCTTAGTGTCTCAGTGTCTGCCATAATGTCTCCCAATGTCCCTTAGTGTCTCAGTATCTGCCATAATGTCTCCCAATGTCCCTTAGTGTCTCAGTGTCTGCCATAATGTCTCCCAGTGTCCCTTAGTGTCTCAGTGTCTGCCATAATGTCTCCCAGTGTCCCTTAGTGTCTCAGTGTCTGCCATAATGTCTCCCAATGTCCCATAGTGTTTCAGTGTCTGCCATAATGTCTCCCAGTGCCCCTTAGTGTCCCAGTGTCTGCTATAATGTCTCCCAGTGTCCCCTAGTGTCTGTGTCTGCCATAATGTCTCCCAGTGTCCCTTAGTGTCTCAGTGTCTGCCATAATATCTCCCAATGTCCCTTAGTGTCCCAGTGTCTGCCATAATGTCTCCCAGTGTCCCTTAGTGTCTCAGTGTCTGCCATAATGTCTCCCAGTGTCCCTTAGTGTCTCAGTGTCTGCCATAATGTCTTCCAGTGTCCCTTAGTGTCACAGTGTCTGCCATAATGTCTGCCAGTGTCCCTTAGTGTCTCAGTGTCTGCCATACTGTCTCCCAGTGTCCCTTAGTGTCTCAGTGTCTGCCATAATGTCTCCCAATGTCCCTTAGTGTCTCAGTGTCTGTGTCATAATGTCTCCCAATGTCCCTTAGTGTCCCAGTGTCTGCCATAATGTCTCCCAGTGTCCCTTAGTGTCTCAGTGTCTGCCATAATGTCTCCCATTGTCCCTTAGTGTCTCAGTGTCTGCCATAATGTCTCCCAGTGTCCCTTAGTGTCTCAGTGTCTGCCATAATGTCTCCCATTGTCCCTTAGTGTCTCAGTGTCTGCCATAATGTCTCCATGTCCCTTAGTGTCTCAGTGTCTGCCATGTCTCCCAGTGTCCCTTAGTGTCTCAGTGTCTGCCATAATGTCTCACAGTGTCCCTTAGTGTCTCAGTGTCTGCCATAATGTCTCCCAGTGTCCCTTAGTGTCTCAGTGTCTGCCATAATGTCTCCCAGTGTCCCTTAGTGTCTCAGTGTCTGCCATAATGTCTCCCAATGTCCCTTAGTGTCTCAGTGTCTGCTATAATGTCTCCCAGTGCCCCTTAGTGTCTCAGTGTCTGCCATAATGTCTCCCAATGTCCCTTAGTGTCTCAGTGTCTGCCATAATGTCTCCAAGTGTCCCTTAGTGTCTCAGTGTCTGCCATAATGTCTCCCAGTGTCCCTTAGTGTCTCAGTAAGTTCGCTATACGTTCCAGTGTCCCTTTAGTGTGTCTCAGTGTTCGCTAAGGTTCCCATTGTCCCTCTTAGTGTCCTAGCAGTGTCTGCCATAATGTCTCCCAGTGTCCCTTAGTACCCCAGTGTCTGCCATATAATGTTCCTAAAGTGTCCCTTAGTGTCTCAGTGTCTGCCATAATGTCTCCCAGTGTCCCTTAGTGTCTCAGTGTCTGCCATATCTCCTTAGTGTCTCAGTGTCTGCCATAATGTCTCCGTGTCCCTTAGTGTCCCAGTGTCTGCCATAATGTCTCCCAGTGTCCCTTAGTGTCTCAGTGTCTGCCATAATGTTTCCCAATGTCCCTTAGTGTCTCAGTGTCTGCCATGTCTCCCAGTGTCCCTTAGTGTCTCAGTGTCTGCCATAATGTCTCACAGTGTCCCTTAGTGTCTCAGTGTCTGCCATAATGTCTCCCATTGTCCCTTAGTGTCTCAGTGTCTGCCATGTCTCCCATTGTCCCTTAGTGTCTCAGTGTCTGCCATAATGTCTCCCAGTGTCCCTTAGTGTCTCAGTGTCTGCCATGTCTCCCATTGTCCCTTAGTGTCTCAGTGTCTGCCATAATGTCTCCCAGTGTCCCTTAGTGTCTCAGTGTCTGCCATAATGTCTCCCAGTGTCCCTTAGTGTCTCAGTGTCTGCCATAATGTCTCCCAGTGTCCCTTAGTGTCTCAGTGTCTGCCATAATATCTCCCATTGTCCCTTAGTGTCTCAGTGTCTGCCATAATGTCTCCCATTGTCCCTTAGTGTCTCAGTGTCTGCCATAATGTCTCCGTGTCCCTTAGTGTCCCAGTGTCTGCCATAATGTCTCCCAGTGTCCCTTAGTGTCTCAGTGTCTGCCATAATGTCTCCTGTGGCGAAACCAACCTCGCCACTGTGAACTGGAGAAGCCTGGTTGCTCGCCTGCTCCCTTTGGACTATGGCCCTGCAGGTTAAACCGTTTATTTCCCCTGCAGAAAGGCTTATTTGTGGGATCTGAGTGCCATTCATCTAATAATGTGCACTCAGATCCCAGCTATCTGGGGATATGTGAAATGTCTGTGTGTTATGTGTAAAATGTGACTTATGTATTTTAAAGTGTTTTGTGTCTTTTTGCAACCATGTGCTTAATGGAGTCTTGTGTCTGTCCTGGGAGATAATTGAATTACTTATCTCCAGGATAGAAGACTCTGAAACTGGTTTGGGCTGGAAAGCCATGCTTCATTT